ATATTTGAGCTTATATATGGTGGTGCAGAATGCTGAATCTGAAGGCTGATGATTAGATAATTTTGGGAATCCATTCTTAGTCCTTAGTCTCCCTCTGTGTTCGGCTCACTGGGCTAAGACCACATTACTTTGGTCCAGACCAAACCAAACATGTGAAGGCACAATCAGATCGGTCACTCGGATAGTTCAGGCTCAGGCCTCTGATCCGTGTGTAACCTGAGTGGATTTGTAGCCCTCGGGCTGCTGCAGTCAAAGGCCACAAATTTGATCAGTACAGCAAAGTGAAGCAAACACTCTCTCCGCCTGTGGTCCTAAAGCAGATTAATCTGATGTTTTTATTTCTGGAGATGAAATTCAATCAAACACATGGGAGTGAAACAGTGGAGAGATTGGATCAATCTTTTGTTTGAGGCTTATTTACGGCCCCCGTTGACCCCTGGACGCTCCTGTGTATGAACCATGGGAGTAAATCACACCTGTGTTATTTTAATTAAAGACCCAAGAGCTGTCAGCAGGACTCTGATGACACATTAAAAAAAAAGAAACTCTCAGTGAAAATAATGTCCGATTTAAGAATATACTCTCACTGGCTAACATCACCCCTGATGACAGATTCAGATTTAGTCTGTTCACACTGTTTAAAGTCGGCGTGACAGCAACAATGAGAAAATAGATGATTATTTTCGTGTCTTGAGATTCTTTTTTTTTTATAAGTGAAAGATTTCAGAAACATTCAAGCAAAGAGAAAAGTTCATTGACCTGAATGGTGTGAAGAAATGAGCGTCCAGTCTGGCACATAACAGCAACCCAGGTAGAAAGTAAAGATTGGGACGACTCTGTAGAGCTGCTGTCATCTTAATGTTGTGTTATTGTTTGGATACAGAGTGAGAGCTAGGTCCTGTTGACTGGAGGATGTTTGGAGTCAAATCAGGAAAGAAGAGTCTGACAAGCTGCCCGTGAGCTGCAGTTCCACCTGACAAGGAAAACCCTCATCTGGGAACCATCTGGGAGGCACGCTCTGGTTGTGTGTGTATTTTAAGGAAGGGAGTCCTTATTGCAGCTTTTATCTGACCCACCATCACATTCTCCTGCAGGAAAAACTCCTGCTGAGAAATATCAGAGGCATTTTTGACACATGCAGAGAGTTTGAACACTTTGTAACCTCATTTAAATAATCATCACATCTTTAATTTAGCAGAATAAAATCATGAAATCGTCTGTTTTAGTCAAATCCAGCTGTCACTGTGCAGTTAAACCAATCTCAGAGTTATCTCACATCACTGACTTATTACTGTCCTAAAGGATGGCTCCTATTGGCTAATGTCACATGCATGAACATGACACAAACTTGATGATCTTCATCTATATCACTACCAGCATTTGCACTCTTTAAGAGATCTAGTTTGTTTCATCCAGGTTGCGTGAATGTGAAACCTTTGACCTGTGGAAGTTAAATGTGTTGTTTAAAAGCCCCTTGGTGGTTTTATCCCATTAATGAAGCAGAAAGAAGACACTGCAGCTTAACTACGGAGTACCAAAAGGGACAAAAGTAGCATGTTGTTTCCATGCTTTAGTCACATCTTGATTTGCATGTTAACACTGGCAGGAGAAAGAAAGAAATCTTGAACACATAGTCCAGCACAGGTTTTAAAGTCGCCCACTCAGGCATCATTTTTACACTAATATATAACATACACATTAATATTTTGACAGTGTAATTACAGTTAAATTAATCACTTCTTCTCCCTTTTTATTGTTGCATTCAGTTCAAATCCAGGCAAGTGTTTTTATGAGCGAAACATAAAAATATTTCCTGTTTCCAGATAAGATTTAAACTAATCTATTTTCTGTTCTATGCTGTTAATATTTGAACATCTGAGTTTCTCTCAGCCTCCTTTCAGTGTCGTTTTAATTGAAACATAAATGGTACGTCTCCCTGCTTTACATCAGGGGTTTTAATCCATGTTGCTTATGTTTTAATTATCAACGCTGTGGTTTTGACTGTTTGGGATTCATGCCATGCACAAAATCGACTTCTCCTCTAATATATTCATGCACGTCAGAGTCCTGGAAGCTGCTGGGTGCTTTATCAAAGTTTAAGGAGGGTCCACAGTGACCGTCGACATCCAGCTGATCGTATTACCTCCACACAGCGATGACGCTCCTGTGGGCTGATCTCATATTCGTGTTCGTCTTTATCTTCAGCTCCAACCCCAGTGGCATCCTGCTCCTCTACCTCTTACCTTCCCCCTCCACTCTCCTCCTCTCGTGGCTCTTTCCCTCTCCCCCCCTCACCTCCCCCCGACTCTCGTCTGTTAATTGGATGAGCCGTCACAAACTGAGGAGGATTAAATTTGAGTCTGACGTGGCTCCGTGACCACCAAACCCGTCCTCTCTGCTCTAGAGGAGTATTAAAGCGATCTGAGTCGTTTCTCCTGCATGAAAAGTTCAACAGGATTCCTCTACAAACAAAAAGGCATGATGGGAACTTAAGAAACCTGCATGATGTGGCTCTTACACCTTAGAAATGGTAAGGCAGACATGGTGAAATTTTCAGGAGACTGCAAGAAAAGCTGACCTACACCTTCTTTATGGGGGGTGGGATGGGGTGGGATCTGTCTTTGTTTACATACTAACAAAAACTGAGGCCACTCTGTGTCCGAACTATTCTTGCAGATGTAAATGGGTGTTACATTTAATTAAAGCACAAGAATAACGCTCCTCCTGTTTTAGCAGTATACAGAATGAAGGTCATTGCCTGGTAAACATTTGCATTAGCAGAAAGCACATGTGTAAATAAAATGAACTTATTGTTGAGAATAAAGACACTCAAGCAGATTGAGCTCTCATTGAAGCCGAACTTTGTACAGCAGTAAGTCCTCTTTTCATCCTGAGCATCCTTCATGTTTGAAATCAGCCTTTGTGATGGAAATGAGTGACACGCTCAGTTAACACACCCTCCTCCTTATCCAGGCTTTGATAAGAGGCAGAAAATCTGCTCTGAGCTGCAGGAGGACAAGATATATGATCGAAAACACTGGAATCAGGTTTAATGCCGAGCAGGTCTGCAAGGATCTTTGATTGAGTGCAAAATGATGGAGGTCCAATCAATCCATCCCACAAAATAACACATGCTCACAACACCAGAATCATGTACACTCAATCTAGTTCCTTTTTTCTCTAGATTGTTATATATGTTAATGTTTTCATACTTGGCACAACACATAAACTTGTGCAAACGTGCAAACAAATTAATAACTTGTAAATATATATATATATATATATATATTGTGTACAAAAGACAAGTGACTTTTTCCAAAAGATTATAACTTTGCATTCAATAGTGTAAAAATCAGAAACCTCTCTTGTCAAGTTAATATCTTATGCGCACAAGGGGATATCTTGTGCACGTGTATAAATTATTTTATTTTCACAGGAAAGTTATATTCCGTGTGCAAGATACTTCCAGGACACAAGATTTAAGGATTAAGATGAATTTTTGGGGCCAAGATATAAACTTTCACTCACAAGATAATTCCTGCTCTCATACAATGGCTGTGTAGTGTGCACCAGATATTAACTTGTTTTCCCGAGGATACTCATTTGGTTTGCACAAGATTATTTACTCATTCCCACAGGATGATATTTTTTTCTTATCAGAGTAGAAAAAAACAAGACAATAATTTGTTCCAACATGTGTTGTCTGCACACGATAATAAGTTCCAACAAGATACACATTCTTGTGTACCAGATTATTTATTTCAACAGGGTGGTCATACTGTGTGCAAACGATTATTCACTGTTTCTCATGTGATAACACCTTGTTTGCGCAAGATGCTCATTATAGGTTTACTGGAAATCTTGTGCACACAAGATCTGATCTTGTTTCAACTAAGATTATCTATTATATGCAGAAGATTATAATTTGTTCAAGGTGGAAACATTCAAGATTATTTAGTGATGCTATTATTATACAAGATAATAGTTCCCCAAAATATGGTGTGATCAAGAAAAATGTATGGTACACACAAGATAACTATTTACAGGTACAAGTGAGTATCTTGTGTGCACGTGAAAATGTTGTTTCCATAAAAGGTTTACTTCTTCTTGCAAAGTGCACACGAGATAACATCTTTTCAGCATAAATTCATATCTTCATTTTTTTTACAATTCATATCATATCATACATGTTTATGCAAGACAGTGAACAACACGACAAGATAACTTGTAGGTACAACATAACATTGATGTGGAAGATCTTAAGATAAACACTTGTTCGGTGAAGATACTTCTTTTATTCACGCAAGTTAATGACTTGTGTAAACAACATATAAGTCTCGCCTTTTCGGACTAAAAGCAGTAAAGAGATAAGCAGAATAAGCAGAGGTAGAAATCTTGCTAAAAGCCGATATTCTGCTCTCAGAGAAATTTAAATGAATAATATGGAAAGATACTGGAGATCAACAACACAACACTCCACAAAATATAACACATTCAAGGGAAACAGATAGGTCTGTGTAAAAACTCAAAAATTCATACAGAGAAGTGACATCGTGATTTGGGACCTTTTTAAAAGCAGTAGCTCGACGTTAAACAGTGCGTCATCAAACGTTTACGTGAGTGTGACGTGGTTGGGCGAGGGGAGCTCGAGCTTTCAGGACATCCCTGCTGTAAAGATCTTTTGGGTTAAAATCTCTCAGAAATAACGCCAAATGTCTGACTTTCATATTTAAATGATATTTACATGAAAAAGACCCCCGACTTTTATACATCCTGAGCTAAAACTGAAGGTGTTAAAAGATCAAACAGTCGTTAAATTCACAGAGATCTTTCGTCTCTCTTTGTCCAGGTGTTTGAAACTCCCACAAAGAAATAAAAGCATGTTTGAGGCCCGCGCACTATAAGGCAGTTCCATGCTTAAGAACTGAGATAACTTACTTCACTATTATTACCCCAGCGTTGTTGACAGTGAAAGCATTTAATAAAAGGTTGAACTCTACAGAAAACGTGGGTTTCCGGTTGTCTCTCGTGTAACCGCTTCACAGTCAGACTCACTGAAAGTTGAAAGGCAAGTCCGGTGACGCACGTCTTTTTTCAGCTCCTGCTCTTTGTCCGGTCACTGTAACTTCACACAGGAGTAATCTCACTACTCTAATGACGTTAATGACCATCCCTGATATAAAGGAGCGCGTGCAGGACTCACTGGACAAAGAGGACGCACGAGAGACCAGAGGAGAAGCGGCTGCTGCGCACGGACAGTTTTGGATACGGTGGCTTTTACGCACACTCTCTCTCTCTCATTATGGACTACTGCTGAGCTCTGACGACGGACACAGTGCGCGTGAATACAGCTGCAGCTCGAGCATCACATCTGATCTCCTTTCGTTTTTTGTTTCAAGACGTTTATTTAAGAAGCAAAGTGACTTTAAAATCAAGCTTTAGCGCCATGAAATTGATGTTGGTCCCTGTTTTGATGGCTTTCATCGCTGTCGTTCAAGTTGTCAGCGAGGAGCCAAAAGACGAAGCTGACTACTGGACGAGCAGTAACCAGGTTCAGGTAATATATTCCTCTGCAAATGAAAATATCTATTTTTGTCCCCTGTTGATGAGCATGAAAGTTGATAAATCTACCTTTGTGTCATTAAAGTTTGTTTTTTCCTCATTATGAAGCGCACAAACAAACATATTAATTGATTTCAGCCTCAAATTCTGTTGTAGGATAGTTGCACCTCGTCTCAGCCTACTGTGAAATAAGCTGCTGCGCTTTTCTGCAGAAAAAGAGCAGAATAACATCGAGTTTATCCTTAAAAATGTTCAAAGTGTGCGTTGACTGATGTTTGATCAATAACTTTGGATCTCTGGGCAACAAAAAACGATCATATCAGGAATTTACTTTTTTGTAAATTGATGTTATTTTGTGCTCATTTTTTTGCGTGATGATTTTGATTTCGCTGTGTTTTGCTGTAGACACAGAGCTATCTTCCGTCTGTAAGAAAAAACACAACATTAGGTCTGCAGTGAGTTTCATAATAACAGAAAACTTTGTCCTAAAATCGTCTTTTTGGCCATTGCATTCGTGCATATAGGTTTGTGGTAAGCCTCTGATACTCCGGCACAATGTCAATGAAAATCAATCAGAGAAAAACTTCCGCAAACCACTAAGGCAAACACTTGCGGATATTTTTAATCCACAAAGAGTTCAAAGCCTGCTGATGGATTCAAGGTCACAAAAACTAGATACGAACGAAATAAAAATGTGAAATAATTTCAGCTCACTTTCCAATTTGATTGTCTCATGGGATTCTCAGTCATACGGAGAGTATGAAGTATGAAGCTGAAACATCAGCTTATGAGTTCAACTTTTTGTTAAAGCAGCAAAAGAGACAATCAGAGGGAGGAGGACTTTATTTTACGTAATTTGGGAATATGATAAAAACGTCAGGCAGAAAATTTAGTTGTAAAGACTGGAAACTTGAGAGGGAAGTTCTTTTAAATACTAAAAAAAAGTCTAAATTAGGACTTTGAACAGGATCAGTACTTTATTCTTTATTTCAACCCTTGGCTTATCAGGTCTTTTTCTGAGGGCTCAGACTCTTTCCAGCTGCCGGAACCCTTTTCTGTCCTCTCCATGTTACCATTTTTCTTGGTGACTCACAAATGCATCTAAAATACATTACCCATGGTGCACTGTGAAACAATCCCTTTCTTTCTCAGGTGTTACATGATGCTTGCTTGTCTGTTTTTGCAGAGTAGACTAGGCTTCTCCTTGTATCTTAATGAAAAACTTTACTTTAATGGTTTTCTGATTCTGCTTTTACCATGTGCTTGCCAACAGCTGATCAAACAGAGTAGCGGCTTCATTTTTTTCCCATAAACCACTGAATACAATGAGAAATGTCCAAATTAAAGTTCAAGTTTTAGAATAAAGGCACATGTTGAGAGTAAAGTCACAGTGTTTCAAGCTAAAGTAGGTTGTAATGTCAGGGGGTCAGAGTCAGATTATCAGATTAAAATCACATTTTTAAATGATTCTCTAGGAGAATAACGAAGCAAATATAATGTTGTTGTCCTCTAGGGGAGCTAGAGTCACACTTTAGCCCCTGGAGCTTTAATAAAAACCTTCAAAGACACATCATGCTGATTAACTCATTTGAATTTTCTCCAAATGCACAAGACTCAAGCGTAAGGTTTAACTAAATTCCTCACATTTTCCTCAAGTCTTTGGTCTTCTGCGTGAAAACACAAATGAATTAGTAGATTACCAGAAAAGTCTTGTTTGTATCATAACAGCAGGAACAGTCTCAACCCTCTTAAAGACGTTTAGACATCCAGACTTTAGAGGATGGAGACGGTTGCAGCTCTTGGCAGCTAGAAAATGAAATTAACCCTTAAGTGCTCTGTGAAGTCGGAACTGAAGCTGAAACAGTCTCCATCAGCATGAATCTCACGTCCTGAGTTTGACATTGCAATATGGAGAGGAGCCAGCAGGCTGAAGCTGCTGATGAACGAGGCGGCGATAAATCATCAAAGCTTGGCGTGCAGACATTAGCGGCCCCTCAGGAACACTTCGCAGTCGGGCTAATGCACGGCAAGGAAATATGCCTTCAGATGGAAATAGAGAGGCTCTAATGAAAGACCACGGTTCAGGATTTATATTAATTATTACCACAAGCGTGTGTGCAGAAGGGGAAGTCCAGATCACGCACATATCTTAAATTAACTCACTAATATGATGGGCAAAGGAACTTTTTAAAAACCGGATGTAAAACATGCTCCACAACGTGAACGCCTCTCCACAATATCAGAAAAAAACCTAGCACATCAGCAAAAAAGAGACACCCAAAGTTTTTATACTTATAACCACTGTTACGGGGCACATGTCAGATCAGTCGGAAAAAAAACACTTTTAAAACTTTTTCTGCAGCAAACATTTACAAAAAGTGACACATAAGTCTTTTCTGAGAAATCAGGAGCCAGAAAACATGTTAGACACATGCACATGTCAAAATAAGCAGAGTTATTACAAGTATAACTTGTACCACAGGGGGCACCAAAGTCAAAACAAATAGAAAACTAAGTTTAAAGTATCGTCCACAAACATGCACACACTTGAAAACTTGTTTCACTCTGTGGGTTGACATTACATTCCCATATAAGCAGATTTTTCTTTCACTTCAAAGTTTTGGAAAATGACGAAATCTAACAAAAACGCCTGGTTTGTTGTATACACAATTTACAGATTTTCACCACTAGGGGGTGTTTTATGTGGTCTGTTCAGTCTGATGTATGCCTTCCTTAATTTTCCTTTGAGGAGAAAGGAGAGCAGAATCTTATGGCTTAAAAACTTCTTGTCATATGTGGATGCATGGTCATCTAAAATTAACATTTCAGAAAGTCCTGACATTGTTGCCTCCTATAAAACACTTTTAAAAGATGACATTCAAAGATTTACTGTAAATTGTTATTTATTATTATAAGGCTGTATTATAACCTGAGGTGGGAAACATGATTTTGTTGTGCTTTGTGCCATAGGAATTAGGTTGAAGTGTCAAAAACAAGAAACAAATTTCAAGATTTGAAATCATAAAATGCTAACAGCATAGCAGGGAGTCTCAAAGTATCTTAAAAAGACACAACAAGACATTAAAAAAAGTCCAATGTCAAGCAAAAGGTCAAATAATGGTTAAAAACAAGACCTACCAAAAGGAGAAATCTCTTGACACGGGGAATCAAGTAAACACAATAATCTCATTTTACATATTTTCATTCACAGCTTTATTTAATCTTTTTTTAGTGTCGTATCTTCACGTTATGAAGGATCACAAACCTTAAACCCAGTGGCTGTACAATGACAAAGCTTATTAAATGGATTTTTTTACATTTATCATGTCCCCTCCTCTGTAGGATGGCTGGCTCCCCAGAGACCCACTCAGAGACATCCTCCTGAGGATGACGAGAAAGCCGCGGCCGCATCAGTTCATCGGTCTGATGGGGAAACGCTCTATGGGTGAGAGATCCGACTTGGGGACACAAACAGATTTATTTCTGTTCTTCATCTGTGGACCTCTTTAATGTTAAATTTCTCTTTAACAGGAAACGCACAGATCACCCACAAAAGTGAGTATCAGCACCAACTTTACCTCAAACCTTCTGGGTACATCACCTGCTCTCAATAATCTGCTGACTGTCAGCATGTTCGGTCATTTCTTAGATCCTTAAAAGTAGTCCAAACTCTTTTATTTGGGGTTGTGAAAAAGGGACACAAAAGAAAAAAATTAGTATACAGTTTGCCTGATGTGACTGTTGACTTTTTATCCACTTGAAACCTCAAAAACACCCAAATTTCCACGTAAAATGCAGAAAACATGACGTCAGAGCTCTTCTGTGTCATCAGCTCAAAATAAACCTCCTAAATTACCTGAGAGGGATTAATCTGCACTGATACTGACACTTTGCTTTACGGCATAGTGCTTAAACTCTAAGGTCAAATGTGAAGGATCAGTCCCCATCAGATGTGAGCTGTTTGATAATCAGGATTTTGAAACCTGTCTTGACATTAAAGGTGTAGAAAAACAACAGGAGCATGCCGCCTGCAGGTGTGCTGCAGGCTGTTTGATAAAGCCCTGAAAGATGAGCATGGGTGAGTCATTTGGGCCTAAAAAAGAGAATTAAATGAACGTATAGAAAACAGCAAATCCTCTGTAATGTTTATTTGTGTTAATTCAAAAAAACACAAGGTTTAATTAAGTGCAGGCTCTGCAGATTATTCCAAACATCAGTTTTTGCCATTCTTTTGAAGGCGTTAATATGTGGGTGAGGACTGAAGGAGGTCTGCAGACATCCGTGGAAGATAAAGAAAGACAGAAGAAAGGAGGAAAGAAAGGAGGAGGAGGGGGTTTACCTTTCATTTCTCTCCTCTTAGTGATGCAACAGCAGCAGAATAAGTGAACTCACGTCTCATTTATTCCTCATGTGCAGGCCGGAGCATCAGTCACTCATCATTAGGGGGGCTGGGATTAATGCCCGAAGGACATGTGTGAGGGTTAAATTGGATTGTTTATGCCTGTGATGGATAGATGGGGCAATGATTTTAACTCTTATGTAATTTACTCACTTTAAAAAAAAAAAGCAGAAAAGAGAGAGACGGTGTTGGGCTACTTCTCCACAGGGAGTGAGACAGAGGGACGGGAGATATTTACAGTAAAGTCTCATCAGCCTAATGAAAATATTGACGTCTGTAATGTCACATATTCCCTCAGGGCTCAATAAGTTTTATAACTCACCCCCTCCCTGCCTCCTCTTCCTCCTCCTGATCATATTACGGTCAATTAATGTGATTGACAGGAGCTCCAATCAGCCTGTGATGCAGCTGTCCATCACATCAACACAAACTGAAAACCTGAGAGGGCCGAGGCTGCTCCCCAGAAACAAATATCAACATTCATATGATGCCTTGTACCTCCCTTTTTGGATGCTCACATCTTTGCATTTAGAGCCTGTGCAGCAGAGATGGTCTGGTTTTGCAGCAGTGTTGGCGCTCATCCCTTACTTTGACCAAAGCAGATCAGGTTCTTCTACCAGAGACTTATAAATGACAGAAAAATTCATGTGACATATATATATTGTTGAGTTTGATGTGTAAGGTACACTTTAAACACTTTGAAAATTGAAAAGGTATGCTGCATCTCACAGGTTGTAGAACATTGCCCAGCAGATGGCGCACAAACAAGCAAATGAGCGTTTCGCTCATGCAACTGGTGGGTGTAGTTTTTAAATGTTTATTCCTGCGGTCTCACACCGACAGATTTAAAACATGCAGCGTGCTCAAACTCCAGAACAGATACTTGAAAGTTGCAACAGGATGCTGGCAAAACTTTCTGTGCACGCAAACTGGCACAATATGCCGTGCATGTTTGTTTGAGTTAACAGTTGGCAGGGTTTTAGGGTTGCAAGACAGAGCTGTGTCTGGATGAATATTTCTATGATCCTTTCACTGTTTGATAAGCTGCATGGAAACCAAAGATCCTCTCTTTGCAGGGCATAAAGTCAACTCTTTTGTTGGACTGATGGGGAAAAGGAGTCAAGAGGAGCCAGGTAAGTTTAACTTAAATCTGAAAAATGTTCAAATAAAAAAAAAGTGAGCTGAAGCTAAAAGTTTTTATTTTCTCCTCAGAGTCCTACGAGTGGAGCACAATACAGACGTACGACAGACGCCGTTAAAACCTCGCCTCCTCTCTGCCTGCTTCTCTTCTGGCCGCTCCTTGCCTGCAGGAGTGACTGACGCTGGTTTTTGTTTTTTCTGAAACTGTGTGTAGCTGTTAGTCGAATAAACGGATTCTGTTTCCACATTGTAGTGATGTAGCAGTGCTGTGCCTGTGCCACTTTTCATTCATCGATGCAGGAGGAGGAGGATGGAGGTGGAGGAGAGGGCGAAGGTTTTCTTATCAATGTTAGATTTTGAATCATCTGCTTCAGAGAGTCAGTGTTGTTGTGGACCATCAAAGCAAAGCCATACCCCGGGGTATGCTGAAGACTGCACTGCCAACGTCACTGTAGAGTGCCTCATTTCTGTTTAACTGCTACTGATTGTTCTCTTAAATCCACACGCTGGGTCAGGATCTGCTTCTGGGTTTCACTTCCAGCCATCATGATCTCCACCTGGTGAGATGTGACAGGATACCTGTGTGTTTAACAAATATTAAAATTATTTTCTTTACTGGTTCAAATCCAGCTTCAAGTTGTGAATTCCTTTTAACATAAAACCTTCTTAAACTGCTCACTAAATCTGAGAGGGGAGAGTGCGGCGGGGTTGCCCTCTGGAGGACAACAGAGGTACTACGTGATGCACAGAGAGGGAGGACGGCACGTTTAGGTGGTCAGTGGGAAGTTTATTTCAGCAGCATTTGGTACAAAATAGAGCAATCTAACAGGATGAAAATGTCAGGAGGTAGACAAAAAATGATAGAACATCTCATGTAAGTAATCTGCTTCAAACTCTTAACCCCTCCCCCAAACTTGGATTATATCTCCTAAATCTCAAAGCTGTTCCAGAGATTTATTAAAACAATCGGAGAGAGTCAAAGTCCTCGATCAGGAACTCTGCACCTAGATATCACAGCTATCAGGCTGCAGGCTGGAACTAACTATTCAGACCCTAAATGACAGAAGTTTGAAGTGATGTAACTTCCCCTTTCACTTGATCATATTATTTAGTCTGTTTTCTGCAGATGATCATTAAAACTGCACCTGAATGAGGGAAACTGGCTGTTCTGACACACTACATTGAAATCCATTCAGGACTACTGAGTTATTCTAAGGTCATTTAAAAAGCTCCTTCTTCACACTGAGGTGGTTTTCTTATCTTGGACTGATTTCATCTCATTGTGCCCCTTTAAACCTACAATAACATTATGTAACATAGACCCCGTTTGCATAGCCAGGCCTAAACCAAGACCAAACTCCTCCTCGGAGCAGAAATGAGCTCAATCACACCTTTCTCTCCCTCTCTCTGTAAGACCTCTATCACTCTGTTAGCATAAATCACTCGACAAAAAGCAGAAGCAGAAGCTATTTCTGGTGTTAGCAGCTCTAAAACTTCCACAGGAGGTAAAAAGAACAAACATTTAAGATAAAACTTGGGATGTGAAAACAAATCAACTCACCCAGCAAACCAGTTTGTTAAGCTCTAGAGGAAAGATTTCCTCATTAACTACTTATTTGAAGCCTTTATTGCTGCCTGGATGCAACAGAGCTTAATAACCATCTTTTATTTTGAAAGAAAGCAACAGGTACTTCTGCTAAATTGTAAGGCGATAAAGGCAAATAAAAAACCGCAAAAGGAAGGACCAACAGGAAAACGGAGTACAGACACTTCCTGACATACGATCAGGAATAGAAAGAGATTGTCCACGAGTTCATGAAAGATAAAAAGGTAAAGATGACGGATTAAAAAGGATTAAGATGAAAACAAATAAGAGGTGGACAGGTCATCTTTGTCTTTGTGAGAGTCACTGTCAGACTTTCTGAGTGGGGAGGCCAAACTGACTCATGTAGGGGAAACATTACAGAAGGGCTGCCCTCACTGAATAGAATCATCTTTAAAACCGTTTCTAAATTTTTAAGTTTGAAAGTTAACAGATTGGTGACATAAATCAGCTGAATTTAGATCTTCAGGGATCTGAATAAGGTCAACATTCAGAGTCCCTACGAAACCATTCCAAAGACGACAAAGACGAGAGGACATCCAGATGAAAAGTTCAAGACAGCCGGCGCCCTCTGCTGTTTGAAAAAGGAACCCTAATTTATTTTTTTTCCTCTAAGAGCCTGATTCATTAAAGGTTTTTGTGTTCAAACTTGACATCAACTGCAAATAATGAGCCAGCTGATCAACTAACAGCGCACACTCTTTCAGGTGTGCAAGATGGCATTCATTGTCCTCGCATGGAGATGCAAATAAACCAAAATACCTCTCTGGTCTTTGCACCTGACATCATACATGCAAAACTTCTTAGTTGATCACACAAACAAGACCTGCACCTTTTCAGAAGGAGCACACACTGCAGTGTTCATTTTGTGTTGTATATCAATAAAGCAGGCCCTCCGTGATTGAAATGGTCCCTTTAGATCGAGTGCTTTGTGATGCACAGTCACATCCATAGATTTGATTTTTTTGAAAATGTAACACAGACAGGTTGAATGACAGATTTAAGAGAAGCCCAGTGAGAGTCTGGAGCTGTTCTCCGACTATGGATCTGAACAGTTCTAGCAGGTTAATGCTGCCAACTCTGTGTCATTGAAGAGTTGTACCTGTCGACGGTCAGCGATAAGTCAACAAACTTCACTTTCACATCTAAAGTCTTTTTTTCATGTCATGACCGGGGCTTTTAGTTTCTTTTTTGTTCATTTTTTAGCTGAAAAATGTTTGTACTAAAATCACATTTTATCACTTTGTAAGGGTGAAAAGAGAGGTTTAAGAAGCTTCGATCTTTAAGTCGGTCATATTTGGTTTTCCATTTTCTCATTTAGATCTAATTCTATTCTTCTTATTTAATAGATAATTCTGACTTTTCTGTGTTTTTTTGGTGAGGATAAATAGTTGAATACAGTTTAAACAGAAAGTCTGACAGACTCCATCAAAGTGTGAAAAACTCAGCCTAATCTAAAATAAGTTTGTTGAACTCTGAGCTCAAATTAAAGCTGCGTATGACATGTGAAGCTGCTGCTGTTCACTGATCTTTGTCGGGTTTGTAGATGGACAGGGTCCGGGCTGACGGGTCAGTGGCGTTGATCCAGCGGGGCATCCAGTAATGTGTCAGCCAGTCAGCTCGTCCGGGGAAGAGCTTCTCAAACACCTGTCTGTAGTAATACGCCTCTTTGGAGTGAGGGGGCAGGTGGGGGAAGGTCTTATGAGCTCTCTCCATCTGACTGTCGTTTACCTGAGAGGAGACGGAGCGTCCATCAGAAACAGAGATGGCAGAGACCTTTCAGACGAACGTATTCTAATGTTATGCAGTCATACTCACCATGGACTCGAGGTGCTCCTGCAGGCAGGTGTACCAGGACTTCTTCACTGACATGATCCCGTCACTGAAAGCCTCTTTACGCCTCCACAGGATGTCGTCAGGGATCAGGTTCAGACCTTTAAAGGAGTCCCTCAGAAGATGCTTCTCCACACCGTGCTGTACTCAGAGAGACACACAACATGACTGTTAGGAAGTCGAAGTGAGTCCCAGTTCGGACACAGATATAAACGCAGGTTTTCATGCTCAGCAGATTAGAGGGTTAGCTCACCTTTGCGGTTCTCATATCTTCAGGTAGAGAGAGGTAGTACGCTGTGAATCTGTGGTCCAGGAAAGGCACTCTGAGCTCCAGACTGAGAGGGGAAGAGGAGCACCAGCTGTTAAAACTTATCCAAGTACCCTGACTGTGTCTGTTGGGGATATCTGTGGCGGATGATGAGATTTCAGTGTTACCCGTGTGCAGCGGTGGTGCGATCAGCGCGGAGGACATCAAACAGGTAGAGCTCTTTCAGCAGGCGGACACAGTCCTCTGCAGCCGCCGCCGGAGTCGGAGCCTGAAGGACAAACACGCCTCTGTCAGCACCGGAGCTGTATGTTTGACATGCACCTCTTTACACTCACATGATGAATATAACATGTCTGATGCATGTTTGTAGAAGCGCCTCTGACCATTTTATGTAAGAGGTCACCACGCTCTGCACACACAGAGGGTCAGATCTGCAAAGGTACAGTTTCACCTTCAACAGGATACGAGTCTGAATGTTAGTGCAAAGGGTTCATCTGCAGAACAAAGATGCCACTGTTTGAAATACGTGTTATATACAGTATACTTTATTTGTCTTACAGTTTGAAGTCGCTAAGTTTAACACATCTCAATATTTCTCTACATGTCTGCAACATCACAGTGCATGCTGTGATTTAGATTTTGACTTTTAAGCTGATACAAGCAGTCAAATGTTTTGGTAAACTGTGCAGCCTGACTCCTTACTGAGGCTGAGCATCTACACTTCTGCAACAAGGTGAGAGAACAGGAGCCAATGGAGGTCAGCAAACTGCAGCTGGAGTGATGCATTGACTCTATTGTTTCTGCAATATCTTTTCATTTCCAACAACCTGACACAGCTCCACCTGTTACTAACTTTACTTTCCTGGTATGTTAGTGGGATATTTCTGCAATGAATTATGGACACTGTTTCCTAACTTAGAAAAATGGTGTCACATAATGATTTGGAACTGATCATCATGCATTTGTGTCTTCACGTTTAGACTATTGTAACAGTTTGTTTTCCTGTATGAACAAAAAGGAGCGGTCTCGACTGCAGTTAGTACAAAACTCTGCAGCCAGAATTCTGACCCACTCCAATAGGAGGTCACACATATCCCTGATTCTTAAAACCCTTCATTGGCTGCCTTTTTTTTTTAGGATAAATTTTTAAATTCTGGTTTTAACTTTCAGAGCCTTGCATGGTCAGGCTCCAGCTTACATCAATGACCTGATCCAGCCTTACACCCCAGACCCGGGTTCTAAGGTCTGTGGGTCAGAATCTTCTGATGGTGCCTCATACTCATTTCTGGACCAGAGGAGACCGATCCTTCCAGGCTGTTGCTCCCAAGCTCTGGAACAATCTTCCGCCTGCTCTGCGTTCGATGGAGTCTGTTGACTCCTTCAAAAGGGAACTAAAGACTTTTCTATTTGTTCAGGCTTTTCCCTAACTGTCTTGGGGCTGCTATGGTTGCTATAGTGTTGTTTTGGCCTTTTAAAAATTTTAGGTTTGTATGTATTTATTAACTGTGTATTGTTTTTGCTTTTGGCTTTTACTGTAAAGCGCTTTGTGACCTTGGTCTGTATAAATAAAGTTTACTTACTTATTTACTTACTAACTTTTGCAGAAGTTCCCTTGTGAGACCAAAAAAAGGAAAAGCAGGTTTCATCAGAACTGTGTCTGAATCCTGTTCCCTGTCTGTGTGTTAGCATTAGAGTAGAGTTAGTATCAGTTGCATTATGATGTTTAAGTATCTGTAGGACTTGCCTTGTGGAAGTAAATGTATCCCTGAGTCAGCTCGTCAGCTCCCTCTCCGGAGAAGATCACCACACTGTCTGATTTCTCCCTGATGTACTTGGAAATCAGGTACATCCCTGCAGAGAGAGGAAATAACACAACTCAGAGGAAGATTTCTGAAATGTGGAAATAAATGATCATTTTTAGCTGTTTTTCAATCATTGCAGATGGACTCATAACTGAATCGCTTCTATGAGAAAGCAGCGATGGGCCACAGCTCAGTCAATGTCCTGCACGTTGCCCCTTCTGACCTCTGAGCGTTAAACTAACATCAGTGGATCCAGAGTGATTCAGAGCAGTCAGTCAGGAGGAAAGAGGAATGCAGCGATGCAGCAGACTCATTTCAAACACAGCGGTGAGCAGAGAGCTGCAGACATGTGAACCATTCAAACCCTCACAGACAGAAAACTGCCTCGCTTCCTCTTTTATGTCCATTTGAAGTCAAAGGATTTTCTTGATCCAGCCAGAGGCAGTTTATTTAGAACATGAAGCAGCATTTATAGAAGATCAAACATAGAGGTAAACTGACATTCATAACGGAAATATAAAAATAAATAGCTTTGAGGCGCTGTGTTTTGCATCATGCTTGGTATTCCAGCCATATCACAACTGTCCATACTAATACTGAAGCCTAATAACCTTCATTTGCAATCAGATAAACAAAAACAGAAACCAAACTAATGACATTTAAACTTCTACATTCATTGTATGTTTTACTTGTTGTTATAATGTTCATTTCACACCATAAACATCCCTTGAGTCAGACAAAGACACTACTTTTCATCACTGTTTGCATGTTTATTTCAATCTCTCAAGTCCTCCCCATCTCTTTGTGTGGGGAAACTTTCATTTAACTCCATCCTCATCAACCATTGGATGGTTTTACTCGCTCATTTTAGACTCAGACTAACCCTCAGTCCTTCTATGGCCGGTACAGGAGTCACCTTTTTAGTGTCTTTCAGGGACAGAATAGGGCTGCACGATTTTGGCCAAAAATAAAATCCCATTTTTTTCTCTGAAAACTTGATTTTCGATTTTGATTTTTTTATTCAGTGACAACTTCACCAAACTTCAAATTAATAATATGTTTTTCTATCACCTCTCAAAACAAAACCACTGAAAATGATGTAGAGCATATGCCAAGCCAATAAGTGGTGCTGTAACACTGCCAAGGAAATGCACAAAAGACAGAAGAAGAGTACAGAGCATATGTATAAGGGTTGTTTTGGCTGGACACGTGTAGATGTCATAAAAGAGTTACGCTGTGTGTCACGTGATTGTTTCAAGAGATGCAGATAGTCATCCACACAGAGAGGAAATCATTTTCAGATTTGTGCACTCTCTGACCCATTTTCAAAAAGTACCATTTACAGTCACCAGAAACGCCATTTCCATGTGGACGAAACGCTAAAAAAACCCAGTGTGGACGGGTTGATACCGCCTTCAGACAGACTTTGCAGCTGGGAGTGGTTTGCTCTTCATCTGAAACTGCAAAGCTATTCCAATTCCATACGACTGACTTGCTTGTCCTATTTAGCCATGAAATTATCGCCTTCTTCTGCAAATGTCACGTTTGTTAACACTGGTGTGTGTGGGAACTGGGGAGTGCTCCCACAGGAAGGGGGAGCCTACGGTGGCCTGGAGGCGCGAGACATGATAGAGTGGAAAATCGATTTGATGATTTAAATTTTTTTAACATCATCATAATCAAATAATCTGGTTACGATTTAAAATCGATTAATCATGCAGCCCTAGATCAGAAGATACAATTCAGCAAAGTTTCCTCTCAGAGAAGTGTTTTCCTGTGAGGAAACTTGTGACTGATGCAGACGCCATCTTAAGTTGTTAGGTTGACGCAACAACAGCTGGATGACGAAAAAGGGTTGGTGTAGGAGCCACTAAAGTGGTCTTTACACGTTTCTCCTCATAGCCTTGTCTGTGACCCTCTCTTGAAGTGACTTAGCTGGTCCAACAGTCACTGATATTTCTGTTCAGTCAGCTCACTCTGTCATGTTACAGACTGAGCTGTAACATGAACACCTCTGACATATGCCAACTGAACACTTAGTTCAGAGACGAGAGACTTTACTGGGCAGAAAAAGTTACCTGTTAAATATGGAGGAAAATGTGTGCATCTACCACCAGGGAGACCTGTAATATTTCTTTGTTTCTCTGGTGTGCAGACTCACCGACAGAGGCACGGATGGTTGTGATGTCGTAGGTCTCCAGGTGAAAGATAACCTCCTCCACAGCCTGGATGCCCTCCTCTGCAGTAAAGTTCACCTCATGGTGTTCACTGCCAATGTGAGCTGCAACCTGCAAGCAAAAAAAACCCCACCTGTAACCAATCACAGACTGCTTATACCACAAACTGACTTGACTTGTTAAATAAATGTTGACCTCTGACCTTGCGAGCGGCGATGATGTCAGGGCTGCCCTCTGACCCAATGGAAAATGTCTGGATGGGATACTGCAGCTTCTCCTCTTTGGCCAGTTTCACTAGTGTGGCAGCAACCAAACTTGAGTCCAGACCACCTGAGGGAGGATCAGCAACGCAAACCAGGTTCATTTCAAGCCTGTCCTGGAGTACTGGTTGTCCCTGTCCCCCTTTTCCAACTCACCGGACACACAAATATTAAACCAGCCCCCCTCTTTCTTTATTTCTGCTGCATCTTTGGTTGCTACTGCATGCATCTCATTTTCTGCAGGCCCAGTTTAGGGGTTTGACGAAAAACCCCGACCCCAGATGGTAAAAACAGTTGGGCCTGTTTGACTTTGGTGGTGTCACATTTCCTTCCCACCTTCTAAACCTCATTAACTGCCAACCCCCACCCCCTTCACCAGAGGCCTCCCAACTGTGTCTTGTCCCAGCCTCATAATTCCTTAATCCGGCCCCTCCTCTGGTCCTACACCAACCCTGTCCCCTTAAATCCCTGCACACCCACTCCCACTTTTAGTGTCAGCAGGCCTGCACACAATGAACAAGACATTTTCCATTGACTCTCTGCCAAATATCCATAAACTGCTTTTACAGCCAGAACTTTTTGCTCACAAGCCTTAAGTGTATCACCGTTTATATGACTGATAGGCTCAGGGACCTGGATTTAGTAAAGTGTAGAGCAGCATTATTACGGTATCTTCAGCATACAAGTGGAGTTTTCAGTCATAGTCATTCTGACTGAGACTTCACCTCAATATTTCAGTAACTTTTTATCCAAAGACTCAACATGATAAGTGACCTCTCTTATTACATGCACAGTTCAGTGGAGTTATGGATGAATTCTTGCAGAACAATATCCTGATGCAGATGAGTGAAAAATCAAGATTTGACATGTCAGCCCTCCAGGGAGAAAGAAACTACTTTGAAGTCTGCAGAGACAACTGCTGGGCGTGCACGACTACATCTTAATGAAAACATTGTTTTTTATTAAGGAAGGTGAATTTCTGATTACCCGACAGAAGACATCCTATCCTCCTGTGAGCCATGAGACGTTTCCTCACAGCGTTCTCAAACAGCATCCTGATGTTGCTCTTCACCGTTTCCTCGTCAAAACCTGTGGAGATGATCGGTGTTTACAGAAACTTACACCCATGTTCAGAGTTTGAATAAATCAACACAAGAAGCAAAAGCAGAGGCCTCATACTTGTGGGCAGTCTCTCTACGGTGTCATAGACCGCATGAGCCGGCTCCTTCGTGCAGCAGTGAAACGGCTCCATCTGAATGGACTGAACTTTGCCGTTCTGCTTCAGATCAAAGACCTCAAAGTGCCCTGGCAGGAAGGGGGTGACACTGGCAGGGGTGGCCATGGCATGAGTGATGTCTATCAGACCTTTGAACAGAGTAAAAACACATTAAACGACCATTAAAGAGCTGCGAGGTATTTACAACAAGTGTGTTTAAGATCCAGATTTAAGGAGAAATAAACGGTGGGTTTACCTTTGGCCTCTGAGCAGACAGCGAGGAATCCATCGTCTGTGAGGAGCTTGAACAAGGGCCGCACGCCGTACGTGTCTCTACCCAGAAAGACTTTCCTGTTGGCAGTGTCCAGCAGAACAAAAGCAAAGACGCCGTCCAGGAGGGTCGCCATCTTCTGGATACCGAAGCGGTCGTACAGATGGAGCAGAATTTCTCCATCCACTTTGGTCTGGTGATCGAACTCAAACTGCTTTTTCAGCTTAAAAAACAACACAGGAGATACTTTTAGGTTTCCTGAAGTCTACTGAAGTCGGCTCAGCTGTGCATACATGTACTGATTCATGCGCCTTTAACCCTGATTAAGTCTGCTGCGACTCTGTAGAACCAAGCTTTAAAAATACTGTCACAATCTTAAAGCTCCGGTGAGGAGTTCTGGGTTTGTCTCAGCTTTGGCGCCCTTTGAAAACTTATTTTGTGCTCTACATGCTTAAAAAATGACAGACAAATCTATTTAACTGTAAAAACAGGGCTTAGAGTAGTGTTAGCCATTAAAAATCAAAATGTATAAATTGCCAATTTGGATATTACACAAGCGCCTTAAAATGAATTCATGAGCAGGAGATGGAAACTCTCTGCTAATATATGTCAATTTAGTCATTCCAAAACCCCAAAATGAACTGTTTCTACTTGCACTGCAGTATACAAAAGCTCCTCTGCTTTTGGTCTTAGCTGATATGTTAAAGCAATTTTCATCCCTCCATCTACAGAGACTCACTCTGTAACTGTAAGACATGAAGAACTGGGAGGGCAGAGGCTCTTTGATTTGTTAATATTTGTGTTACCAGTTTGTCAAGGCTGGTGTCTGAATGTGGTGTCCAAACTTGTGAGAAGAGGACCAAATGTTTGCACAAGGCTGGTCTAAGCATGCAGTTAACATGCGGTCCAACACACAACACTGGAAGATCTGAATCTCTTTGAAGCTCTTTGAATCTTTTAGGCGTTAACAATGTTCACGCCTAAAACCAGAACTGCAGCTTCAGTCTGCTTTCAATTCTCTCCAACTATCTGATCAATACCAAAAAAATCTAGGTTAACAGTCAAAAATGAAATGATCTCTTTTTCTCTACCGTTTGGTGGTTGTAAATCTCTCCGTTGTAGCAGAGCCACAAAAAGGGAAACTTCTTGATTCGCAGGGGCTGCATGCCGTACAGCTGATCCACAATCGCCAATCGGTGGAAGCCGAAACAGCAGTTTGTGAAGCCGTTCACATTCTCGAAGCGGAAGGCATCTGGGCCCCTGTGAGCAATCTTCATGGCGCTTGTGCACTGAACTGACAGGCACTCATCACTGCCGAACAAAGCCCAGATCCCACACATTTCACCACTGCATGGGAAAAAGAGAGAGAAAGACATACCAGCAGATATATTTGCTATTACACAGCTTTAAAGTATAATTATTTACAACAATCAATCAATTCCCTACAATCCTTTAATTTGAAGCCTCCATTCATACTGAACAATATCTACAGGTTGAGAAGCAACATCTGCTGCCATCCAGACAAAGACTTTTCAGGGGAGACCTTCATATTTCAGCAAGACACTGACAAACCACATTCTGACAACAGGGATTACAACAGCATGGCTCAGTAGGAGAAGAGTCCTGCTGAGAAACTGCCCTGCTTGCAGTCTTGACTTGTCACCCAGTGAAAACATTTGGGGTGAAATTATGCAAAAAATAAGTTGTCTCTGCATGGTTTTGCATTAAATAAATGCATTAAATATCAGAATATTAAAGGGTTATTCCAGCATTTTTAAACCTGAGCGCACTTTTTTTTAAACTTGTCTCAGGATCTTTATGACTAACAGCTGCACTTTTGGATTAAAGCCAGAGTTGCTTCAGCTGGCACCCACAGCACGGTCCATAATGGCTGCCATAAAATCCCAGAAGGCAAATGTACCTCATCAAAGTTTGTCTGTTAAAGAGCTTATTTTGTACCCAACAAGCTCACAATACTGACCAAATTTCTTCACATAACACAACAGCTGAAAACTTTAAATCAAAACCTGTTTTTATTAAGGTATGATAGTTTTTTTTTCAAACTGAAAACAGATACAGTTGCTTCTGACATGGACTTGTATAAGGTGCTGGCAGGATCTTATGGTGGCCTGGAAGTGCAAAACACAACCGCAAAAGAGAAAACCCGACAGCAAATCAAAATGCAAGAGAGAAAACACAACCACAAATCATAAAACGCAACTGCAAATCACAAAGCACGACAGCAAAAGGGAAAACGCAAATGCAAAAGAGAAAACACAACAGCAAATCACATATGCAAACGCAAAAAAGAAAACACAACAGCAAATCACATATGCAAACGCAAAAAAGAAAACACAACCACAAAACAACAAAACGCAACTGCAAATCACAAAACATGACAGCAAAAGAGAAAACACAAAAGAGAAAACGCAACCGCTAAACACAAAACGCAACTGCAAATCACATATGCAAATGCAAAAAAGAAAACACGACAGCAAATCACAAAACACGACAGCATCGTCTGTCTTCTTCTTCTTCGTTGTAGTTTAATGGCAGTTTACTCCGCTGGGGTTGGAGTACAACCTCCACCTGCTGGATCGATGTCGGAACTGAAGTCTAAACAAGCCAGCTTCTTTCAAGCGGGTCTTCAGCGTTCGAATGCTCATGCTAATGCCGTGAATAGTCAACAACACGTTGACTATATCGTCATATTTGTGTCCTGCATCAAAATATTGCTGGATAATTTCGAGTGCACTTTCGCTTTCAGCGTCCATGTTCGTGTTTACTTACCCGTCGTGTTTTCTTTTTGCGTTTGCATATGTGATTTGCAGTTGCGTTTTGTGTTTTGCAGTTGCGTTTTCTCTTTTGCTGTCATGTTTTGTGATTTGCAGTTGCGTTTTGTTTTGCGGTTGCGTTTTCTCTTTTGCTATCGTGTTTTGTGATTTGCAGTTGCATTTTGTGATTTGAGGTTGCGTTTTCTCTTTTGCATTTGCGTTTTGATTTGCTGTCGTGTTTTCTCTTTTGCGGTTGTGTTTTGCACTTCCAGGCCACCGTAGCATTATCATTATGTGTTGTTTTGAAATTTCTGGGACTTTTATAAAGAACATTTTTCCCCTTAAGGTCAATCTTATTTGTTTCAAACATACAGAATATTATCAGTTATGGAAAAATATATTTAATTTGGCCTTTGTTAATTCATTTTCTTGCATATGATGTGACTGACCCATAGTTTTCATTTATTTTCAAAATATTTTAATTTTTTTTGTTTATTTTTTAAAATATCAAATTGAACCTTTAAAAACAGCATTAAAACAAAATTAAAACTGCTCTTAAATAGAATCTTGAAAAATGAAACAAAATTATCAACATTTTGAAGCTGTTATAGACTTGGTCTCTACAATCCAAAGAGTTCATCAGTGTGACAGTTGGTGATTTTCACAGGACCCTCTAAACAAACAAAGAGGGGGTCTATCCTGCAGGGGCACCTTGACCCAGTTAGGTGGAGGATTTATTTCCCTGCCCCACAAAGACTCTTTACAAGCCCAAAACTGTGCCCAGCCTGTCCGGCGTCACAAGAAGAAAGGGGGCCTGGGGTATCACTGACACGATTAAACTTTACATAAGCCAAACTGTGAGAACTTTCAACTGACAACTAAGTAAACGGACATTCCCACTGCAAGTGAACACACCATTAAACTTGACCTTTAAAGTCTGTACTATATAAACGGGATAACATGGTACAAACACAGTAAATAACTACTGTGACTACTTGTGAAAAGGAAAACTTCACTTTCTTTAGCTTGGGAAATCTTTTGCGTTCGTGTTTATGTTTATTTTACCATGATTATATGACCAAATTAAACTAAGCAATCTATTTCAATTTACAAAATACAAATTTACCTTTTATTTTCACAATTTTTGTGATTTAAATAGCACATCTACAGTAATTTAGCCTGCCCACATGAAAAGTTCCAGCTGCTCTCCATGTGCAGTTCTTCCATTAAGCTAGCGTAACTATGTTCTGCTCTTGGGTATCAAGTCCACATAGCGCCGGAACCCTATTTAAATGCAAACTGATTATATATTAATTCATCCTTTGACAAAATTTAAACACTTAATAAATTCATAACAGACTGGACATTTATACACGCTTGATGTTGTTGAATTCGGCATAGACCAATCTGTGTTTATGTTCGTCAAAATTCGTGATTGGATCGTCTTTTCCTCCCATTATCCTCTCTCTCACGGTGCTCCAGGCTGCCGGCATGGAGAACCAGTAGTTGTAACATTGGCCATGTGAAATCAGTGCATTACAATGACTCTCTGAAAATACATGCCGCTCGGTCTGTCATGTGAAAGCCGAATTTTCAAGAAAACAATACCAAACGCAGCTGTCGTCAGGACGTCTTGTATATGTGGTTAAAACTTTTAATTTACACAAATTAAATATTAAATTGACAAGTTTATAGAGCAAGATTTGCTCCAAACCCCCGTTCAAGTAAAGATTGGCTGCTGTCCAACCAGACAAGATAAAAACCCAAAAGAGGCACAAAATATGTCCAAACTAGGCTACTTACCTGGTCCTTTAGCTGATTTCTGAATTTACAATAAATGAGTCAGCCACGCTGCTGGTCCGCTGAACTGATGCAACTGCTATAAGTGCCAGCTGTTAATGCAGATAAGAAGTCAACGGCCGGAAACTACTCTTCAAAATAAGAGCATCACATATTCGCGTGTGTGGGTGGGGTTACACTAAAATGTTTCAATCAATCAATCAAGCAGTCAATTTATTTATAAAGCACTTTTCAAACATAGACTGTATCACAAGGTGCTGTACATTGAAGAACACAAGAAGGAGAGGATCACGGGATAAAAAATGAAAATACAAAATAAATACAAATTGCAAAACCCCACCCTCCAAGCCCGCATTCAACAGAGACCCCACCACACACACACACACACACACACACACACACTGGGAGACTAAATCAGGGCTCAACAGGAAGCCCCAGAGGACTGATGAAACGCTATCTTAAACTAAAATGGGGAAACCCTGGAGCTGAAGCTAAACTGATAAAACCATGACAAGATATAGGAAACTCATAAAATGATAAAAAATAAAATGAAGTAATAATGATAATAATAATAAAATAATACTAAAATATTATATAATAAAACTGTCTTTAAATCAAACAATAAAAGAAAATAAACAAATAGTGTTAAAACATTAAATAATAATTCTGAGACTAAAGTGGAGTAAAATACATTAGATAAAAAGAGTAGACTAAAAGAGAGGCTAGAAGAATAAAACAAAAATCAGCTAAAAAGCCAGACTAAAAAGGAAGGTCTTGAGTTTGCGTTTAAAAATATGAACTGTAGATGTTGATCTCAGGTCTTCAGGCAGACTGATCCACAGATGGGGGCCATAGTAATAAAACGATGCCTCACCGTATGTTTTGGTTCTAACTTTGGGGACTATTAAAAGACCACTACCTGAAGACCTTGGGGCTCTACTGGGCTCATATTGTAAAAGCAAATCAGATAGATAAGAAGGACCAAGACCATTAAGACATTTATAAACTAATAAAAGTGCAGAGTGCAGAGACTAGTGCAGAGACTTCAAAATTGGTGTAATGTGGGCTCTCCTCCTGGTCTTCGTCATCATGCGTGCAGCCGAATTTTGCAGCAGATGAAACTGTGAAATGTTCTTTTTAGGAAGACCAGAGAGGAGAGCATTACAATAATCAATTCTACAGGTAATAAAAGCATGGATAAGAGTCTCTGCATTGGCTTGAGAGAGAAACTGGCGGACTCTAGAGATGTTCTTAAGGTGATAAAAAGCCTTTTTGGTGACATCACGTATGTGTGATGCAAAGCTGAGATTAAAATCAAATATAACACCCAGATTTTTTAACTTGGTTTGATTAAAAGACAGTCCTCGGAGTTTGTTCTCCAGTTTCTCTCTCTCTCTCTCTGGACCTGTACCGATGACTAAAACCTGGGTTTTGTCTTGGTTGAGCTGCAAGAAGCTGTCTGCCATCCACGACTGGGTGTCTAGAACACAGTTAAAAAGGGCATCAATAGGCCCTGTGTCATCAGGAGACATGGCCAGGTAGAGCTGTGTATCATCAGCATAGCTGTGAAAGTTAATGCCGTGTCTCCTGATGACATCTCCTAATGGTAACATGTATAGATAAAAAAGTGTGGGGCCTAAAATTGAGCCCTGGGGAACGCCACACTCTATTTCATAGGTTCTTGATTAGCGTTCCTCAGTGCTAACGTAAAATTTCCTGCCATTCAGATATGTTTTAAACCAGCTAAAAACAGTACCAGAGATGCTGTTTAAAAGAATTGTATGATCCACAATGTCAAAAGCTGCACTCAGGTCCAACAGGACTAAAACAGAAATTAATCTTTCATCCATGTTGTACCTGAGGTCACTTACAACCTCAGTGACCTTAACGTTGACTTTTTAAAACTACTTCTACAGTTAAACAATACATAAATAAATAAGAAGCACCAAAAGAAATAAAATGCAATTTGACTGTAACTAAGGAATAAATGAAAGAAAATGCAACAAAAGGGGAAAAAAATAGCAAAAGCAAATGAAAGTGGCAAATAAAGTCTTTAGCGTAAGAAACAAAATCGCATGTATTCATTAAATGTATAAGTTTGTATTTTTCGACGAAGTGGTTACACGTAGACTTACTTGTGATTTTCATTCAAGGGGTATTTTCATATGCGAATCCCTCCCTTCCCACACAAAGTCTTACTTACTCGTTTTGGTATCAAACAACCGTTTTGGTTGATCATCTTGTGACACTGAGTACAGATATTTCGGATTATCGCTATTAGAGCGCTCGTCTGTAAAAAGTTTTATTTTGAAAACTATGTGTACATCTAAGACTTTATTTCTGCCAACTTGATGCCGCAAATTCGCTTCCGGCTGTGAAGGAGGATGCTGTTGCATCACCTCCAGAGGAGCCCTAGCTTAACACAGCCTATTATTGCATCGATATTGTGATGTGAACAAAACTGCACGTTTATTTATACGCACTGATCCTTGTGTCCTGTATATTTCACTTCACTCAATGTTTTCTTCACAGCCACAAAAATATAGTCATATTCTTTATGTTTGTATTATTACTGTATTTTATCCAACAATTATTTCATATTTTAAAACCCATTGCGTCATTGGGGAGGCTAAGGTGGGGCACTGACTTCTGTAGAGGTGGCATAAGGAAAGTGTGCACACATGACATATTATACTTTATTTACCCTGTTTCACTTATCCCAAATAATTCAATTTCAGACATCAAAAGTCCTAAATTTCATGTGCTTTCAAAACCATACAAAGTCCAGTTTACTGTTGCATGGAATAAACTGACAAAAAGGATTAAAACATCAGTAACCTGATTTATTTTGGTTAAAGCAGGCATTTATTGAAGTGTCCACAAACACCTGACAAAGTAAAAATATTCTTTTTTAAAGTATTTGAAACAAACATTGACCTGTTCCCTGCTGTTAAATTTTCACGATGATTAAGAATTAAAAGGCATGAAAAAATTATTCATCCTGTGTAGATTTTTAAGTGTATTCATTGACTTACATGAAGTCCCCCCCCCAAAAAAAAAAAAAAAAAGTTTACACGCACCTGCACAGTGTTACATACTTTTTCAGTTACACAACTTTCAAAAAAAGAACTGCCATGTTTTTATATATTACTGCAAATTTAAAAACTTGTTTCCTTTAAAAAACAAAGAAATATCAAACTTTCAGTGTACAGTGCTCATTAGGTTGTTTTTAAAGCTCTAAAAACTTAAACAGTGATGGCATTTGCACATTTTCCTCTGATAAGCCAGTATGATGTAAAAAAAAAAAAAAAAAAGAGCAGTTTTTGGATATTGACATTTCAGTTATAGCATGCCTTTTAATAAACTAGATGAAGTAGCAAAAATCTAATGCATGTGTTAGCAGGTAGTCCAATAAGTCATTAATAACTACACAGAAAGCTGGAAATATGTTGGTCCACCAGCAGGCACTTTACCCTTTTTAATGTCAAGATGGATGACAATTAACTCAGAAATAACCTGTGTTTAAAGAAAGTTAATGCAGAAGTGCCTTTAACTAATAATATTGGCATGTGGCTGTTAATGTCCAAGGAGGACTGTGAACTGTTGGTGCTAGCTCTGTTAAAGTAAGTCACACTCAGCAAGCCCACTGACATAGTTTATCTGCACTTTCCTTTATGAGCCCCTGTAATTTAAATTTTAATTCCAGCGAATACAACAGAAAAATTACCTATCTTAGATGATTTACCACTTCTACAATACAGCATAATGGTTATTTGTAGGTTATAACTGCTTTAAAGAAAAATAGGAGTTAAATTGGATTTTAAAGTAGAGTTTGGCTGAGTCATGAATACCAAATCAATACCAAACAACCTGAAAATGTTTATCTTTGCACATGTATATTTGATAAAAGGCCATTTTAAAACATAACTTTTAAATGAAATAACATAAAAATCTTATGAGACTTGAGCTAAGATTTACAATTTCTACATTTTAACCTCTGAACTGTAACATTACATTGAACAAAAAAAAACTGTTACTTTTTTTCACTGCAATTATTCATGATGATGATAAATGTCACCATTAAAGAAAGCAGGTGTGCTTTTGAGTCAGAAACCATGACTTATGCATATGCCGTACAAGATCAGCATAGAGGCAAATCGCTTATTCCAAGTGAAAAAACCAACACAAAGTTCCCCACTCGAGCTTTAAGGTACCATGACTTACATATGTTTAAAAAAACAGAATTTGCATAGGCTGCTCCCCGTCAGTTTGACACTTGTCCTAATAAGTCCCTCGTCCCAAAAAGACCAAAATTCAAAGAGCGCTTGTCAAACGGAGTCCAAAAACTAACAAGTCAGATCCTGATGACTGCAGAGTATGTGGCACAACTCTGTAATAGAAGAACTAGGATCCTTTTGACCATTTACAAATACAATCATGGACCAGTGCAGGGTTATAAAAACACTGCTGTATTGTGCAGAATATGTAGCAGACCATAAGTAGTTTCCACACAGAAACAATAACACAAACAAAAAAAAAAACAAACATAACAAACACAATACAATTTTGTGTGTCAAAATTCAGCACATGGCATTGAAGAAAATCGACCTGAAAGTCCTGCAAATTATAAAAGCTAGTAAATAAAGTAAACACCTCCCAAAGGTATCAATATTTTTCTGTGCTATCAAGCAGGATAATATCTTGTGCTTCAAATTAATATTCATCTGTAATTTTAACATTTATAAACTGATTTCAGCTCTGAAACCAAATAATGTAAAGCCATGCATCATGTGTCGACTAAAGTAAATGTTCTCAACAGCACCCGGAAACATTAGAGCCTAAAAACTGAGTAAAAATGTATAAAATAAAAGCGCACTCCTCCTCCATAGAATACTGAAATGATCCAAATGTATGGCTTTATCTGCTCTCCTTTCTGATTTCTCACCCACAAGAAATATATCAACAATTCTCGTATTGCACTTGGTTTGAGTATGTATCACTGATACTGTTAGTCCAAAATAAAGAAGGGCTGGTGTGACAGAGTGCAGGGATTACAGCGGATTGTAGCAGGAGTCAGGCTGCCACATACGCAGATCCACCAGAATCTGGTTCAGTTTCTTCATCCAAAGATTCCTCTCGTCTTTGGTGTCTGCACTCAGCCAGTTTCTGCACAGATAGAGGATACAATGTCACTGATACAAGAAGGAAAACTGTTGAAATGATCACTATCTGAATAATGATTATGGCTCTCCACAGTCATAACTGAGACTCAATGATTATTGTGCCAGCTGCTGTGTTGTTCCCATTGCATCCTAAACATTGAATAAAGCTCCCTCTCTCCCTTAACCCTTGTGCACCCCTAGGGACCGTTTTGGTCCTTTGTAACTATACTTTTGTGGATAATTTTGGCTGTGATGATGCAAATGGCATGAAAGTTTGTCAAAGTGTGTAATTTTAGGTGCAATTTAATTTTTTTTCTTTTTTCTTCCTTTAACCTTTTTTGCATGTGAGCAATTTTTATACTTCAGTAAACACCCCTAAGGACCGAAACGGTCCCATTGACTCCCATTAAAACATGTTTTTTTCAATACACTGCCAATGCAGTATAATTTTTGGATTTTTTTTTTTTCTCATGTACACCTATTCTTTGAGGGTCAAACTGTTTTTTTTTTTTATGCCGACCAGCAGATGGCGCCATTTTTCTTTTTTCCTGCCATACCCTTTAGAACCAGAGGGGCACTGTTTTCCCTTTGTCACAGAGCTGGTTTATTTCATGCATATAGATAGATAGATTGATAGATATATAATTTATTGATCCCAAACTGGAAAATTCTCATGTTACAGCAGCAAAAAAATACAAAATAGAATTAAATATAAGAAGAAATATGTACAATGCAGACTAAAAATACTAAATATATACATTGAATACAGGCTAAATATACTAAACATCTTTAGAGAGAAAATAAATTTAATAAAAACTATTTAGGTGTGCTTTTGGGACATCATGGATTATGTGCATGTGTTTTCATGAATTACTTATGTGTGTGTGTGTGTGTGTGTGTGTGTGTGTGTGTGTGTGTGTGTGTGTGTGCATATGCAGCCATGAGAATAGCCAAAATCCTTCCAGAAACAGCGGCAGTTGTACAATCTGCACCTGCAGTTTCCTTCTGTGTGTGTGTGTGTGTGTGTGTGTGTCTGATTGTGTGTGTGTGATTGTGTGTCTGATTGTGTGTGTGTGCGCACGTGTGTGAGCAAGCTCATGAGGTTCATAGCGGGCACCTGATCAATGTGAGTGCGTAAAAGCAAGCAAGGAAGGGATGGAGTGTGTGTGTGTGTGTTTGTGTGTGTGTGTGTGTGTGTGTGTGTGTGTGTGTGTGTGTGTGAATGTGTGTGTGAGTGTGTGTGTGTGTGTGTGTGTGTGTGTGTGTGAGATTGTGTGTGCGAGCGTGCGTGCGTGTGTAAGCGCACGCACGAGGTTCATAGCTGGCACCTGAAGAGGGAGGGCTTCATCAATGTGCTTACGTAAAAGCAAGGGATGGATGGATGGTGTGTGTGTGTGTGTGTGTGTGTGTGTGTGTGTGTGTGTGTGTGTGTGTGCGTGTGTCTGATTGTTTTTGTGTGTGTGTGTGTGTGTGTGTGTGTGTGTCTGATTGTTTGTGTGTGTGTGTGAGCGAGCGCACAAGGTTCATAGCAGGCACCTGATCGATGTGCGTGCGTAAAAGCAAGCAAGGGATGGATGGTGTGTGTATGTGTGTGTGTGTGTTTGAGATTGTGTGTGAGATTGTGTGTGCGTGCATGCATGTGTGAGCGCACACACAAGGTTCATAGCAGGCACCTGAAGAGGGAGGATATCATCGATGTGCGTGCATAAAAGCAAGAGATGGATGGATGGATGGTGTGTGTGTGTGTGTGTGTGTGTGTGTGTTATACACTACAGAAAAAAAAAATCTTTTCAAATCAATTTTCTCATCAATGTTTACCAATCCCATGCTCTTATAATCAAAAGTTTAAAAAAACAATTGAACTGGAAAATAATTCATCAAGTTTGTTTTTTGACTTAAGATAATATCAGGTTTTTACAAAAAAGACTGGCATTTATGGGGTTAAAATACACAACCTGAATAAAGTTTTGCTTTTTATGATTAGGTTATAAGTCAATGATGGCAGCCAAAAAAAAAAAAAATTAAATATATTTATTTAGACAATATTTTTACTCCAGCAAAATGGAGGGGACCGTTTCGGTCCTTAGGGGTGTTTATTGAAGTTTGTATTATTATTCAGCACTACAGAAAAAATACAAATCTTTTCAAATCCATTTTCTCATCAATGTTTACCAATCCCATGCTCTAATAATCAAAAGTTTAAAAAAACAATTTGCATATATAGGATGGAAAATAATTCACTAATTGTGTTTTTGGACTTAAAATAATATCAGGTTTTTACAAAAAAGACTGGCATTTATGGGGTTAAAATACAAAACCTGAATAAAGTTTTGCTATTTATGATTAGGTTATAAGTCAATGATGGCAGCCAAAAAAAAAATTTTTTAAATATATTTATTTAGACAATATTTCTACTGCAGCAAAATGGAGGGGACCGTTTCGGTCCTTAGGGGTGTTAATTGAAGTTTTTATTATTATTCAACACTACAGAAAAAATACAAATCCTTTCAAATCAATTTTCTCATCAATGTTTACCAATCCCATGCTCTAATAATCAAAAGTTTAAAAAAACAATTTGCATATATAGGATGGAAAATAATTCACTAATTGTGTTTTTTGACTTAAAATAATATCAGGTTTTCACAAAAAAGACTGGCATTTATGGGGTTAAAATACAAAACCTGAATAAAGTTTTGCTATTCATGATTAGGTTATAAGTCAATGATGGCAGCCAAAAAAAAAAAAAATTAAATATATTTATTTAGACCATTTTTTTACTCCAGCAAAATGGAGGGGACCGTTTTGGTCCTTAGGGGTGTTAATTGAAGTTTTTCTTGATTATGGCTCTCCACAGTCATAACTGAGACTCAATGATTATTGTGCCAGCTGCTGTGTTGTTCCCATTGCATCCTAAACATTGAATAAAGCTCCCTCTCTCCCTTAACAACAGCACATGGGCGCTGTATAAGGCAGCCACAGGTGGAGAAAGGACAAGAGGAGAAGCAGGAGGAGACAAGAAAAAGGAGGAGAGGAGTTTTCGCTGTTTCCCTCTTCAATCTTCATGACTCCAGCTGGTCTCCAGTGGGTTGGGCGAATACAAAATGGTGAAAAATAAGGGGGGTGTTCTGAAACAGACTGTTAACTGTGAAACGGGGGTGCTCTGAAAAAAACCCAATTAGCACTTGGTACGTTCCCCCTGATGAAATTAACCATAGACTGTAAATGACGTGAAAACAAAAAAATCGAGTCCAATCAAATTTTGGTCGACTCAGCACATATCGACCAATAAGTTAACTAGTCGACTAGTACTTTACAGGTCTCCACATATTAAATAGCAATATTGAGGGTCGCAGTTAGATTTTCCAAAGCCAAAAGGACAGAATGAGCACCACAAGAGAGGCTGTAAGTCTGCAGAAAGTCTGCTATTCTGTGGCAGGATAATAGATGAAGGAGGGCTGAGCAAAAACACAAACAGGACAGGATAAAACTTCCTGCATAATTGTTGTAAAAAAAAAAAAATACAAAATAAGGCTTTGTCTGTTTCAGGGCTTTGTTTGCGTTGGCAGTGCTCGCTGTCTTCACTGCCTGTCAATGTCACTGAACCACAGCGGCTCATTTATTGCTTTTAGCAACTTTGAGTAATATTTCACACTCTCATATATAAATCACAGATTGTTTTGTGTAAAATGTGTCATACTATTGTTTTGGTTTTTTTTCCACACCCCCCCAGTGTATAAGTTCATATGCATCTGTGAGCAGATGGGACTTACTTGGTGACACACATGGTGTTCTGGCACTGGCTGACCAGCGTCTCTCTGTCGTCCTCTCTCTGTGGTCTCACTGTGATCAGCTCAAATGTGTTCGGTCTGGCGCAGAACTCTCTGTTTGCTGGTTCTACTTTCTTGCTGGTGCAATTCGCCAAGTTGATGCGACCGATGGGATTCTGACAGAGGAGGGGTTGGAAAAAAAGACAAAATTTAGCAGACTAAACAGAGAGGTCAGGGTCATGCTTTAGAAAGTGGATCCTATAAAACCTTGAAGTTCTGCTGAATTAATAATACAAAAATTACTACATTTTCTACGTGAGTTACCTTGCGCTTCTCATCATCAGGGTAAGTCCAGTAGGAGATACAGTATCCTGATAAGACGCACCATCTCCTGTGCCACGCTCCAAATCCACTGACGTCCTCAAACATTGTCTGGAAGAGAATGTTTGTTTAGAAAAATTAGTTTTTGTAGGTGTTGAGGAGTTTCTTTTGGTTTGATCGTCCACCTTTTCTCTTTGGATTTTGGTTAGGCTCTCAGATTAGGCACATCATTAGATTACTACTGTAAGATCGGCATCATATTCCCCTGAGGTACCACTCTGATATTTAACCTTGCGTAAATTAGTTGATCTGTTTGCACTCACCAGGAAGCCCTTCTCCTCAACCTTTGAGCCCACCTCACACTGCATCTTAAGGAAGACATGACCTTCCAGAGGACACAAGAATGGCACCTTTGAAAAACAGAAAATACTCCATGAAAATCTCAAACATAGCTCCAAATATAACAAGACACAAGAGGAGAAAAAGGTGTGGTTTCTATGTTAAATATTGGAACTCAGACATGAATCAGCGCAGGTTTGATCCCCTTTGTAAGCAGATTTTATCGGCGATGTTAGTGTTAGGATGGAGTCAGAGATATTCACCCACACAAAAGCAACAAAGAAAAACAAGGGACAGAAAGTAACCTTGGAGCGAAACATGTCACTGAGCAGTTCTCTTTCACCTTCATCATGTTTGATCTAAAAGACAGAGCAGGGAGGTGAATGAAGGCTGAACATGCTGCCGCAGGAGAGTAAACAGAGCTACTGAAAGTCTCTGAAGAGCTTTATCACAAATACGACCAGACATCAGGCATACAAGGTGAATACTTACGCAAAAGCTCAGACACACATGAAATAAAATAAGGAGGAAAAGTCAAATTTAAATGTTTGTATAAAAGGAGAAAACTGTAGAACTTTTTATACCTTCTCCAGAGGAAATCTGTTTTTCCCGATAGATGCCAGGGTGAGTTTATGTGATCCGACTAAGACAAAGTTACTGGTGCGAATGGCATTCGGACCTCCTGGACTGGCAACAACTACAGAGAGAAAGAAAGAGAGAGAGACAGAGAGAGGGAGAGAGAGCTTTATTTAGCACAAAGGAGCACTGCACTAATTTGAAGTTTTCCTTCCTATTGTCTTTTCTTAACTTCCGACACTTGTTTGCAGATTTTTTAGACCTAGGAGGTTACAACAGACTTCTGATACACTGAGCTGGACATACCTGGTGTGTGGCCACTTTTCTGCAAGACAAAAGATGAAACAATAAAAATTAAAAGAAAACACTCATTTGAGGATAGATATGATATTCAATATCCTATGAAAACCTTGAATAAAAATACTTAAAAATAAATCAGATACACTCACAGTGATGGCGAGAAATCTCTTTGGAGTAATAGCCTGGAGAAACAGAAGCAAAAGTCAGTTTTTTGGGGAACAAACAGTGTAAAGAAAACTTGTGCTTGATGTCTGTGATATTTTTTGGCCAAATAAAATGACCAACCAACCGCATGTGGGGTTGAATTTAACAGTAATGACATTTAAACTGCAACAGTCATAGTTTTAAAATGTACTGGTTTACTGACAAAAAAATAACCGAAAAATTTTGTGTATAAACTTTCAAAAGTGCAGTTTTTTTTTAATTCAAGTGAAACAACTTGATTATTTGAGTGGCATCCACAAAAATGGACACTTTCGTTTTTTCAGACTTAGACTATAGAAACATTCCTCTGAAAAATCTCTCATAAGAATAATTTGCTGCGGCTCCCGTGAAATTCTTTCACCTCCGTGTGCTCCCACAGTGCACACCCACCAACACGTGAGGGATTTGAAATCAATCAGTTCATACCGACATACACAGATCATGGACCTCATAGACCTGTCTCCATATCATCTAAACCCACACATACACAAATAAATATTCAAAACACATGCCATCATAGTTTCTGTACCTGTTTCCCATTATGACAAGAAGACAGTTTTTACCTTTGACTTGCTGGGTTTCTTCTTCTTGTCAATGCAGACCTCACGCTTCTGCACCTGGAGGAGTTACAAGAGAGGGAAAACTTAGGATGGGAATGGATTTTGTTTAGAAAATCTCAGAGTCCAGAGAAGGGCTTTAAACCAGGAAATGTGAATAATATGGCTATTTCATTATTATCATAATAAACCACAATTCAGGTACTTACCAAGCCATAGACCTCAATATCAATTTCGAAGTTACTGGAGACTTCAGATCTGGAGTAAAAGAAAGAGAAGCGATTCATTTCACTCTTTGATGAGCAAAACACATTCATATTTAACATCCAATTATGTTGATTAGAATCAGAGATAGACCTGTTCACTGTTCAGTCTGTAAACATAATGTGTTTTGTGTGTGTGTGATTTACATGTTGAACTTGGTTGAGAAGGTGAGAGTGTCCCCGCTGAGGCCACGGTGTGTACTGCTTAACGGCGTGGCCACCGTGTTCTCTGCTCCAGCTCGGATCATGATGAAGAAGGAGTATTTGGTTGATTCTGAAACATTCAAAGACACACTAATATTATCACCAACAAAGTTTGACCATAAGTGGCCAGACAAAAATGCACAACAGCAGGGTTTTACTTCATGTTTAACTAGCATATAACTCCAGCCTACCTGGTTTGTTGGCAGTGGAGCAAACAAAGTCTGCCTTCAGAGGCAGGCGGAGCTCCTGCAGGGTGATGGAGCCTTTGGAGGCAGACATACCAGCCGGCTCTGGGGCTGCAGGGGCTTTTTTCTGGCCTGACGGGTCTCCTTTCAGACGGTCCAGCTCAGCCCTCAGTGCCTCTCTCCTCTCAGCTGAGACAGTCGATAAGAGGAGAAGGTTACAGCCAGTATCAACCACTGGGGGCCGCCACAACTCATCATTTCTCAGAGAGATGTTGTACTAATCGGGCTGCCACAGCTCAAAAAAGACCCTGATCTCTGTGATAAAGGGGCTCTTTGGTGGGGCACACATTTCAAAAGGGAAAAAGGCAAGAAAGGGATCATTTACTGTGAAAATTTTAAGACTCACTTGCCACCAGCAGCAGCCTCTCAGCCTCAGCTTCCACCTGAGATCCTTTACCATGCTCCTCATCAGTGCAGCAGTTTAAAGCCTGACTGGCCTGATGGATGACTGTCTGCTGCAGGTTCATGTCATTGGTCAAAATCTGCAAAAAAACACAACAGTGATAGCTTCGTTTTTCTCTCTTTTCTCATATATATGAAATACACTCACTCGTGCTGTAATCTAAAAATTGTCTGATCCAAACCTTCATCTTCTGTTTGACGCTGAAGATGCTGGATCCTCTGGGTTCCTCCGCTCTGTTTGAAACGTCCTCTTTCCTCACAATCACCTGTTTCACGTTCGGTCTCTCTGTCTCTTTCACTCTGGTGGACCTGTACGCATCAATGCTAAAGGACACAGACCAAAAGGACATATTTGTAACACATGAACGCATTCTTCCTGGAAATCATGGACACTGGGAACAAATCGGAGTTGTTCGACTACCTGTGCTCCTCTTACCTGTACGGCAGTCTGGGGTCTTCATCTGAGGCCTCGATGCTGTCTGAAGAGGCAGTCCTGATTATGTTTGTCCGCTGATACTTGCTCGGCTTAGAAACACCGTCTGGAGTGTTGTTTTTAATGAGGAATGAGCTGGCTGGAGTCGATGTCTAAAAGACAAAACATGTAGGAAAACACTGTTTTTACAGATTCAATGGTTACTCTAATATTGGGGATGAGTGAACATCTGTGTGGGTCTTACCATCATCCTTCTGTCCGGACTCTTCACCACAGCAGCCACAGTCTCTGCCAGAGGAGTGAGGAGGGACATGGAGGAGATATTCAGAGGATCTTCCTCCTCCTCCTCCTCTTCATTGGTCTGATCTTCACTCTGCTCCAGGATCCCGTCAAACAGCTCGTTGATCACCTCAGAGTTTATAGATTGGTCCACATTCATCTCAATCTCCGTAATAACCTCTTCTTTTTCTTCAGGAGTTTTCTCCGCAGCTTGAGCCAGCGCTCTGAGGGGGCTGGATGTGGAGGCAGGAGGAGTGTCCACCAACCCAAAACCTGTTGATTCATGTTAGAAAACAGAGGATTATTCACCCTATCATAATTTGAGAAAAAGTCTTTATGAATGAATTAAGTCATGTTTGGCTAAAAATGTCTTCGTGTGCCATGTGGTTATAAAACAAATATACTTCTGAGACTCATCTGACTTTTGAATGCCCCTAAAGTACGTATGACTCAAATGCTGTACAGCTTTTGTATGACTTGTGTTTTTATCTTTGATCTTGAGGCTGATCCTGTTAAAACTCTCCAACAGTAAAATCCAGCTGTAAGCGCCATCTAGAGCTCAGATACAGTTTTGTTAAAAGGATTAATTCTTGCCTTCACATGCTTGGAGCACTGCTTACAGTTTTAATTAGTTTAATCTTTGACAGTCAAGGTAGGGATGTGTCACAGAGTGTAATGGCTAAATGAGAGCCCCTGTGACTGCTCAATGGGAAATATTTGATTACCTGGAGGAGTATATTTTACAGGTGTATCTGTTGTCTGAGCGGAAGGTGCAGCAGGTTCATCCTGTGGCTCACAAGAGGCAACTTCACAATCCTCCACAGGTTTGGAAATCTGCTCCTGAAAAGCACATTATTGAATATTCGTTTGCATGTGTTCTTATTTACCTTCAAGAATTTCTATCATCAGTGTGTCAGATGATTATTGGCTAACCTGGATGTCTGCGTTTTTATTGGTTTCAGCTGCTTCATCTTTGCTTTTCCACATATTGTTTCCTTTCTGGAGGCGACTGCGAATCTGAGCCAGCTCAGACTCTCGCTCCTGGAAGAAAGGGGATCATTTTTGTGATATAAACCTTAATAATCACAGTAGTTATGGGACAGACTCAAGTGTTTCTGACATCATCCTACCAGTTTCTGTCTTAGGGTGAGATCAGCACAGGTGGTGTTTGCTGCCTGAGCGGCTCTGATTCTCTCCTGGACCAGTCGAGTGTTTGGTGTGGCTGATGGAGTGACAGAGGGAGTCTTGATGTGGCTGCTGTCCCCTGCTGGGGAGCTCTGGTTGGTGCGCTGCTGACACCTCTCTCCAAATCGCTCCAAGAAAGATTTCACACCTTTATGAAAATTATAAGATGTAAGCAAAGGAAAATAGCCACAATGACAGGCACACATCTCAATCTGGTAAGCAGATATTAGATATTATGGATTGATACTGATATTTTTATTAGTGGTTGTAAAAAGAATAAAGTCACGCCCAATTTTCAACCAGGTAAAAGATCTTTAAAATGTTAATACTTCAGGAAGGCATTGTTTTTCATTTTTCGCTAACTTTCTTCATTTCAGTTCCAACATGTCTCACCAGGTGCTCCAGCTGCCACTTTTTCCTGGGAGACAGAGGGGCCCACATTGGCAGGTTTGGCTCTGAGTTCTGGTTTCTGGGGGCTGGATGTGGGATTTTGGCCCCTGGACAGAGCAGTGTTTTTCAGTGGGCTTTTAGGCACTGATGATGACAAGAAGGGACCTGTCTTCTGGGGGCTGGGTGGGAAGGCTTTTCCTGGGATGGAGCTCTTCTGGGGACTGGAGACTGACTGAAGCGCTGGTTTGGCTGCAGGAACGTCAGCCTTCTGAGGGCTCGGGAGAACAACTCTGCTGGGTTTCACTGGGGAATGCACCACCTGCAAAAACAGACAGAAAAATCTAATGAGGCCTGAGAGCAAAAAAGGCTTTGTAAAGTAATACCCATAAAGTATATGTCCTCAACAGGTCACATAAAAAGAATAAAAAGAAACTAAACCATGTCAGGTGAGCTCACCTGACTGGAGCTGGATGCAGACTTGCTGCTTGCAGCAGAATTGACCTCAACATGACCTGCAGAAACTGGTTTGGCGCTGAAAGCCACAGAAGTTTCTCTGATTGCCACCTTGGGTACAGCTGCAGCAGGTTTCTCTTTTGTGTGCTCTTTGGGAATGTTTGCATGAGTCAGGTCGTCCTCCCAGGACCCGATGGTGGCAGCGAGGTTAGCCAGTCGTCCTTTCCTCCCCAGCGGTGTACCAGAGGATGCAGGAGGGATGGCTGCAGGGATCTCAGGCTGTCTTGTTATCAGGGGAATGGGGGTGCAGTCTGGAAGTTCATCAGAAGGGGCTGAAGAGGTAGGGAAGGGTTATGATTCAGGCAAGGAGAAACTCGCTACCAACATTCTGAAGAGTGAATGCTACACCCTTGATATTAAGAAGAAGCAAACTTTGTATTTCTGAGAATCTAAACAAGCAGATCTCAAACAGAACAGAAAGCATTTTTACCGTTTCCATCCCAACCCTTTCTCTGCTCTGCCAGCCGCTGCAGACGGGATCTCATTCCAGTTGTCCCTTCCACCAGGTGCTCCCTCTCCTTGTTACTCTGCAGGGCTGAACTCAGAGGCACAGTCTCTGCTTCTTTGCTGCTTAGGGGATCAGGAGACGGCGTGACCACCATCTTTTCAGGCTCCGGCTGTGCAGTTTTCAGCTGCCCTGGCTGAGACTGAACAACAGGCCGGGTTGCAGTTTTCTCAAGGGAGGAGGAAGATCGGATGCTGGTGGGACCTGCTGGGGGTTTCTTATTTGTGGGAGGATCTGAGAGCACTTGAGTCACAGCTTGTGTCATGGTTGGCTCTTGGTTTTCCTCATCAGCTACAGGCTGGACATTTTCTTCAGAGCACTTGCGCTTGGAGGGGGAAGGCTTAGAAGACAGCTGAGGGGCTGATAGAAGAGATGGAGAATATAAGTCAAAGAGTCAAGCTGCATCTCATTGCTCAGCAAGCGAACATGTTCATACCTTTATCAATCACTGGCCCACTGAGCACACTGTTTGTATCAGCCAGCGGCTCTCTGGGTCTTTTGACCATCTGTCTGTTTGCTGCATTTGGTCTCTCAGCCATTTTCTTCTGCAGGTTTTCTCTGCGAGCCCGAGTCCGCTCCAACAGTTTCTGTTTCAGCACAAAGAAATGACTCAAATGTCTGTTTTATACACACAAAGGTTAAACAGAATTAAACCATCACCTGTGACACTGAAGGTGGCCCTGAAAGTCGTGAAATACAGCTGCTTTTACTATTATATGGACCAATAGCTGACTAAACAAAGGATTTGCAGTCAACAGTTTTGAGGTGGTGCATGGAAGGCTAAACACAGAGGCTTCTGTGTAGACACAGAGATGGTTTTTCTCCTTCCCTGCACCTGTACTTAACAAGCATTCAATAGCCTGTCGAATTGCTGAAATAGATTGTAAAGTCTTATTCATACAAGCCTCCTAGCAATAAAACAAGCTCTGAAAGTGAATCTGACATTTTTATGTCACAGAGGGACAAAATAATCCAACTGGAATGAGACTTAAATTGATCTTACAGAAACATGCACATAAAAAAATCTACTTTTAAGCTCAACTAGCTGTTATAGATACATTTAAAAGTGGAGATGAAGAATAAAAAAATATTCATTTTGAGCATTGAACATTTAGATATGAATCCCTCTGTTCAGGATTTTTTGCTGGCACAGGACTCGGTCAAGTCGCCTTGAAAAAAACTAAGTACATCTAACTTTGAATCTCAAACAGAGCAACAACGTTTAATTTTAAAAAGGTTTGCAGCTTTGCAAGAATGTAAATTGCATTTTCCTGCATAGGGTAACTTCTTTGAGTATGTTGTGTGTGACACAGAATCTGGGACTAAGATCTCTTTATAGTTGTGCTGACCTGCTGAAAGTGACTTTTTTTTTTAGACAGTCTTTTCAAGCAGGCTAAAATATGCTGATTCTACATCTGTCTGGATATCTGCAGCAGAAGTGCAAATATGTAGGACAAGACACAGTACATTGTGAGTAACACAAAAACAGTCTTTCTCCATCAGAGATAAAAAAGGCCTCTGTTTGCTTGCCCTCTTTCCTTCCCTCTTTTCCTTTGAGGACATTCCCTTGCCTTGGCCTCACACACACACACACCCTGTCACACAATCTGATTTACTGTTGCTGTACTGTTAACTGCAAGCCCCAACACATTCCTGCTGCAGGACATTTTCTCCAGGCAGTGTGGAAAACCTCAAGTCACTTTAGCAGCATTCCTCAGGAATGAGCCGCTCCAGCTCATCGTCAGTTCCTGGATTTGAATTTTCAAACCGTACTGGCGCAGATACTGACTGAGTATAAATATAAATCTTTCCTACTTTTGGCTGGAAACAACAGTAAAAAAAAAAAAAAAAAGAAAAGCTTAAAAAGAAAGGGGAGGGGGTGGTACAAAGAAAGCCAAGGGTTGGACCGTATCTAGTGCTGACACATACCATTGCATTAAATAGAGAGCGACTATATTTGAATCATGTGGCGACATGGGGTGTTTTGAGGTCTTTATTATGCGATATGGATGTTTTAACTCTCAAAGGAGAAAGACTGATCAGCAACTTGGTTAAATTAGTGACTATCCTTAGGCACTGTTGTAGTCCTCTGTATAGACTCAGGGCTGCATGGACCTAAAGCATGATATATATGAAACACAATAGTATAAACAGGGCTTTGGCAGTTACTGCCAATATATTCAGTTTAGGTTGACAAATGTCTGAGAACAATGAATGACCTTATTGTAACATAATATAAATACAGAATTTCATATAATTCACGTAGCTTGGCAGGTTTTTACTTTTTCTGTTAATATTTTACGGTTGCACTAAGTCCTTGTGAATTTCTCACCCCTCTGCAGTTTTTTTGCAATAATTCCTACCATATATTTGTTGTACTTTGTCGCTTGCAATAGTGTAAAACTTCGTTTAGTTAAGCATGCTACAAATACAGTATGTTAAGGAATACATTCAAATACAGTGCAATAAGGAAGAGTAACTCGTAACCAAGTTCAATTCTTGGGTTATATTTGTTAGTCTAAACGTTTTATTGGTTTAATTCATGATTTGAATATATAAAATCTGCTAGCATGTATGGAGAAAATTGTCAGTTTCAGGCATTCCTTTCCTGATCCACTGGTTAACTTTCTGTCATTTAACACAACAAAAGAGTTTTCAAGTACTGCCTTTAAAAAACCCACCCAAGGACCCCTCCTGCCCTGGTATAGCCCCTTTTCTCCATCATTAAAAGCCCACAATCACAATTCAAAGCGACCATGAAACCATATCCTAGGCATGCTAAGGTCTCAACCGTATGAACGGTTTTATCTTTATATTTGTGTCTGATGACGACTGACAGGACAAAGAAACCACACGTGATGTTTCATGACCTTCAACAACGTGAGCATTAACTTCTACACAGTGCCATCTAAGACCTTTGGAAATTATTCAGCAGGTTTCCTGGTGCTCTAATCATGTTAAACTAAGTATATGAACTTGAAACGGTCCCAATATTAGCTTTACAGTGAGTAGAAAGACCGAGTTTAACTCTACGCGACGCAAGCTATACGTGCGACGTTTACTATCAAACGTTAGTTGATAATCCAACCGACTCACCTCTGTAAACGGATCCATCCTCGACGACTGGCCTCTTCTGAAGCAATATTTCGGCAAAAAGGAGTGTTAAACGTTTTGTACACCACTTTGTGTACACAAAAAGGCGTAGGAACTGAGTTGCTCTCAGCTTTCGTCTTTCTTCTCTCTCTGCACAAAACAACTACCATTCAAATTTGAATTTCAGCGCTGCGCCTACTGCGCAGACTTTAACCAATCAAATTGCAGGAGCCTCGCTAAACCAATCACAACCCGGGTGTAGGGATAAGACGAAAACGGTCATTCCACAACACGGTATCCACATACCATAGATACGTATACGTAGACGCCTCGTTACGTGCTGGAGCGTAATCCAGCGTCCCCGCCATATTGGATGTGTCTTCCCACTCCAGGCTCGCTCAAGAGCCAAACATGGTAAATGGAGAACGAGCAACTATGCCCGTTTTTTGTACTCTATGGTTGAAAAACCCGACGCGACCAGATCAACCAGATCACGTATGATTACTTTTCACAAATAAGATTGAAAAAATAATTTGTTTTATTTTTAATGTGTGACATTGTCCTGTATTATTGCTACATCCCTTCCATTTTAACATACCAAACAGTCTGAAAATCCAGCAGAGATTCGGAGAGTTATTATCAATATGGTTGGGCATTCCTACCTACCTTAATGCACTGGAAGCGCATGGATGACCCATCCAAGATGGCGGCCACGCTGATACGAGAGCTCCAATGGGCAGCGTCAGGCTTTGAGGCGTCTACGTATATTATGTCTATGACCACACTCTGTATCGAAGACAGGAATAAATATGACTTCATCTGGCGCTTCACATTTAGGGCGAGTTAGTCATCCTGATCATCACATGGTACAAAGCAACCGTCTTAAAAACAGTGGCCTCGTTAAGAGGTTATGATAAGAATTATATAATAAAGAAAAAACAATATTTTCATATGAATAAATTAATTATATAGTAATTACAAGATCGCATACCTGCATTTTATTGTATTGTACACTTAAAGCCTTATTTTCTGGAGAAGAGGCGATCATGAGTTGAGGAAATTCATACATCTGTATTTAAACTTGATCTTGTTCCATAATTTGGAATTATGATTATTATTATTATTATTATTATTATTATTATTATTATTATTATTATTAAGAATTCATAATTCAAAGTCTGAATTCTTGCTTAACCTTTGAAGGACCCACTCATTGGAGGACCTAACCTCAGAAGTGTCTGGCCTTTCAGGTACCTAACCTTTGAAGAACCCAACCATTGGGTGGTTTCAATCCCCTGTTTGATACTTTCCAACGGGAAAAATGCTTAAAATGTCTCTATTCATTGTTGACATTTTAAATAAATGAACATGTACAAGAGAGCAACCAGTCGATAGAACAGCAATTATGGCGTCTATTCAATGTTTAAAAGTCTGAAAGTTAATAAAACGAAAAACATATTCAATGCATATAAAATGAACAGTTTTTTCTATCAAAACCTCTTTTTCAACCTCACACCAGTTAAATCATGATAGCGGGCCACCTATTCTCAAAGCTACTACATTTCCCATGAGCATCCACGTCTGTTGCGTAGTTACATCGAAACCATGGAAACAACTCGGTGACTTCACACAGCCAACTCGGCTCTTTCTTGTCAGTTTGGCTCCGGCTCTGTGTAGGTGGGACGGGCAATGTCAGCTCAGCTGTTAGCGATGAAATAGCTTTAAAAATGTCTTCGTGTCATTCTACATAGTCAACGCATGTTTCTCGCGTTGTCGTTTCTTTTTAGACGACATTAGCCGGCTAGATTAGCTGGGTTGACGTTAAGTTGCCAAGAACACCTCTGTGGTAACGTTATTTTAGATTCACAGAGAGCTTAAACGGGATGCTGGAGTCAATTAAAGTCACAGGTAAGGTTTCATTTTTGTTTTTCCCCTATTATCCTTACATTAATAACTGTAACTACTGTAACTGTAATACCGTAAAAATGTTGATTACAGTACTTTAAAAATACCTCCATAATAACATTAGTTATTATACATTGTATCTCAATTAAAGATGGAAACTACTATTAACATACATTTGGTCTCAATTTAGCCCATATTTAACGCAATGGCATTTAAAAACGACCTAAATATTATATGTTCTTCTTTTGTACTGTGTCAGCTATGATATGTAATTTGTAGTGATTATCTCACTGCATCCCCAGCACTTGTGTGGCACAGCAGTCCTCCTGATGCTGAATCATTCTGATTATTGTCAGTCATGTGCTTTAAATTCACATTACTGCTTTAGTACTTGGATTAATGGTGACAAGGAAAATGATATATACTTTCTTGTTGTGAAGGTGTTTCAGCATTAGAAATATGTTCTTTTCTTATCATAAATCAGATTGTGGTATCACAAATATAAAGTCCTCATGCCACAGTTAACGAGCATTTTTAACAGGCACTTAAGGAGCATAGTGGCTCTTCCATCCAGACTTTCTAGACATCCTGCAAGCCATTAATTAAGATTTGTCCTCAATTACCTTCATAATGACTGCTAATGTAAGATTTATGTAGGATTACATTTTAGTAAACTGACTATTTTTTAGGGTTCACACAAATATAGAGGAAGACTAACAGACAGATGGATACATTTAACCGAGTCAGTGATGCGGTTTGCAAAATTAACACCCACCACAGAGACCAAACTGAAGTCTGATCATAAAGCATGTTTAAATCCTCTTGCATTTTTACTATGAGGAGCATTTATAGGCATCTATATACCTTAGGATTTAGTTAAGACACAGATGTCTCTTTCTGAATGAAAAAAAGCAAACATTAAAAGTGCAAAGTGTAAACAGGCTGTGCCACCCGTACATACACACATCATTGAGTTATGTTAGTATGAGGATTATCACTACGTACACTGAAACAAGCCCTATGCACAACATAGTAATCTGTGTACGCATGTGCCACATAGATTTGACTCTATCCATTACTGAAATCTTCAGACATGCTGACAACATCAAATAGGATCTAATGATATCAAAGTCCTGAGTGCTTGAAATGAAAGTATTATGTGCTGGAAACATTAATTGTATTTTTTCTCTTAAGATGTTGCAAAGAGTGCCCTGTATTATGAGCTGTATTAAGGTTTAAAATCATCAGTTTAAGAAACTTTACTTCAGATTTGCTCTGATGTACTCTTCAACATAATTCCTTCCTTACACTGTAAATATACTGAAACAAATATGTACATGACAAACAATAGCCATTTATCATTGTAGCGAGTATAATGTATTATTCGCCAATTAGTCCAATTTTTTAATCTACCCGCCACTATGACTTGTGAGTCAAAAAAGTTGATTTTGGACCCTCATCCTTACAGCACAATTTGACCTTAGCCTATTACATCAGATAAAACTGAATTATGATGCACCCAGCTGATGTGTTAGATAATATCATTACTTCTGGCTGGATGAACACATAACAAGCCAATGAAGCTCCAGCTAGTCCCTCTTCAGTTATTACTGTGCTCCTGAGCTCATTAGTTTGTGCTGTGTGTGTTTGCATGGTTTCCACCTCGGTGCTCATGTCCACTTGTGCTACGATGATGCTTCAGGTCACTTCACTGGAAATCGCACAGCCCTGCACTCTGACTTTTCTTCTGTAATACACCATCAATCTCTGGGGAAAATAATGACAATAAATACATATGAGAGAGCAGGATACTGATGCATTAAACTGCATGATGCATAACCATGAACTGCTGATGTAAGAGCAGCCAAAGATGAGTCAGATTTAGTTTGAGTCACATCAGAGTTAAATAATTGTGCAAAACATGCTAAAAAGAAGTTGTCAGTTTGTTTCCAGAGGCCTGCAAACAAAAAGATCTAATTTTATCCCGGCTTCAAAGAGGATTAGTCTATTAAGCCTACAAAAGGTGCGCATGAGAAGAGGAGTCTAAAGTTAGCAGCAAACAGATTCACTGTCTTTTTTTCAAACAGTTTTCACTGTTTCAACCCCTAATTTTTCCTTACAGAAAGACTGCGCTGGCCAGAAGTAGAAATGTCTAAGAAGTACATTTTACACTCTTCTGATAAGGCACTGAGTCCAAGCCAAGTATACCTCGAGAAGATTCCCCCAAGCGCCCTCAAAGACCTTTTCAGCACTGGTTCTAGGAGCTACAATGTCCTGCTGCATGCTGAGGAGGAGGAGAAGAAGAAGAGCCCGAAGCAGTCCCCATACAGGAGGCCAAAAACGTCTGTGAGATGTGGCCCCTCATTTAGTAAAAGAAACCGTCCAGGTATGGTGCCTAAAAAGATCCGTTCCCCAGAGGGTGGGGGAAAACCTGCACAGACGAATCGTGTCCTCTCAGGCAGCAACTCCAATCTCCCCAAACCAGCAAGGAACATCGCAGTCGTGGGCAGCACCATGGGCCTTACCCCTCGCACAGTTCCACAGCTCAGGAAGACCTCCAATTCCCCACGCACAAAACTACCCATGTTGCACAAAGCAGCGATCACACGAGAAGTGGAAAATGCCAAGAAGCTCTGCATCCTCACAGCCATAAAGCCGACTAACGTAGAGAAAGAGAAAGCCAAGTTTTTCAAGTCTGACTTCAACTACAATCCCCAGTTTGACTACAGTAACCCTGTCCCTCCACTCGTCCTGGCACGACATAATAATGCTTCAGACCGCTTCCTCACACAGGTAGGTGTTTGAGGCTATTTCCCGCCAGATTGTCTCATATTGTGGTGATAAGAACAACAACGTCTTTAACACTTTATCTCTGTGAAAAGCCCTTCATAATGTTTTCTCTGCAGTCCTATCAGGCGGTGCAAGATTATTCAATCTGAGGATTTTGCAGTGAAGGATACGCTGCTAGTTTTACTTAGAGTCAAATATCATTTGGTGGCCCATTAAATAAACTCCTTTTTTAATTTTGTGTCAGCATTGCAGAAGCGCTAGAGGCAAAATATGCAAACAGATCGTAGAGTGGCATCTTTTTACCATGGTGGTCTTGATTTTTTTTTTACAGATACAAGTAATCAAATTAAAACTCAAATGAAACTCATTGAAATGCTTCTGTTTTGCTTGAAGAGGGTACTTCACCTCTCGGTCATCAGAAATGATAGACTGAGGCTCCTTTTACATTTTCCGGAATTCCTGTCAGAACTGTCCCAAGATTAGAGGAATTATCAGTCAGACACTGAGTCTCCATGCACCTCCTTTATAGAGTCAAAAGTGAATCCTTGCTCATTATGTTGGCCTGCTGAAAATTTAAGAAGCATGAAAGTGCAGTAAAAAGGAGAAGTTTAAAATGATCAAACTTAGTTACTTGTATGCTGGAAAATAAATTGTCCTCAGCTCGTGCAGTCCACCAGTCCAGAGGCTGTGACAGGTCATTCATCACATCTCCAACAACGTCCCTAGTGCATGAGGTCGGTGCTGAGCTGGCTGGCTGGTCTGAGATCAGCAAACCTCTTCATGCCAGCAGTCAAGTTGGACGCTGTGATTACAGAGACTCTCTGCCAAAGGTGTTTAAACGTTAGGACTGTCCAGAGCTGATGCAACCTGAGTGTGTGTCTGAGAGAAGAAGTGGCAGAATTACATCAGGAAACAAATACAAGAGTTTATTTTAGTCTCAGTGGGTGTCTTACATCAATATTAACAGTTTGAGGACACGTCCACTGAGCAGCATTAGTGCTGAAAAAACATTAGATTCACTGTTTGCAGTCAATTTTCAATCTCTCACCCCTCAACCCACAAATAAACCCAGGTAAAAGATTGGTGTGTTTGGAGTTAACATGAACACTGCTGTGAGGTGCTCAGTTTCAGTCTGTTTGAGTAGCACCAGTAAACTGAGAGCAAGACAAGGAAAGAATGACTACACTGAACAGGAAATGCAGTAAAATGAGCCTGACATCCTTTTGAGTGTAGTTTCTGTTTGACAGTCTGAAAGTAGCAACCAAACACAAGGCTGCTTGTCCAGCTGCTCCCTGAGGTGATGGCCACACCTGTGTGTTCTGCTGATGGAGCAGGTGCGAGAGGCTTCGCTGATGCTAGCTGGAAAAGCTCAGATGTTAGGTAAACTGTCGCGTAATTTCACAGATGCTTAGACATATGATATTTGGTTAGTTAAGTGTTTGTGGGTATTGGAGTTTTGGTATCAGTCAGTGCTTTTCACAATCATAAGGAGTTGTTGGCCAGTTCTAGCTTGTCAAAATGAGGGTGGGCTGGTAAAATATTCACAAGGGCCGGCTGTTCACAGGATCAGACCACTGTACAGGGCTCATTTAGACACAGTGATGCACAAGTAGTTAGAGTCTCTTACTCTTAATTTTTCAGCTACACCATGCGGTGGAGATGTAGTATGTAAAAGGGAACATTATCAAGATTATGCCAAAGGAGTGGGTAGCTTGGGATCTTAGGATGAGGATCATTTTTATTTTTCTTAATGAGAACTTGCTGGAGCTTTTTACTAGAGAACATAGCTGAAGAACTTTCACCTGCAGTTATTCAGGGTGGTGCAGCAGCGTGTTTTTTTTCCCCTATACATCCTGATCACATTTAAGTCCTATATAAAGTCACTTAGAGGAAGAGTCTGTACGCTAGACAAAGCGTAAAAGCTGCTTTAAGGTGTTTATGCCAGATTCTTTCACGGCTGTTTTTGCCAAGTTTTGCCTCAGCTTCTTATTGATGTTCTCATGTGCCAGCCTAAGCTGTCACCTTGAGGTTGCTCCTTGACTTGCAGCAGTGTTACAATCAGATAACTCTTTGACAGACAGAAAGGTGAGCCCACACCTTTGGCTCTTTCCCCGAAATATTTCAAAGCTTTCAGTTCTACATTAATCTAATCTCCAGCTCATTCAAGTCTCGAGCACCCACTGTTCAAGTCCAAGTCATGCCTGAGTCACCAAAAAAGAGTCAAAGTCAAGACTGAATCTAGCCTCCTTTACCAGAGTGCATGACTTGAGTTGAGTCTCCATTACCTGAATCCAAGTCCTGAGTCAAGTCCCTACATCTTAAAATGGGTCAACGGACTCAGGTCTCAATTACCTGAAACAAATACCTGAATTACCTCAATTACCTGAGTCCCAATAACCTGAGCCCAAGTCTCACTCTGAGTCCTCATTTCTCAAGTCCAGGTTCAAGTGCTGCAACTTACATCCCACCAGGGTCAAATACAAATCCTAATTACCTGTGCCACATGTAAGATGAGTGCCCAGTAACATGACTCATACACAAGTAAAGACTCTACAATCTGAGTCCCCAGTCTCAAGTTGAGCCCCCATTGCTCAAGTCAAGGTGCAGGTCTAGTACCTGACAGCTCCGTTTTGGTCAAATTGGGTCCAAATTGACTGAGTCCAATACAGTTTGGGTTCCATTACCTGAATCCAATAGAATTTAACTCCCAGTTACCTCAGTCCATGACAAGATGAGTGTCAATTACATGGTTCTGAAATGAGTCCCCTTTCCTGAGTCCAGTTTAAGTTAAGCCCCCATATCCAGAGTCCAATGTAAGTTGAGTCCTGTTACCGGAGTCACATTCCACTTCACCCTTATTGCCCGAGTGCAATGAAGTTTAAGTCCCCATCCCTTTATTCCTATACATGATGTGTTGGCTTTACTTAAAGCTGGTTTAAGTTAAGCTCTCGTTACCCAGGTTAGTAAAAAAAATAAACATGAACAAATGTTTCACACAAAGCCAACATGTTCACTCTAACCTCATATAACTCACCAGAATGATTTAAACTATTCTAACACAAACATCTATTCAGGACGGTCAAAACTAAAGGGAATAAATACACAGACTAGTTCATCACTATCTTTTCTTCTCTACACCTACAAAAATTAAATTTAACATTCAGAGTCTTTGACAGAATCAACCTCAGGCTTTGCATGAGTCCCTGTTTGGACTGTTCCACAAATCCACCCTATAGACTGTGATACTCTCACTCTGCATTGTTGTTTCTTGACAATGAAGAGTCCTGCTGGGAACCTGAAAGAATTCCGTTTGTTTGATAGCCCACTGATTATCCAGTTGTTTGCGTATCATGTGTTCAACCTCATTTTATTCATTAGACAGATTGTTTTTACCGCTACATCAGAGCTCCAAAGAAGAAGGTTGCTAAGTTCTTCCTGTCAAAGACAGCCATAGCCACAGGCAGCTTTTACATAATAAATTTCACATCTCTTGCAGGCAGTGCACATCATGGAGGTAGCCCTGCAGCGATATGGCAGCTATGAGAAGTTTGAACAGATCACCGGGGGAAACCTCCTCACCAAGAGCCGCATCTGGCACAACGTTAAGAAATACATGGAGAAGGAAGGCTGCATAGGGGAGGTGAGAGGACAGGAAACTTACTCACAGGTCACACCCTCATCATCTATGAAAGAGAATATAAAACTTCAACTTAGAGCTGGGTATTTTTCTGTGGCTGCACTCGAGAGTCTATGTCATTGTGGATTAGTGCATCGTCATTACTGAGGCGCAGACAGCAGGGTATCAAAGTGAAAGAGCTCCAGGGAAAAGAAGACCTTGCAAAAAGTAGCTACTTCATTGAAGTCATCCAGCAGTTGGCTCGTGCTCAGCTGGGTTTATGTAACCAACGTCAACTACATCTTACATCACCGAATTAAAACTGCCTCACTGAACGCATTACACCACATTTACACACACACACCTTGTATAGACTTGGAAAGTCCTAATGGGCTCAGATAGAGTCATCAGTTTTGTTAAACCCAGCTAAAAATGACGGCTGAACATTGTTGTAGTAAAGTCAGGGGTTTTAGTAGAAGTGGCATTAATGTTTCAGAGTCTGCACAGCAACAAGAATTTGAGAGGGTTTGCTCAGTTTCTTTTTCCTTCTGCACATGCATGAGGGTCCAGAATGATATCCAAATGCAGCTCTAATTTTAGAAGACAGTAAAGGTATAAAAACATGTCTTACACACAGATTTTAAAGTAAAAGGATCAGATGGACTGAAGGAAAACACAGAATTGACATTAAGTTTTTCCTGCATATTAGATCGTAGTTCAGGTGACGGATGACCTCCTGTCCAGAGCCTCCATGACGGTGGTGAACAGCAGACCGACATTGACCATCAACGTCTCCACGGCTCGGGAACAGTGGCTGGAGGGGATGCTGAGGCATGAGATAGGTGAGCACATTTCAGTAACTTTCATTTGAGGTGTTATTGTTATTTGGCACCCGAAAAAACAATCACAGTTTTGCACTTGCATCACAAGCAGGGCATGATTGTGTGTGTGGTGCATCAGCGTGACAAATGTGTTAATTTTGCTGATTTACAAGATCCAAAGTTGAAAGAAAAAACAACCTTAGCTCTAATCTAATCCACCTTGTCCAATCAGCCCTGAAGTTCACAGCCTTATAAATAGGTGTTCATTGTCATGTGTCAATATGCCACGATTCATGAGAGTTCAGTTGAATTAATTAGTTTGTATTTGAGCTCAGTGAAGTAGATGGTTTTTGTCTCTGTCCACAGGGACACATTACTTCCGTGGCGTCAATAACTGTCACCAGCCGTGGAACAGCAGCCTGGGCAGGAAGAAGCACAACCTGAAGCCCCTGAACCCCACAGAGGAGGGCCTGGCCAGCATCCACAGTGTCCTCTTCAGGAAAGACCCCACCCTGTGGCGGGCAGCCCTGCTCTACTACACTGTCTACCAGGCTAGCCACATGTCCTTCTCTCAGCTCTTCCACAACCTGGGACGCTTTGTCCAGGACCCCAACACCCGCTGGGATTACTGCGTCCGGGCCAAGAGGGGCCAGACGGATACAGCTCAGCCAGGTAATCCAACACAGCTTGTAAACAATTTGGCTCTGTTTTCTGCCTGATAAAGTTGGCATTACCTTTTAAAATTACATTTAATGCATTAAAAATCATGTTTTCAAATCCCTCTCATCTTTGACACTGTAGGGTGCTTCAGTAAGGACCAGGTCTACCTGGATGGTATCTTGAAAATCTTGAGATACAGAGACAAGATCAACTTCCCACTGCTGATGGCTCTGGGAAAGGTACGGCTAACCTTCACTGTCTGTTCTCAATAGATTCATTCAGTTTTCATGGGATCATACACAGAGCTGAGGGGTTTATCAGAGGTTCAGTGTTGTCACTTACAGCTAAAACCACCTGAGTCTAAAGACACAAACACATACTATCCTGACATTAACCAGGAAACTCTGGCACTCCTATTTTCAGGACCTTGACTCAGAGGTCAGAGCACAGCTGAAGGCTGGTTTCAGTTATCAGTACAAGGAACACATGCAGGAGTTTTCAGCTCAAATACTGTACCTGTGTGTTTGAACATAAATGGATCGTCAATCAAGTTACCATGACCCTCAGAAATGACTCAAACACAACAGCTTGCAGACTTTACAAACATCTCCCTTGGTGCTGAACACAAAAGCCTGCAGAGTGACACTGATCGTAAACTCGTGTCCTTCCCTGTGCTCCTTTGCCAGGCACTGTTTCCTTCTTTAGATGATGCTCTTGGTAAGCACAGGCTTTATTAATGTTGACAGGTCCTCTGCATCACAGTGGCAGATTAGCCCTCAGTATTCACTGACAGTGTCCTAAAAACAGAATCAATTCTTAATCTGATGTCCCTTTAAGCTATTTCCCCACAGTGTTGGAGCTCCTCACTGCTCTGCACAAACAGCCTCCCTCTGTTTATCAGCTCTCTTCTAAATGACGTTGTCTTTTTAATGGTATCTTCTCTCCTTAGTGCTTCGACTACACAACCGTAGAGAAAAGCACCAGGATAGCAGTATCATTGGTGACATTCAGTGTCTGAAAATAAACGTTAAACTGCTCAGATGATGGAAACAGTTCAGACAGAGTAAAATGAAAGGAGAGCAGAGCTGAATGAGGATTACATAACTGCCTCTCTAAGGATGGAGCAGACACTTTTCTGCTTCAGAGGAGCCAGAGGCACTCGTGATTACACAGAGTGACTGAGTATGATGTAAGAAGTGATGTTTTTCAACATACTGTATATAGGAGGATGACTTAGCCACTGTTACATTACTCCTTTGTTTGTGATCTACCATGTACTTTAGCTAGTGAGGGTATTTGTTTAAACTAGAGCTTACCATGAATGTGCAGCAAGATGAAGCTGAAGAGGACCAGGAGGTTGGTAAATACTGTCACAGCCACAGTTAGAAAGTGTTGTGAAAGTGCATGCTTTACAACAGCATGGCTGTGTAGTCGAGGAGTCCTGCTGCTAAGCTGGCCTCCCCTTCAGTCCTGACTCCTTGTGGACTGGAAACCTTTGGCGGCTCATGAAATGAAGAAGTGTGACATTAGTGATAATCCATAAACACCCCCATCCACCCTATTTTAGCTAACGGAAATCAAAACTCCACCGTTCGAACATTACGGTATCACAAAACGACCCAAAAAGAGCTGAATCATACAGAGATAACAACTTAATGACAAAATGATGTTCATTTATGCTCTCACTACTGAGTCAGGGCGTCTTTTGCATGAATTACTGCATCAATGCATAGAGGAGGTGAGTCTCTGGCTCTGCTCGGGTATTATGAGAGCCCAGGCTGCTTTGATAGCGGCTTTTCTGCCTAAAATCACACAAGCAGCTAATTACAGCTCCCACTGAGGCAGACAGAATAATCTGGCGATACGAGTTCTTGCACAGAGAAAACATGAGCATTGTGCCCAGCTAAACACTAATCCTGCCTCTTTTGTTTTCCTCTGTTCTCAGGTGTCGTTTGAAGACGTGGACCGCCTGAAACCTCTGGCTCAGATGGAAAACATCCGCATCCCACACTTCATGCAGGATCAGGCGCGTTATACCGAGCAGCTGACGAAAATCATGGCTGTCAACCAGCTTACTGACGAGGAGCTCAAGACTATCATTTGAGCCCCGTCTACACTCCCACTCAAACCTGATCACAGCACTGCCAGCCCACGGCCCGCATGCCTCAACACCCTCACCTTCATCCTGCATGGTAGCAGAGTGTGTGAATCCTGCAGCGTGCTGTGTTGCATGTAGTATAAAGTTGTGTTTAGGAGGTCACATTAGTCAAATCTGATTAAGCTTTTCGTTAAACATCTGTCATTACCGGGTCACCTACCACTAATATAGCACAGCTCACTCAGTAATCATTTCACCTCAGAGCAGGTGGACTTACAAGTGCCAACACAACACAGCACCTAGATGGTTGTTTCAGTCTAATATATGCACACATACTTTTACCACAGATACACAGATTTTATTGTACTCTTCGTGCCAAATTGTTTTCAGTTACTCGGTTCAGTCTGTATTCAGTGTATTAGCCAGTTTTATTTGTTGGAGTAATTTAGTTTATTCTTCCTCTCCAGCCTGTTCAATCCAGTTTAGTCTAAAATAAAGGTGATGCTCAGCCTGGGAGGCTTAAACTTGTCTACTAAAGGATGATAATATCCACCTATAACCTCTGAAAAGACATCCAACAACTGACCAGTTATTCATAACATAGGGTAGGCCTACAGACAGTTTTACCACACAGGAAATTGAGCAACCTGAACTTAACCTAACATTTATACACGTAGTGGTTCATCCTGAAACATCACAGTCATTGTGCAAAATTATCATACAAGAAAGGTGTGGGCAGTTTTTGAATTAACACCGTAGAGCATTTACAGATGAGACTCAGTGGGTTAAATTGGAACAAATTCTAACAAAAAGTATGATCATGTGGTTGTTTAAGCGAAAACAATGCTAGATTCATCAACCTGGAAAAAGGCAAAGTCCTTGGAGAGGAAAATGAGGGAAGTTTTGAATGTTGCTTTAACTCCACAGGGATTATCTCTGTGGTTATGACTCTTGAATCACAGTCTGAGCCTGTCAGTGGCAAAATCAAGCTCCTACTGTTAAAACGCCCCCTGATTTACTTTTCCCTGCATGAGTCAGCTCGTGTCATAGAAAAGTGATTCCCATTAGTGATAGAACAAGCCATGAAGAGGTGAAGGATCTCTGACTTCCACTCTTGCACCTGTGATCAAAGTGTACTTATCCAGTGGTTTATATGCCCATCTCTTTATTGAAGATGAACTCATTCTTGCACTTTCTGACTCCTTGATAAAAGGTAGAGTTGCTATTTTTGTAGTACAGAAGTTTGGCGTTTGGGCAGAGTTGTTTCTCAGATGGTTCACAGGTTCTCTGTTTAAGCAGTAATGGCTTTAAGTGCTTCATCAGGCCTGCTGGTGCAGCTGAGCCCGTCAGCGTTGTTTTACTGAAGAGGAAATATAAAACCTGTGCAGCTACTTAAGCTGTAGCTACTACCTGAAAGTGTGCTCTTTTTGCTCTATGAAGTCCTTGTGGTGTGAGTGCACCGACTTGAAGCCCTGTTTGAATATTTGCACTTCTTTACCTTTTTTTTTTTAACTGCACTGATATTAGCAGTTGGTGAGTTTGTTCACGTTTTACTAAACAAACCAAATGCCTCGTGATTTTACTGTGATACTGGATGAGTTTTTGTGTTGTTATAACAAAGGATGACCTGACACTGGGAGCATGTGTGTCACTCTGCTCCCTCAATAAACCCTTCAATGGCACACTTTGTCCACATGGTATTGCTATGTGATGTTTTCTCTTTGAATGACTGTTTTGTGATACCATTAACAATCTTCAAATAAAGAGGACTCCCCGAAAAAAGTGACGCTCTTGTGATTGGTTTGTTTGTTTCTGTGGTATATATTTTTTTAATCAAAACATGCATTCCACAAATATTAATATAATATTTATTTTATTTGTTCCTTTATTTATAAGCTCTACTGTGCAGCAAAAAAAATAAATTATAAGAAACAAAAACAAATTTTTAACTAATTATGTTGAACTTTTTATTTAAAACTTTAGCTTTTTACATTTTTTTAAAGCGAAACAACAAAGGAGCTCACGGTGTCACACAGCAAGAGTTTCATTAAACTGGGAAAAAAAACAAAAAGAAAAAAAAACTGCATCCAGATAAGTGTTACATTGTCTTTACTTGAGATTGGCATTGAGAAATACCAAGTGCCTCATCTTTAAGGAGTTGATCCGGTTTCTTCTCTCTGTTAGTACCTGACCTGTTCTGGAGAAGATTTTCTCCGAGGGGACTATTGTTGCTACAACTCATAGTCTCCATGACATCACATGTGGAAGATGTGGGTAAACTGAAGCCTTGCTCTGCTCTCATCCTCTCTCGTCTCCCTCCCTTCTGCTCGTATGCTGTGTCCGAAACTTTAGTCCCTCCCCTCTTCTGCTCTGCTCAGCTCTGAGCGCTCAGCACAGACCACAGACTGTTTATAGAATGGACATCATCTGCCTCCTCGCTGGGTGAAGCCTCCGCGAGAACAGCACCTTCTGGTGACTGGTTGCAGTATAGGTCATAAAGCTCCCCTCCTCCAGCAAAGTGAATGGAGCTGTGGACAAACTTTAGAAATGTATTACACAGAATATAAATTTTTCTCCCCCCGGTTGCGATGTTGACATGCAGTTACTGTAAGACTGGTTTGTGCTCAAGTCCTCTTTTTCTGTGCAGTTCCATTTTTAAATGTTATTAAGGGTCAATGTTTTCTACGATTGACACTTGATACAGCCTATGGGCGTATAAAGATTGTGTAGGACATCCGGGGGACACGGAGCGTCCCTATCACCCTCCTGCCAAACGCTACCGCAAATGCTGGTTTCAGAAAACAGAGAAAATTCCAGAAATACAGAGAGCAATTTGGCTTCAAATTTGTACAACAATGGGGGTTGTTGTCCATACTATGGCGAAGACACAGAGACAAAACCACATTGACCATTGTGTGCATCTTGAAGAGAAAAAAAGACAGAGAGGGAAAAAAAAGGGAGGCAGCTCACAATCAGGAACTAGCTCCTAACATTACATTTGCAACTGCAATTACATTTGCATTTGCATTTCTGGTTGATTGAGGAACTATACTCACTCATCTGATTTAGCTAAAATAAAAAATGTGCGGATTTCTTACAAAAAAAGGTTTCTGGAAATTAAAGAGGCTACTCTATGCTACTGCAGATCAGAAAAGGAATAGCCAAAGGCTAGATGGTGCCACTAAGCTACAAAGCTAATAGATAAAAAGGACAAGTATCAGGGGATACCCACACCTGTCCTGAGGTGGAAAACTGCTTATTTGCTGGTGTGCAGTTTGAAACACCACAACTTTCAACCCACACTGGTTGACACCCACTATAAGTACTGTTAGCAAGGACTTAAACCAGTGTGAATGATGACTATTGAGCGGGAAAGTCTGCGATGCCTATACCCCACTGCATTCAAGGGTAGATCCCCTGAGATGTGAAAATAAATCAGATCGGTATTAACAGGATTACAGCCATGTACACAAGAAATATCAGGTTATCAAACTGTTAACACTGCCAACACTGCCAGAAGTAAAATTATGCAAGGACACCTAAAAGTAAGTCAATCCTATGTTTTCTTTTTATCTATCAACCTTAATTTTATTTTATTTTTTATTTATCTATTTATTCCTTGGAAGAGCAGAGAGTATGATTTTGTACAAGATTTTTCTGAAATCAATTTAGACACCTGCACAAGATTAATGACCTCATATTATTGTCTTTATGCTCCTTTTATCTGACAAGATTCTTTCATGTGTTACAGATGTTTTGGTATTAAAGCATGTAACCAATATTCAACATCTGTCTAATTTTTACCTTAAGGCTTGAAACTAGATTTAAAACAGTCTGATGAACACTAAAAGATCTGACTTTTTTTTTTTATTTAAACGTCTCAAACGCCTCCGGTTACACTTATTTGTTTTCTTAAAAAGTAATTTTATAAAGTTTTTTCAATAAATTAAATATTGTTTGTCGTGTTTGTAGGACTGAAAAAAAATGCTTGGTTGGATTATTCCAACAGAGGGCGCCAACAGCTAGATCATGAACAGTTAGGCTGCGGAAGCTCAGTGTCTGAGTCAAAGGCCAGAATGTGAGTGTTCGAGGACCAGAGGTGGAACTGTTTTATCTGAATATACAGGCTATGCTTTTATCAGGTGGAGGGAGAGGGAAGTGCATCTCCGTAAATACTCTGCGGGTTTTTGTTTACCGTCCAGGAGAAACGTGGTCGGGACGTTCGAGGGGCAGGAGTGAAAACATTTTAAGGGGCAGCTGCTGAACCCTTGAAAGACTTGAAGAGTTAGATTCAAGTGGCAAACTCCTTAAATTACGACCAAAATACACTCATGAAAATAATGATGGAGTCTTTTTACACTTAATCTATGGAAGAGAAATAACAGAGCACTAAGATTACATTTGACTGCCTTTAAAAAGCAACTATAGACACAACCAGAGGGCATCTCAGTGTTCTATTTTCTCACAAAAACCCGCAGAAAACATTCATGTTTTTAAGAGCAGGCTCAAGACCCACCTTTTTAGCTTAGCTTTTAATTGATATGTATTTGTTTTATCTTCATTTATTCTAGTCAGCCTAAGTTTATTTTAGGTCTGTGTTTTATTCATATTTTAGTTTTTACTTGTTTTTATCCTTTTATCATTTTTAGGACCCCCATTGTTTCCTCTAAGGGAGCCCTCGGCACCGGGAGCAGTAGTCGGTTGTGGTTGCAGGGGCCAGTCACGGGGTTCCTGGTGGAGGTTGCTGTCTGACACATCCCTCCTCTGGCCCTGTGTTGGTGTCCTGTGGCTGCGGGCGGCTCTCTGCTCCTGGTGCTGATGGCTCCTCTGATGGCACCTTCTCAACTGGTTCATCTGTACTCAGCCTCATGCCCACTCTCTTAATGCGTGTATGTACGGGTGTGTTGGCGTGTGTGTGTAGGTGGGGGGTAAGGGGGCATCTGGGATAGTTTTTTTTATTTTTTTATTTTGTTTTTGTTTTTAACAAGGCTGTAAAGCACTTTGAGTTACATTCCTGTAGGAAAAGTGTTTTATAAATAAAGTTTGATTGATTGATTGATTGATTGATTGTGCACATTGTAATTTTTTTACATTTGATTTGCTTGATTAAAAAAGAGACACCAGAGAGCACTTGTTAACTTTTTTCTTTTTAATCTACCTCTCTGTACAAATCCAAAATGATCCACAAACATCATAAATCTCTTCAGGTTAAACTGTAAAAGCACCTGTTTCTGGATCTTTGTAACTCTGTAGTAACAAATTGATATAAAAAGTGAGGGATTCATTTAGTCTCTGTGGAGCTGGTTAGTGAGCTGTGGAGGCTTGGTCCTCTGATGGTGCTCTTCTCTGGCTCTTCATTTCCATCACAGAGGGACATGGAGGCTCACAGAGGCCTGGTTTACATAATTTAAGAGCCCAATCTTTATGATCCTCTAGACTGAAAGAGCATTGAGTGTTTTAGCTCAACCATCCACACGCTCCTGATGAGATACTGCACTTATTTACATTAATGAGAGCAGGAACAGCAGGCAGATATTTAATTTCTCTTTATTATTTACACAGATAGAAAATGTTTGGCACATTTCTTTTTAAAGTACATCATATATACTTCTTCTTCTTAATATTTTTATGGCTCTATGACTCACCAGTTAGTATTATACATTAACAAATTCAGACCAAAAGGCAATCTTGGCACTTCATCACATTCATCAGGAAGCTCCTCCACGAAACAGGATCCAGGCGGGACTCAGTCTGATTTTATCCACGAGTGTCTGCTGAGGATTTTGTCACCGCTCATGTTTGGGCATAATGTCCCCTCTGTCTACAACTGCTGTCCCAGGTCTGCTCAGCTCCTTTGTGGAAACATCAGCAAAAAGTTCTGCGACCACAGGGCAGTGATCGGACGCCACGCCGCCCCACGACCAGTTATCCGGGATCCAGGGGTTAGTTAGCGCCTCCCGCACCACCATGCAGTGACCTGTCAGGTGAAATTCCAACAGAGGTAAGAGAGGAAACCCTGATATCAGAAAAGATGCTTTAGTTCCTATGACTGAGATGATTCCTCTCACTTCACCCACCTGAGTAGATCTTTTTTAAAGAGCGGCTCAGCCAGATGTTATCCAGGCAGCGGGTTCCCTGTGGCGAGCGGGTACTGATGTTGGTGAACTGGGTGGAGGGAATCAGGGCGCTGAGCTTCTCCTTCCTCAAGAGGTCCAGCTCTGAGCTCTGAGGAGGGCCGCCAAAGTCTCCAAGCACCACCAGCTCCTTCTCAGCTGCAGACACAGACCAAAGATCAGAGCATGTCCTCACTGTCAGTCGGACAGGTGTTTGACTCCCACAGGTGAGCTCGGACAGACTCACCTTTAAGTGTCTCTTGGATGCTGGGGCAGAGTCGCTGACTCTTGGCTTCCTCTGTGTGGTGGTTCTTCCCATTGGACTCCCCTGATGGAGGAGCTGAGGCCTGCATGTGGACGTTCACCAGTGTCAAATCATACGATCCAACCTGATGGAAGAAAGCCAAAAAAGATGGTGAACTCAAAGTTAATGTGGTTTTGATGAAACTGAAATAAAGAGGTCAGAAGCACTGAACTGACTACGTAACAATGAAGATTTCCAGTCATGAACACTTCCTGCTTTTTTGAGTCTCTTCCATTAAAGCAGGAAGTGTTCTGTTATCCTCATGTGTTTCTGCCTCTGTAAACCTTTGTTTATAATGTGTTATATCAATTAAGGTATTATTATCATGAGTAGTAGAGGCCATAGTGGTCCATTAGAATAAAAGTTCCTGTATAACAGTTTGAGTGGAATCTGGCGCTCCTGGCATATATGTTACATCTGCTTGTTTAAAGCACTTTTTTGGGTCCATATAATCCTGAATCAGGATCAGGTTGATCCAAAACTGAACTGCTCAGTAAAAACTCCTGATCTGGCAACTTTTAAATAGCTGTTTTAATGTGATCCACTTCTTAAGCCTTTTACTCAACCTAAAAGCGCCTCCATGTTTCAGTGATAGAAAATTTTCCTCATGTGTTTCTTGTGGGAGTGGTTACTCACAGAAAAGTGAGCCAGGTAGAGTCTGGGATGGGAATGATTCCCGTTGCCGTTGACGACTGGAGATTCAAGGACCACAGCATCCTTCAGCTCAACACCAGATGAACTGTCCCACAGAAAGCCAGAGTAGCTCACACCCTGAGAGAAGAGGATTATGGGAAATGGAGTCAGATATTCAGTAACATAAATACAGCTGCGAAAGTTTGAAATCATGTTCTTCCTTTTATTCTTCTTTTTATTTAAAATTTAAAGGACAGATTTGGACACATTTAGAGTTTATTTGCTTTCTTTTGGGCTTTTTTATTTTGTTGCTCATGTTTGGTTGGTGCATGTCAGAGTGTTCCTTTATTTCTTCTGCTTTGCTCTACTTACTTTAATGCACCATTTTTACATGCATCTTATTCCTACTTATCATTGAACAAGTTGAATGACTGTATGTATTTGATTTTATTGAAAATATGATGCAAAGGGTATAAGATTTAACAGCAGAACTATAAATATAAAAGTGTTCTCTCCGAGCATTAAATAAACCCGCACTCAACTCTAGACTGAAAAACAGTTATTGATCACTGTGTTCAGAGATACAGAGGACACGCAGTCATTATAATCTAATGGTACACGGTTTTTCTGATCCAGGCTTAACTGGATTATATTCGACAGCACAGTTTTAGCCTTGAGGTGATTCTCAGTTGGGTTAGTGCAGTTCACTGTGCCTGAGGGTCTGATATCAAACACTGATCATAGTGTTTCAAGATGCTGTAACACGGTTGTGTTGGTTATCAGACCGCTGTTTGTTCAGTTCATTAAAAAAGAGGGTTTTATAATGATGACCCCTGACTGATTTTAAAGCAGTGAACTCTGATGATACGGAGAATGAAGTAAATAATGTTTAGACAGAAAAGTACTCCACAAGAACATCATGTGGAGTTCATGAATGAACAATGAGGGGTAAAAATAACCAAAGCAGGATGTGTTGAAACTGATGAAAGGTCAAGACTTCAATGTGTGAATCTAGAGCTTAACTAGTTGAAGATAGAGCAGCACAATGACAACTCATAAATGAGCTTGATAGATCTCATGTTAAACCAGTGAGACGCATGTCACTTGTGGTGCTTTAGATGGTATTACTGACATGTTTTACTCTGACGTCCCAGCTGGAGGATTGTGAACACAGAGATTGTGGCTTCATGTTCTTGCTACACTTTTGATGCTGCACAGTCAGCTTGCCTGTAAAGTTTTGCAGCTCAATGCAGTTTGCTCTTTGTTGTGCCAACAGTCTGTCCACAGACTGTTGGCATCTCATTCTCCGCTGTACGGAGCTTCACTTTGCACTCTTATCCTGACAGAGCTTAATTTAATCCATATCTAATTAAAATAAGATAAGCCCAGTGAAGAGGGGACACTTTTTATTAAAGTGAAGCAGTGCAGCTTGTCCAAAACAAACAATTAAAAATCCTCTTTGCAAAGTTAATGGCTGTTGCTTCTACATTGTTCTGTGTGCAATGCTGCAGCTGTCCGAAATTAAACTAAAAGGAGAATAAACCTTTTCATAAGACACTGAATCTTAGGGGGCTCTTCTTTAAAATCTGAAAAATAAAAAAATAAAAAAATAACATTTAAATTAAATTAAAAAAAAAAAAAGATCTGTATGAAATTAAATACAGTTTGGCTCTGTGTGATAGAAAATCCCTCAGGTGACCTTTTCTATCCTGCAGCTGTTTTTTTTGTTTTTCTGTTTTTTCTGCAGAGTGCAGCTCAGGTTGTAAAACAGCAGAGAGTTTGTTTCAAGCTTTTGCTTTTAAATTCAAGCTTGAGGATAATTTTTTTTTTATAATTCTGCCTCATTTGTAAACTGTTTCATTTTCTTATTCAGTAAATTTAGTCCTTAACTAAGAAAATACAGGGAGGAATCAGAATAGAAACCGTACCTTGCTGGAGTGTGCAGTAGGTTTTTCGGACACAACACTTTTCCACAGTCCTCGTGGGCCTTTCCACCTTCGTACACTGGCCAGAGTTCCTTGATTCAACTCCGTACAGAACTGCAACAACACAACAGACAAAAAAGAGTTTTTAAGCAACACGTAGACACAATTTTTTTCCTGTCTTCAAATGTAAAATGAAGCTGTAAACCATCTGTATAAAGATGATATGTTATATCAAAGTCAGGGTATCATGTTTCCCAGAGAAAGCAGATACAGGGAGAACAGTAAGGGACCCAGGACTGAGCCCTGTGATATACCACATGTTAAAGGAGATGTGTGAAACACAGATTCACTGACTGAGACCACAAAACTTCTGTCAGCATGATACAAAGAGAACCAGTCCAGTCAACTGCAACTTCCTCCAAAGTTTCCCACTGAGAGACACGTGTGAACAAGCTACTTTTGACATTTTTAGGGTCAGAGTCCTGAAAATGTTCAGAAATGTCCTGTCCTCAGAATATCATAAGTGAGAGAGACTTTTGTTTTTTGCTTTTCTAACAGTTGGGAGACATGTTGTGATCATGCGATGTTTATTTAGTTTTAGACCCTGAGGTAACTGCTGAAATTAACTCGCCATCAAAGGAAATCAGCCTGAATACATATTATGATTCATGTCACTGGAGGGTTTTTGTGTCCTGAGACTCAAGAAAATAATGAAAATGTGAACCAAAGAGCTCTTTTGTTCTGTTAACTCAAAAAAGAAAAAAATATGAGCGGTGAACATTAGTTACTTAGCAAAATTTCAGTCTAAATATTTACACAAAGCCTGGAGCACCTTCAGTGTTAATGTGTGTTTATAATTCAGATAATTAGGGCATGATATCCTGAACACTCACAGAAACACTCAGAGGAGCCTGAATCTACAGCCTGAAGGGTGACTGTATTAAAACCTCTTCATGTTTATCTGATAATTAAAGTCTAACAAAACTTATTCTATCTCGACAAGAGCATCTAATCGGTCTGCAACTCATGACCCAGTGCAGCTCATCAAACTGTCATACTTTATTCCAACACTGGAGGGCAGACCAACTGGCCTGCAGCAGAAACAAAACAGAGTTCAGTGAACTGGAATAGCCCGAGTCGATCTCAGGGAGGAAATTTAGGCAGAAAGAGGAAGCCTCAGTGTCAACATTACTGAGAGGGTGCTGTAATGTTTTACAGAAATGGCCTCGGGTTAGTTACTGTGGAAATTAGAGACAGAGGAGGAAGGAAAGGAATTAAGGGAGCAGAGGAAAAGAAGTGGAGACCCGGGGGGTCCTGCTCTGTTTGACCTGCTGCAGGATCTAAATTTAACCTAAGAGGCCACCGTGGGATGCCAGGAGAGTCGGAGGGACCGCACCTACAGCAAGAACGCATCACTGTGACCCCGTCAATCGGGGGCCACACCAAAACAACATCAACAACCAACATTCAGAGAGGCTGTATACAACAAATTTTAGGGAATACAATAACAGATCTCTTCTACAGTCAGACAGACGCTGTGTGAAAGCTGTTGGACGTCACCAATTCAATTGTAAAGGGTCTATTTAACTCTCTTAATAATCACTGAAAGACAAAAACACAAACATGTCCTTTTAATTTGTTAGTCAGCATGGTCAGGCTCCGCTTACCGTCAAGCGTGAATTCAGCATCTAATATAGATATTTTATGAGTCTGACAGACACAAAGAAACAAAGATACAGAGTCTGTTAGCTCTGAGCACCAACTGCCTGCACAGCTACAAGATTACAGGTATCTACGCTGAGGTGGGGACCCCGTTTTGGCCACATAACTCAGCTGTGGGAGTTAGATCATGAGAGCCAAAACAGAACAGGAGACAAAAGAAACGGATCTTGCTGAACTGTTCACCAGGAGCATCCCAGCTAATATTGTTCACCTGAAAAGGAAGAGGAAACCTGCACTGATGGATCACAGACCACTTGAGCACAACCATGCAGATTTGAAGACCTTCATGGATATTGTGTTTAAATTCTATTGAACTGTCATTGCCTCGTACTGATTTGGCACATTCACTGTGGGCACTCAGGTCTTTCCTGATGATCAGACTGTGCAGATTGAGCTCATAAATCACAGACACAGGCCAAAGTTTTCAGTCCCGGTCTGTAGAGTCCTTTCAGGCAAATTTATGTCTTTTTATTCCAGCTGATTGAGATAAAACTGATCGACTCGGAGAGAGAGGACACAGAGGACTGCAGTCTGTCCTCGCTGCCTCATTGCTGAATAAGTTATTATATTAATAATAAAGCCATTTCAGGCAGCCAGGAGGTTAAAACCCCGAACAGGATTTATTTTCAGGGGTAGTCCTCTGAGACCACTGACCCTCAAAGTGTACAACGATGGATTACTCACATATATAGATCTGCCAAAACACAAACTGGCTTCATAATTCACCCTGAGAGGACCAAAGTGCAGCACAGCATGCAGTAATAAGAGTCTGGCAGAGAGCCTGGAGAGAAGTGTGCGGGGCTGGAGAGTCCACCTGAGACACCTGGACAAGAACAGGTACAGGACTAAAACACTGAGGCACATGTTTCTGTTTTTACTGCCAGAGTTTATTTATCTGATCAGAAGATTAAGTGTTTATCAGCAGCACAGATAGAGGCTGTTTCTGTAAATACATCACAGGACAGAGTAGCTGCATCAGCAACAACACCTGAAATTTAGTCTCCCATCTTCATTAAAAATGGCCATGCATTTTTACACTTTTATTACCACCATAATGATAATTTTGGTGTCATGATGCTCCAAATGTTTTAGACAGGAGACAAGTCAGGACTACAGTCAGACCAGTTTCTCAGCAGGACTCTTCTCCTACAGAGCCATGCTGTTGTAATCCCTGTTGTCAGAATGTGGTTTGTCATTGTCTTCCTGAAATATGAAGGTCTTCCTGAAAAAAGTCTTTGTCTGGATGTCAGCAGATGTTGCTCCTAAACCTGTAGATATTGTTCAGCATTAATGGAGCCTTCACTAAAGCTGCAGCACTAGGATTTTGGTGCTGTCATCATTGGCACAGCTGCTGTCTGTTGAGTTTGTACTTGTACTGATTTTATTTGATGTGGGGATAATTTGGGGTATTTCTTAATGTACTGAGTCTTCTTGTGACATTTGCTTGGATCAGCTCACTTCAGGCTCTAGTTGCACTTTCATTTTTCGACCTCACTTCTGTAAGGGGATTTCTTCTTGAATATCAGTTGTTAAATATTTGTTTTAACCATGGATGTACCCTTGGATTTGGTGAAATGAAGGTTTAACCTCTGTAAAATAATCATTGCTCCATGTGTTCTCCATCCTTAAAATATCTTTAATATACTGTCTGTTTAGGCAGGAAGAACTGCAAATCACCTGTTTGATGTCTTCAGCTTTTCGACCATAAACACCGGAGCATGTTTGACTTTTGATTAGATATACAGTATTTTTTTTTCTACACTAGGATGAGATTGACTGTTGTAGGAACAGATCTGAGTCTAATAAGGCTGATTCAATAAACCCGTGTCAGTGCAGCCGGTAAATTCACAAACATGAAACATGAGCAACAAAAACTGCTGCTTTTTAGAAACAGGATGAACGAATGGAGCAGAACAGGAGAGAACAACACTGAACTCAGTGAACCTTTAGAAGAGAGCCAACGAGCTGTGTTTGAGTTCGCCAAGAGAAAAAGAGAGAGAAAGAGAGAGAGCGAAAGAGAGAGAAAGAGAGAGAGAGAGAGAGAGAGAGAGAAAGAGAAAGAGAGAGAGTGTTCATTTGTTTGGTTAGTGCCTCTTTATTATTGTATCTGCTCAGAGCCTGTTTGATCGTAACCATAAAGGTCTTTGAACATATCCTGAATCACGAGTATGAAACCTAACCACAGAGTTCCTTAGTGACCAAACAGCAGGGGCACAACAGACTAAAACTGGCTCACTCTCTTGGTATTACTAATAACATTTTTTTCCCCCTCGTTCACCAAAGTTACAGCGAAATCAGCTTCAGAGTTTATACTGTGGACATTTTATTACCATAGCTGCATTTGTATGACAGTGTGAATCATCCTGTCTGTATTTTCATGGAGCTCGGCTCTGACTTGATTTTGGTAAGGATTTAATTATGATTCAAGAATGATAACAATGATGTCAGCTCGCTATCGCTTCTACACAGGTGAGATCTCTGAAGCCTGTCTCGCTCTCATCCTGTTCATTCTGTCCCTTAGCTTTTCAGACACGCAGATACACACACCTGCCTCCTCTCCATGCTCTCTTCTCTCCTCCCCCAGCTCCTATGAGTAAAATAAACCTGTATTTGAAATTTAAAGCTGTTTTCTACCTTTGAGTACTGGTTTCAGTCCACACTGGTGGAGCAGTGCAGCATCTATTTGAATAATAAATCTAAAAACCAAGATCATGATGTAAATTCTGTGTTGATCTTGAAATCAACAAAGAAATAACAACTCATTTATTTGTTCAAAGTTTTGTTTTTGGGCAGTTTCCCTTAAATAAGTGAGGACAGCTGAAGACAGAGAGGAAATGTGGGTCACTGTTGGGAATCAAAGCAAACCTTTGAGAGGAGGACCACGACCTCCATATGAAGAGTACTTGAACCCCTAGGCCATCAGTGCCCCAGAATTTAAATGTTACAAAAAAGGTACAAAAAAGGAATTGTAAACATGCAATTAAAAGGGATTAACTATTGAAATAATGTGATTAATCGTGATTTTCATAAATAATTATTTTAGAGCCCCAAAACAAACCTGATTTGGTGATATTGTTTTTTACTTTAAAGAAACCTCAGGATTGTAAAACTCAGCAGTCAGCTGGGGTAATGTAAAGCTCTTTAAAACTTTATGGCGAGTCTTTTTCGCGGTCTCTTCTGAGTTTAGGACAAAATCAAAGAACTGAGATGGAAAAGTTTTCAGCCTTTTGCAAGTTTTACTGCAGCGTGTGAAGTACAGATCTGAGAGAATGTAAAACTTTCCTGATGCACTCCGCAGGAAGAGAAAGTGAAAGGATGGAAGATAAAAAGAGAGGGAGCTAATGACTAAGACAGAGGAGACGGGCAAACAGGCAGAGGACCAGTGTGGGAGGCTGGCAGCCTGGAAACACTGCCATGTGGGCTACAGCTTGTCCAGAGCTGACTCGTCCTCCCACTACCTTGCGTTCTACATCTAAAATACTCCGCTGCTGACCTACTTCCCTCTCCACCGTTCTCTGATTCCTCTGCCAAAGATCCACTTGGTGTCCCATCCTGAGGGTGACACTACAGGTATGCAAACAAGTGTGTAGGCTGAGCAGGAATACAGCATGCCGCTAAGAGTGCCCCGCTGAACTCTGACATTTCACTGATACACTGACATCAGCGTAGAACTGAAGCAGTCGACCTACTTTTCTGCTGAGTGAGTGGGAGCGCTGACTGCTCTTTTCATGCTACCGATATTATTTGAGTTTATTGAAACTGGCACCTTGAAATTTGAGCAGTTCTTTCAGTAATAATGAGCTTTGGAGGAACAAAGATCTGGCAAACCAGTCTGTTGTGGCATTAGCATTAGCTGCTGCTTTATCCACTCTAACTCTGTTGAGGTATTAGAGGTGGGGTAGGCAGGACTCTGTTTAAGAAGCATCTTTTTTTGTGGTGTATATACAAAAAAAGCTTTAATATCAGTCAATAGCTATTAGTTATTGATGACATTTGGTAATATAACAATATCGCTGTGTTTTATGTCTGTGTAGTCAACATTTAAAATTTTTTGATTGCCCCGCTTTTTCTGACTGTAAACAAAGTCATTCTCCACCTCCTGACCTGATTGGTTTTGAGGCAGACGCTGCTCCCCCGTGTCGATCACAAGCCCAAACAAAGTTAGCGTGCTACAACATCGGACAGTAGAAACCAACCAGAAAGTACAGAAAACACAAGCAATAAAAAGAGGTAAATACCTGAGACTCTGGCAGAATACTGGCGCTTAAACGGAGATAGACCAGACAAAGGCTAAGAAGCCGACTCAACAATGATGGGGGACGCTTTGGGATCTTACAGACACTCTAACCTTTCTGCTGGACAGGTAAACCGCTATAACAAAGTAAGCCAAGTGTCTGTAACAGAAGTGTTTCTTGTCAAACGGGACCTGCTGCGTGTTGTAGCGCCGCTACACTGTTTACCTCGGGTCCTGGACTATGTCACTTCATCCTAGTTGTAGAAGTCCTGCAAATATTGTGTTTGCTGGTAGTCTGTTGGCATCTACAGTAGCACCAATGCTTTTTACTTTCCCGTTGACTGGGCTCCATTTGTAATTATCTGAAGTATTTATCGGCATTATATCTGAGTTTAATTGGAACGATACGAGCGAGCAGGAGCGTCTGTTTGTGGGCGGGGCTTGCTGGAGCAATGAGGGAGGCGAGAGGAGGAGCTGAGGGGAGAACTGGTTGGGAGGGGTAGAGTTTACATTCAAGATTTCTCCCCAAAAACTGGCACTTCCTCTGATCCTGCCTACCCCACCTTTAACTCGAGGAAGAAGGTTTGGATGGAGGATGGAGGCTGACGGACAGACGACGGAGGCAAAATTCACCAGCCCAGCTGGAAGAAACAACATCTCAAGACAATAAAAAAAAAGTGTCACTGACTTTCATCTTAAATGCATCAGTAAATAAATCATAAATCTGCACCAAATAAGAATCCGATGAGTCCTGATAACTGACTCTGAGGAGAACACCCTCTAACCCACCTCTGTTGTATTTATAGCCCTGAACACACAGGAGAGCGCTAACACAGTTCAAACCTGAGGAATACAGGCCGCTCACACTCAGGAGACACAGAGAGGAGAGAGAGCGAAAGAGTGAGAGAGAGAGACAGAGAGAGAGAGAGAGAGATGGGACATTTGCAAAACAACGACACATTAAATAAATGGAAAATTCTGAGTGAGAGTTTGTGAGTGCATTTGTCTGAGCGGTGAGTCACCTCCTTCATAACTCTACAAATCAAAGCAGCCTTCGACACGCTCAGTAACAGCAGCGTGAGCTGTGAGACACAGAGATCCACTTTACCTTATCCAGAGCCTCCCGCTCCAGCAGGTCCTGCACCGCCAGTAACTTGATGCTAAAACAGACAGAGAGGAAGAGGTTTACATTAACATATTTATTGCACAACAGCAAACATAAAGCCTCTTAAACTGACCCTACAAGTTATATTTACACACACTGGGTAAGTGTTGGTTAATATTGCACTACTGTACAGTTAATGCTACAGGCTTGTGGTGCACTCACATCCTGCTACACACACCTGAACATTTAGTTTGAGTGTTTCCTGTTTTTTGCTTGTTTGTTTGTTTTCATTTATTCTAAACAGGCAGAGCTTCCTATTTTCTTCCTATTTCTGTTCCTTATTTACCAAAAAATACCATTATCAACTTCTTTACACTTTGACCTACTTGGCATCAAACTCAATCCTGATTTTAAATAATTTTCTCTTTGGCACTGAAGTAAACAAAGCAAATACTGTTCTACTGAATGGCTCTTGTCTGGTTTACGTGGCTGACGTTGGACCAATCTAACACTCTTTAAAGCTCATTTATGTAAAAGTGTTTCACAATAATATTCACAGTATGTGGCAACTGCATCTTTGATTTTACTGCTAAAATATCCTACTTTAAAAGGAGAGTAAAGCCCTTTTGGTATTAAAGACAAAGGCCTCATAGTGTTTAAGAGGAGATCTTTGGAAAAGATCCTAGAACTACTGATGTTCAAGAACATTTTGACTTTTGCAGGAGAAGATTGAGTATGCTGGACGAGAAGAGATCTTTGCAGGAGAAGCTGAGAGTTAAAGAACTTTAGAAAAAAAAATCTGCTGCAAAAGGTCATAATAAATGCTGGTACCTCTCCCAGAACTCCAGAACACATTTCCTCAGGGTGAATTTAAAGCTTGGTAGAGAGCTGAGAAACTCTGACAGACTCTTACTGAGGTGTTTTGATGCTGGTGTCCTAAATCTTATCTACCAACACATTATTGCTCTGTGAAGGAGGGGCCTTTACAACCCAGTAAACATTTATCTGTTTACCTTGAAATGATTTTCCAGACCAACAGTCAGCACAATAAAAGCAGTATATTTCCTGCCTGCTCTTGGCTCGCTGGAGGAACCGCTTGGCAATACAATTTGTTGCTGAAGAGAGAAAAGCTTTTCTCAGTACTTAGTTTGGATTATGGTCTTTTTCAAGAGAAGAATTAACTCAGTTCCCTAAAGCGCGTTGACACTGACAATCTTTTATTCCGAGCTTTATTGTATTAGAGGCGAAGGTGAACCAGTGCAGCCTCACAGAGTTACATAAGACATTATTCTCATGCACACTGGTCTCAGTCTGCATTAACATATGCTAAACTGATTCTCTGTGGTGCAACACGATGAAAAGAAGTTGAGGCAAAGCTTTGACCGCGCTCACCTCTAACCTACTAATCCAAAATCAGCCACACAGAAAATCTCATTGCATAACAGGCTATTCTATTAGAGAGGGACTGCTGGGCCTTACAAGAGCTCGGTTACCTCTCCACATTATTGAGCCGGGGCACAGTGACCTGCACCAGCCGCATGTGTAATGCAATCAGGCTGCACTTACTGAGGAGAACATGGAGAGGTTACAACACACATCCTATACATGGCTGTACACGTCATGCTGCGAAGGCTGCAAAGGGCGAACTCATCGGTGAGGAGAGCACTTCCTGAACTCCTGGACTCTCTGACATGGAGATTATGTTACTCTGCTTGCAGGTCAGCAGAGGCTTACATGCCTACATAGATCATTTATCAAATTACATACTGTTTTACAATCTGTTGGCACAAAAAGCAAGGATGTCAAAATCACAGTCTGTTTACATAGATCATTTATCAAATTACATACTGTTTTACAATCTGTTGGCACAAAAAGCAAGGATGTCAAAATCACAGTCTGTTTAAAACATCAATGATGTCAGCCACTGGTCTCTGATGAAGCTCTGAAACATCGCAGATGAATCCTTTACTGGAAAAACTGACTCAGCCAAACAGCAGATCTGTCTAAGGCCAGGTAAAGGTGGATTTGAGGCAAGGCTTTAGCCTCCTGGCAAACAGATACAATACACCTGCCTCTCAGCATACCTAACCATGCTCTGAGTCATGCTTGAACATGTGAAACTCTCAGCTGTGTTAAATTTAGACTGGCCAAAACCCCAAAAACAACACTGCAAATCCAGCATAGAAGATACCGGTTTGATCAGGTGGAGGATGTTGGATTTTTTGCCAAATCCAACATGCTGGTGTTTGGAGCCTATTGGATAATAATAATGATATTGATATCGTTACACTGTTACTGTTTTTACTGCAAGCTAAGACAAGACTGGTGAGCATTAGAGTCCTGCAGTGAGCAGTAAGGACCAAATTGGTGTAACTTTTGATTCTCCTCGCCAGCAAAGAGCTTGTCATGCTAAACACATACTCCGTCATATGCTGAGACTGGGAGGAGAATCAATTAAAGCAGCTGCTGATAAATATTCAGGAAGCAGCAGTGAGTACAGTAGGTGAAGGATAAAGAGGCTTAGAGGTGAAAATGGATCTGAGTGAGTGTGGAAACCTCTGAGCCTCTGCAGACACTTCAGACTGAACTTCCTCTCAACTTGTATGAGAGCTTTCTGCACACTCAGAGGTGATCTGTTGTTTCATTTCTAACCTGAGTCCACTGTTAAGTATTTAATGTCTTGATTTGTGCAACACAGCCGTAATGGCTTTAGTGCATTTGCAGGCATATGGACAACAAACGTAGAAACCATCTACACTGGCAGGCAAGATAAATTCTGTTTACTGGAGCTACAAAATCACCCTGCTTGTTTTAAAGCTGCAGAAATCACTGCAGCTTACAACTTCACAGACGGATGTTTGTAAAGAATATATTTTCCTGACCTCGTCGCTGAACTCTCTTTACAAACGGAGCAGCAGAATCAAAATTTCTATTTCAGCTTCTTGTCAGTTTTCTCTGCTCCACCTGTCAGAACAGCCTCAGGTTACATAACACTGGGAGAAACTTTGTCGCCTCTGAGATCAGCGAGTGCACAGATCCTGTTTTCAGAACAAACAGACCCGTAGTCACACAAACAATGAGACCCCCCTCTCTGCCTTCCTCTTTAAAGGTGTGATCACTCTGCACCATGAAAGAAACCCTCACAGAGCTCCTCTCCTGCTGGCCCAGATCCTGATCCTCCTGCTCCCCTAGCGCTCCCCGTGCTGACCCGAGGTTCAGCCGTGTCATCAGGACGTGAAGGAGAGCGCTGACTCAGAGAGGAGCGGTCTGAATGTTCCTCCTTTGCTGTGTCTACAGATACCCCTGACAAACATCACAGGAGGTAAAAAGACGCAGAGACACAAAGAGGAGCAGAAATACAAACACTGATGCCGAGGAAGTGAGTCTTTAAATCTACACAAACAACTGAGTCTGCCCCAGAATATGTCAGATTAAACAAATCTGAGTGCAGACAAGAGGTTATATAACCAGAGGTGATGACTCGCTGCAGCAGCAGCAGAGACCTTGAACAGAAATAAAGTCTCAGAGGATTTTCTGAATGAGAGAAAGACTGCAGGCTGAAGTTCACCACAGCAGACTCATTTAAAGAGCAATGAACACTCCCATTGACGCCCTCAGGATGGTCAGTTTAATACTAACGTGCAGACACACAGACATAATTAACATTAAGGGGGGAAAATGTGTACAAGACAGGACGCAGAGAGGTGACAGTGCAGCAAATTTAATTTAACAAACATGTTCACGGCAATTCTTGAGCCTTGCAAAACCTCCTTCAAATTTACATGCTGAAATTAGTTGAAAAATGTACAAATCAGCTTCATTTTCAGTATTTAAAAAAAAATTTACAAACCTTCTTCAGGTGTTATAAAAAAAATCTAATTTTTGTTGAAATTTTTACATGATTTTACCACATTCACAGACTCACTTTGTTGTTATTTACACTGTGAACAAAAATCATAATGGGGCGAAACACAGTTCTCAGTTGTTGTTTTTTTAAATTATCACTTAAAAAGAGATAAAATAATAAATAAGTGGTCTAATAAATAGAATAACAGCCTATGCAGTATCTACAGTATATACTGTAGATACTGCAGACAGACAAACAGACAGATAACCAGGCTGGGTGTACATTTGTAGTTCTGGGGATCGATTTGAACACAAAAAAGCAGAGAAGGTAACTAACATGGAACTCCTGAAAAGTGCAAATGCTTTTGCATTGCAGGGATCCTTGATTATCCGTGGCAAATCCGAATTATCCCTAAATAAAATCACCCTACTGTCAATTACATACATTTCTTATATGGACACCTGCAGATTTCTTCATGCGTAACAGTGTTAATCTTTATAAATAATAAAATAAACTCTGAATTTGACAGAATAAACTCTCTGACACTGACTCCCCCCTCTAAATCAGGGTTTCAGTTAAGATTACAAAGCACAATTTATTGCATCCAGTTGATTCTTAAATCTAAACAATTTTAAATGATTAACATGGACTCAAAAAACTATATGAAAATGCTTGATTGATGACTAAAAATCTACAGCAAATCCACATTATAATTTTGTTTGACTACCTAATAGACACGTCAATTTGTTTGTATCTTTAGTTAGTGGCTGGATAATCACTGGGAAAGACTCTCATCATACATGTCCCTCCACTTTGAGTTTTGTGTAACAATTGCACCATCCACATCAACCTCTAAGTGTTAGAGTGTCTAAAAATGACCAAGAGCTGTAACACAGAGAAAAACTCAGGTGTAGACTCAGTTAAGCAGCCTCTGTGTTTGACACTGACCCATTAATCTCTCTCTCTCCAGTACTCTTTAGGTAATGTGTCTGTTTTTAGCTGATTAAAACTCAGCTGGATTTCGTTAAGCAGTGGTAAAGACGCTTTGATTTGTGTCTGAGGGAGATGAACGAGCACAGATCAGCTTTGTTTCGTGGAAGAAAAACTGGGTTTAGGAGTGTTGCACTGGCCTGATGGACTCCAGTCTGGCAGAGCATGCTGGGTAATGCCCCTAACTCACTGTCCACCCACAATAAAATGCTGCGCTGATGGAAATTTCCACATGAACACCTAACACCCTGCGTCAGCTCTGCACGGACCTCTGCAGCATCCGAGTTGGCCTGGACTCCGCTAGATTCCTTTAGTGAAACCGAGCGCTGTGCACCGTTTTCACCGACAATGATTGTGTGTGTGTGTGTGTGTGTGTGTGTGTGTGTGTGTCATAATCCAGGCCTGCAGCAGAGCCCAGATGTTGTGTAAATCATCCAAACAGCTGCACTGAGCTTCAACAGGAAGATCAGGAACCTCACACATGCAGACAGAGACGTGATCAGAGTCGGTCTGTCTCTGAGGCTCTGCTGTGGGTGCAAATACAATCTTATCTTTACAGATCCTGGGCTTTGTTTCGCCTTTTTCACCACATACTGGCTCAAAAAACCCTTCTTCAAACCACTATCTCTGAACACAAATGCAGGTTAAAACTGTACTATGCAAGAAAGACTTCTCTGGACCTGAGCCCCCATAAGATGGACTGGGATAAAATGGAAAACTACCCCAGAGGGACCACTTGGCTTGTTATCAGCTTCCGGTTCAGAGCCAGTATCCTTGAAGGTACAGGGATCATCAGAATCCTTGTCATGGGTAGCTTTAACATCTGTGAAGGCTCCATTATAATCACGTTTAGGAGCAGCATATGCTGCCGTATACTCCATAGACAGAGTCTGCATTTTAACAGCAGCGAAACTAAACGATTGACACCTTTCACAGAGGTCATGGAGGTGCTTTATCGCCTATTCGGCGTGCTCAGACTGATTAATTACACAGCTCTTGAACTATATTAACCCTGCTGTAAGTGGCCAATGTGCAGCACAAGGCGTCTCTTGTCCCTGCAGATAAGACGGAGATGTTAACCCACAGCTGATTTGTTGTTATGTCTCTGCTGCTGTCTGGTTGTTCCTTAGTGTGAATGTCTGTCTGTCTGTGACTGCACTCTTATGTAATATGTGTCAATTAAAACTGTCAGTTCGGCTTCAGGAGAGAAAGTTCTCCGCCTGCACAGGCTAAAAGCATCCAGACTTCATGATCATTTGGTCGTATTATTAGAATAGAAAGCTTTATGTAAATGCAGACGTGTCATCGGAGTAATAAAACTCTGAACAAGGAGCAGATTAAGTGGTGATATAATTAAGAGGAGAGCGTCGACAGCAGCCGCCATCTGTCCGCCTGTCACTCAAACACCATAACACTTGACTGGTAAATCATTATTAAGTAATTGGCTCCGCTGGCAGCAGCTAAGAAAGCCACCTCTGCTAACATTACAGAGATATAGATGCAAAAAGAAGAAAGTGAGTGTATTCTCAGTGTGTCTGCAATTCAGATACATGCTCTGTTTTGTGCTCGAGTACCCTCTGCTGAATATGTGAGTCATTCGCCAGATACAAAGTTGGGTAATCAGCAAGCAAACAAGACCTAAAACAACTCCAAAGAAACCACAATCCATCATGAGACAGTACCTCACTTCCTTCTTTCCCGCATAGCAGTTCAGAGAAATCTCATCAAGTTTTTAGTAAAAACTCTCTCCTGTATGTGTGTGAAGTCAGCAGACCTTCCCCTATCATCATCAGCTCCGTCAGCAAGGTCAAGGGTCGACTACAGATGCAGCAGCACTGAAAACAAACCGTCATCCTGACCTGACTGTGATGGAAAAGTAAAAACAACCTTGAGAAACCTCATAGCTTTAAGGGTCAGCTTTTACAGGCTGCTGATGCTTTACGATCTAAACTCAGAGCTTTTCTCTTTTTTTAGAAACGATACACAAGACACAATAACGACAGTCTGATGTCCAAAAGGTCACACATGCTCCACCTTACCATACCTGATGATATGAAATTATAGAGACAACATGTTGTGGTACCTTATGATACACTACAACTCGCGGAAAAGCCATGCAGTAATGATACACAATACAAAACGATACGATATCATATGTTAAGATATGATGCTATATAGTAAATGTGATATGATACAATTTATTACAGGATATGATAGGCTGCTACGATAGGTTATGACATGATTATGATATGCTATATGATATGGTATGACATAAAGTACGATACAATATAATATGATACATGAAATATGATATATGGTATGATACAACGTGGTGTTACACTATAGAACATGAAATATTACCCAGCGTATTTCCCATGATAACATTAATACCATGATATAGCAATTCTGTGAAAGTCAATTAAGTGCCAGACGGTAATCGATCACAGTATGTGGTGAACTGAAGGGTAAGAAACCCCCTTAAAAAAAGTGAAGTGCTGCTGTAAGGAGTCATAAAGCCATGACAAGGTGAGTCAGTCAGGAAGGAAAATCTGATCAGACAGCTGCTGAACTTCGACATTCAAATATTGATATTCGAGTAAGTCATTGTGACTGTTTACTACTATATTAATATTCTGTATTATATATGTATTATATATCTGTATATGTAGGAATTTGTTGTGCTTTTGAACAGAAAAAGTGTTACTCACTCAAACGTTGTATTAATAAGCTTAACCTGATTTGACTGGTGAAAATCAGAGTCTCATTATATTTGTGAGTCTTTGGGATGACACAATGTTTGGCTTTCTTCCTTGAACAGTTTGAAGGTGAGAGGAGAGGGCGGGTGTTGGTTGCACTAAGTTCTCGCTTCCTGCAGGATTTAAGTTGCAAAATGCAACACTCCATGACACAGCAGACACACTGTGGCGATCTTACACACAGAAGAACTACAGATGAGACCCTCAGAGCCGGTCTGACAGCTCTGAATCATTTTAACTCATACCTCCTGTTTGTCCGATATTAACCCGCTAATAGGAGGAAGTGTCTCTTTCAATTCCCCTCAGTCCTGTGTGTGTGAGTCTTTTTGTGTGAGTCTGTACGTGTGTTAGTCTGACTAACAGCTGCCTGATTACTCCCATCAGCAGTCTCAGTTTGCTGTGTAACCTTTGTCAAACAGGAGTTCATTGAACTCTAGTAGCTCTCTGCCGGAGCCTGGAGGTAAGCCAGGAAGTGTGTAAACTCAGCCTGGATCTTGTGATAGCTCGCACAGCGGAGTCTGAGCACTGTGCAAACACACACACACACACACACACACTCATACACGTATACACACACATCTCCTCCTGCATAACAATGATCCTCACAGTATCACCATCGGGACTGTTACCCTTCACAGGGACTCAGGATGTGATGGAGGATGGAGGGTTATGAGAAGGTGGGTGTGTTTGATAGGAGATGGAAAAGGGGACGCAGGGCTAAGATGGCGCCAAAGCTAATCAGGCATCGCTAATCAAAACAAACAGCAAATGTACTTTGTACAAATTGATCAGTCATGTGAGACTGCAGGGTTTACCTAAGGCAGTTTGCTCTGGGTGTGGCTGATAGATCAGTAAACAATGATGATTTAAAAGCACTTATAAGAACAAACTATCACACTCTTCTGTCCAGGTATGACTTCACAAGATGTGCATCTTCATCCAGCCTTTCAGCATGGTCCCAATCAAAAGCCCGTGCAAAAGAGGGCCCATACAGTAAAGAACAGGGCGCAAACGTCTGCATGGATGGTCAAGGTGGGACAGAAAACATTCAATTAACACTTCACAAAAGCCTGGAAATGAACTATTTTTATGTTTACCTGCAGTTCCAACTCACTCAGCAGATGTGTATTTGACCTGTTAGGAGGAGACCTGGATGCTTTTTCATCATTTTGATTCGGACAAATGAAGCTCAGTCAGGTATAAGCTAACCTGAGATTAATTGGGGCCATTTTCATGGTTTAATCGCATCAAGACCAAGCTCCTCACCTCTATGGACTCATGACAATATCCAGACTAATTCGAGACACTCAGGTCATGATGTTTTCCAGAACGGTTTTTCACACATCCCCCGAAAAGAAAGCCAATCAGTGCCAACCAAGCATTCTAGAACCATGTCATCAAGAACCCACTAGTCTGAAACCCAGGTGTGTAGAACCCAGAAGTCTGGAACCCAGCCTTAGAACCCAGAAGTCTAGAACCAAGCATTCTAGAAACCAAGCATTTAGAACCCAACATTGTAGAATCCAGCAGTCTGGAAGACAGCAATCTGGAACCATATTTTCTAAAACCCAGCATTCAAAATCCCATCAGTCTGAAACTCAGCATTTCTGTACCATGTTGTCTAGAACCCAGCATTCTAGAAATGTGTCATCTAGAACCCAGCATTCTAGAACCATGTTGTCTAGAACCATGTTGTCTAGAACCACGCGGTCTGGAACCCTGCATTCTAGAACCCAGAAAACTAGAACCGTGTCTTTTGGAACCCCGCATTCAAGAAACTACTTTTCTGAAACCCAGCATTGTAAAACCTAGTAGTCTAGAACGCAGCATTTTAGAATCATGTCTTCAAGAACCCAGCACTCTAGAAACCACAATTCTGAAACGCAGCATTGTAGAACCCAGCATACTAGAATGGTGTTGTCCAGAACCCAGCGGTCTGTAACCCAGCATTTAAAAAAAAAAGAAGTCTAGAACCCAGTATTCTAGAATCATGTCTTCTGGAACCCAGCATTCAGGAACCCACTAGTATGAAACCCAGCATTGTAGAACCCAGCATTCTAGGACCCAAGGCTCTAGAATCGTGTTGTCTAGAAACCAGCGGTATGGAACCCAGCACTCTAGAACCCAGCATTCTAGAATCGTGTCTTCTGGAACCCAGCATTCTAGAACCCAGAAGTCTAGAACCCAGCATTCAAGAACTCACTTTTTTTGAAACCTAGCATTCAAGAGCCCACTTTTCTTTAACCCAGCCTCATAGAACCCAGCAGTCTAGAACCATATCTTATGGAACCCAGCATTCAGGAACCCACTAGTCTGAAACCCAGCATTCTAGAACCCAGCTGTCTACAACTGAGCACTTCAGAACAGACAGCAGAGCTGATGAGAGTGTGTCTAAGTAGTCAATCTCTACCAAGTAACTCTATCTGAAAGTAGTCGTGATAATACTAGCAGTGTTAACAGATGTGACATTTGGCGCGTCGGTTTGGTCTTGTGGTCAAACTCATGGACCCTGTGTTCAGAGGCTTTAGTCCTCTAAGTGGGTGGCCTTTGTTCTTGTATTGCTCCCCCATACAGTCCTCCACTCTATCCGCTGTCCTGTCCCCCATGAATAAAAGCATAAAAGCCCAGAAAGAAATACCCCTGGATATATTTTTGTTTAGCTTATTATTTTACATTTCCACATTCTTACTCCCCCTTTTAAGTCTTTTAAGAGTTTTCACTTAATGTTTTTATTGTGTAGCCTTGCAGTGAAGTCATTACACTGCAGTGTGTAACAAAAAAAGATACTGAACCTTGAATCTGGTTTAAAATGATCACATTTTCAGATGGGGTTTAGGGCAGTGGCCTCTGTTAAAGCAGAGCAGACTGTTCAGAAAGTAGGGAAAACTAGGTTTTCAGAATAAAAACATGTCCTGCAGGATCGTCCTCCTGTAATCATTTTTTCTCCATCAGGGCTCACCACCAATGCCTCACACCTTCAGGTATTTTGGTTGTTACGTGGTGCCAACATACTCTTAGAGAAATTAACCACACCTTCCTCCTGAAGTGAAAACAAAGACTAACCTGGGAACGTGAGCAAAAAAAGTCAATAATGAGCCATCTGAGCTTGTTTTCATGTGGAGTCCTGCTGTAATGATCTGGTTACTCATTGACGGTGAAGGCTGACAGTCAAATGTTGTCCTCAGGTAGATTAACCTGGATTCATAGAGGCCTGTTTTTATTGTTATCTACTCTCAAGGCAGAAGAACTCTCTCTCTGTTCTCTGTTCATGTTTCTGTACCAGTGAGGCCAAGTTGAGGAATCACAAGGGTTGCATCACACTCACAGCTTGTCCTGAACAGGTTTGGCCCAGAAACTAGCGGTTAAAAAACAGGACTTTACAACCAGTTTCAGCTTCTCCCCTATTCTGCCCTTACTGGTTTTACTCAGCAAGTTTAACTGTTTTACTCAGACCTAATCTGTGAAGTTTGTGCCAAGTAAATGTGGGGAAAGAGTGGGGTTATACTGAGACTTTAGACTGTTCAGTTCAAAGAGGATTAACATGATACAGCCAGTCTAGACCTTAGAAGCCTGGTGGGTCTGGTCTTACTAAAAGTTGGGCTTTTGTTATTTTAAAACTGAGAAGAAGAGTCTAAATATCTTCAAGGTACGCAGCTGATTGTGTGCTGAGAGACGATTTAAAGTATTTGATAGATTTGCTGCACTATAATGACCGTTTGTGTGTTTTAAACCACAAACTGCTGGAGAGCTATCAAACTGGATCAACAGAAACGGTCACTTCACCTCAAAGAACAAAGAGTTGTTGGTCTACTTCTCAGCTGACGGGTGACTGTCGTTTTTAATATTTGTGCCAATCCGACAAATTATTTGCATATAAACAAAAGATCATCACACGGATCCTCCCTGCTCTTTTTAACGGTTTCTGGTTTTGTAATCATCTTTTACCTCTAACAAAATGGTCAATTCAGTTATCAGATCCTTAAATTTGAGATCTTTTCTCCTTTGTCTGGTTGTCTGTCATTTTTGCCTGCTGGGATACTGTTTAATCCTCCTGCATTACTTCAGGCAGCATCTTTAGGCTTTTTTTTTTAAATGCACTCACCATAATAAGGAATTACAGATGAAACATGTCGGTCTAACTCAAACTCTGGCGTGTTCTCATTTCTAACACAATTTCTTAACTTGCCTCCTTCTAACTGAAGTAACTCTGCTCATTTGAAAGAGGTTAGAGACTCCAGTCTCCGCTCTGTGACTCATTCACAGGACTTATTTTTGCTCTGTGTCCCCAGAGTGTGTCTTGAAATGCGGAAAAAGAGTTTTAGGTCTTCAGCTCCTGCAGCTCTGAACTTCCTGCAGGAGGATTTGAGTCTGGAGGCTGATATCTTTCAATGTTGTAAAGCAGACTGAGGATGTTGGAGGAAGATGCAGAGGGTTGCAGATGCTTTGACTGATAAATTTCTGTTATGTCATCCAGAATCGGTTATGGTTTGTATGGAACTTTTCCAAAAAGTCCTGCTGCTGATTGTGGATCTTGATCTCAGTGAGGCTTTCCTGATTTAAAATTTTAGTTTTCTGCTCATTAAATTATATTTTGTTACATAATCCGCCCTTCCTATAACAGATCCAAATTTGATCTTATTGCTTATTTGAGAATGACTGATCTTTTAAATTAGAGCACAGACTTTATGGATGAAGTTCAGGGAAAATCTGGATGCTATACTCACTCGTTCTCCAGCAGGGTCATGCACACGACCTCTTTGACCCCGGGGTTGTTCGCCTTGTCGCAGGAGCAGCCCTGCAGACTCCAGGTGGCGATCCGAACCACGGGCTTCCCGTCCCGCAGGCCGGACGGAGGCTCCACGTTGGGCCGCACGGAGATGATCTGTGTCGGTCCTCCGGGGGGCAGGTCCAGGTCGTCGCTCATGATGCTGAGAGAGGTCGGGCTCGGGTGGGACTTGGTGGTGCAGGTGAGCCCTCCGTTGGTGTTGGTGGACGGCGCCCTGGAGCGCTCCACGAACACCTGGAAGCGGATTTTGTCCAGCAGAGAGCTGTTGATGTGGTTCACCCGCACCAGGTCCTCGATGCTCTTAAACGGACCGTGCTCCGCCCGGTACGCCACGATGTTCTTGGCTATCTTCTCCGTGATGCCCCGGATGCTCATTAGCTGCGCCGGGGTGGCCGTGTTAATGTTCATGCCGGTGCTAGACTGGTGGTCCGGGTCTTTACGCAGAGAGGACGGAGAGTGCTGGGACGAGCTGGTCCTGCTGGAAACGCATATTTCCAGTTTGATCACCTCCAGTTTGGTGGCTCCGATCCCGCTCACCAGAGCCAGGTCCTCCACCTTTTTAAAGCCCCCGATACAGTCCCGGTACTCCACGATGTTTTGCGCCACAGTGCGGTTGACTCCCGGCAGAGTCATGAGCTCCTCCTCGGTAGCGGTGTTGATGTTGAGCCGCTCCTGGTTCACGAGGATGTTGCTGAAGTTACACGCGGCGCTGAATTTACGCTTGCCGCCACTGAAGTCGGTGGGATCCTTGGGGATGGAGCGGTGGCAGCCTAGACTCCCACCCATGGCTCCGGAGGGTCACCTGCGGGGATCGGATCAGGGCAGGAGCAGACAGCGGGCCGCGGCGGAGAGAAGAAGCGGGGAGAGGAGCAGCATGCAGTGCAGAGAAGAGAGAGTCCCACAGCTCCTCACAAACACTCTTGGACCTCCTGTACTCTGTCACTCTGTCACTGTCAGCGGCTCCGATCAGGGATTTCTAACATACGCACCTCAGCAGCCTCCTCAGCCCGGCTACATGCTGCTCTCACCGGCACGTCCAGCAGCCTCAGCGCGGTGTGTGTGAGTCCTGAGCGGGGAGTTGAGCGGGATAAACGGGCTCTCTGTAAACTTTACCCTCCAGCTGAGAAAGGTACGACTGTACAGGTCGCTCCCCGCACGCGCTCATCTGACAGTGACACGCTCACGTCAATTCAAACCATTAATCCCCACGTGCGTCAAGATGCGCAAATTCAGACCAGAAATACGGACCGCAGACAGATGGCCTTCGAAATAAAAGCCCCCCTCAGTAAGAAGCGATCTCATACGCCTTTAAAACTCATTTTTTAAAAATCAGCAGGCTTATTTTGGTCTTTTTGAAACACAGATTATCCAGATCTGCAGTGTAAATGGTGCTTAAATCACTTGTTTGTTTTTATCCTGATGTGTGATGCCAGGCTTAATTTTTAACACATAGGGTATTATGCATTTAAGTTTAAAAATCTAATGGGCTCTATGCACCAATCCACTACTTACATTGTTGGACAAACTGATTAAACCAGGTGTGTCTAAATAGTCACAATAATCAGTCACACCTGGATCAATCAGTTTGTCCAATAATGTAAGACAGGAAATAAAGGAGCAGCCTTGAGTTCAGGGAGTAGTGGAGCCCATTATTCACTAGATCAGATCCATAATTGTTTTTTCATCATTGTGTGCAATGCGGACACATTTTCTAGTTTTATTATGATATTTGTATTAAAAGAAACACACTTTATTTCTACCCTTATCTATTATTTCTTGAATTGCTGATTTACATTTTGCATCTGCATTTAAGAAAAAAAAAGGGAACTATTTTTAGTTTTAATGCTTTTGTTTTGAAATCCATCTCCTCCTTCCTCTGCTGCCATGTGTGGCTTTAGTACTCGAGGCCCCGTCTTCATCAGGAGGTGTGGCTCCTGAACAGAAGAACTGAATGTTTTCTGTCGCCTGGGAACAGGAGCTGATTATATAAACGTCAACATTTAACAAGGATATATTCAAATAAAGGCGAGGACTGAATTTTTATTCAAATGTTTAGATATTGATGGAGTTTGGTGCAAAAATAAATCCTGTTCAGTTAATGAGGAGGCTTTTAAATACTCATCACCTGCATTTAAAGAAATTAATGTTGGTTAACACCTGATCTTTAGTGTACTGTCCAGGCTGGTCCAGTGCAGAACATATTTCACTACATTTTGTTCTTTACTTAAACTGTTGGTGTGATCTTAAAGGGTGTCCCTAAATGCATTGTATTAAATGAGGGTATACGTTAATTACAGTCTTGACAGGGTGAGCAGGACCATCCAACCTTGAGGGACCACTAATTCACCAAACCACATGCTCACTATATATACAGTAGTGCTATTTATAGTGAGCAGCTTTCTTTTTGGCAAATTGAGAACTATAGTGCATCTTTATACTCTTATTGTCTCACACCCACAGTCAAGGATCATGTATACAAGACCCCTTTGGTTTATGACAGGGTCTTGCTCACCCTGTTGGGGTTGTCAGCCTTTTCAATTAGAAACTGAACATTTTAATTATAGTCAAGTGAAAACACGAGTCTACTCATTTGCTATAAATCACATTAAACTGAACCTTTCTAATGAAGGCAGAGCTTAAAGTGGAATGATATGCTCAAGTACAGTTTACAGGGCAATACTATTAAAATATTTTACTTCAGGTAATGTTTTTGCCATAGTGTCAACAGGCAGAAGTGAAAAGCACCAGCATTTTCCCAAGGATTTATTTGATTATAACCGGTGTAGCTTTTCTGTTGAGAATAAATCAGCACTGTTATGGGGTTCAACCAAATCCAGTATTACCACAGCTGAGTAAAAACTAGTTTAATAACAGGTAGGACTGACAGATTAGCTCTTAAACTGGTGGATTTTGTGAAGAGGTTGGTTCTTTTACTGTATCCTGCCTGATTAAATTAACACAAAATTTTAATCTGAGATAAGACACACTCTCATTTTACGCTTTATCACCAGTCTGTGATCGTCTGTTGATCTTATTCCTGAAAAAGTTCTCCAATCACGGATAACTCTGTGGGGATATCTGTTTGCCATTGTCAAGTTAGCTGATTGCAGATTAGTCTGATGCCATTTTTAGTTAATTGACCTTTAGATAAACGTCATGCACAGAACAACTTTTTAAAATGATTGTATTCTGGAACACCCAGGACGGGAGATAACCTGAAGATCACAGGACTGGAAAAGATTAAAAACAAAAATGAAACACTTAAATTAACGACTTTCTGGTAGCAAAAAAAAAAAAAAAAAAAAACTTTGACTGCTTGTCAACCAATTATACTGTAAAATACATCTGGATTAGATCAGAATAGATACAACTTTATTCATCCTTTTGGGAGTTCCCTCAAGGAAATGTAAAAGTCAGAGTCAACAAACAGGCATTTTGGCTCCTTTTATCCATTGGAAGGGCATCCAGAGGACATTTTTTACACTATATCCTTCAGAAGAGCAGCTAAAGCAATAATTCATGCATTTCCTACCATAAAGGGCATCAGAAAGAACATTTTAGTAAGTTTAATGTACCTCAGGAGCATTTTAGAGGGCCCTTCTTTAGCACTTTTTCATGCATAATGGGACCAGGCGCGGTAATCACCCCCAGTCTACCCCTGAACAGGTGTCTCTTCAGCTTACTGAGCACAGTATGTAGACCGAGTGATCAAATTTCAGCTGTTGGCTCACTGTTACATTCAAACCTGGATGTAATTCAATTTATCCACTGAAACCGGCTGCTAATCAACACAGGTAAATCCTACTTTCCTGTATCGTAAAAAAGCTGATTTCATTATTCGTCTTGGTTTCTTTACTGGATCAGACAGCCGGTTGGACATCGGGATCCTCTGGTGGTGAAGGGATAAGCCTCTGTTCACATCACAGCTCTATTTCCAGCCAGTATGACCTGTGGCATAAATACTGGACATGAACACCTCCGCCTGACCTCGGCTCTTATGCAACAGGGATAAAGAGAAGCTCAGAGCACAGGTATGGTCCAATCAGATAAAGCAAGGAAAACAAAAGGCGTCCACACCCCTAAAAAAGGAAACCAGAAGAGGAGGAATGAGTTTTTTCAGCATCTAAATCAGTTATGAAGATTTAGATTTCAAAGTAATACGACAATAAAGACACAGAGGGATGGTGGATCATGCTATTTAGATGGTATTTGGTGTTACTAATGCTGTGATATTTGGCAAACTGAGATCTTACGCTTCACCTTTTGCATGCAGACTTGTTGGAGTCGGTGAGGCCATTGTGTACTCTCCATTAAATAATGTCCCTGCTGCTGTGACCTTGTTCTGTCCTCAGTGAACGTTGTTGTTGTCAGTGTATTCAAGCCATAAACAAGCTTTACAAATGCACCCATGAACAACTTCTGAGATCTGCCGTGTTGCAGAGGAAGATGCACATCGACCGTTTTTAGATGCACACCATATTTTGACTATGGTCCATATACTTACTGATAATGTGTTTACACGTGCAACAGAAAGGTTCATGCTGCTTCTCACTTACTTCCTCCACAATGGCAGAAGACAATGTGAGGAAATGGCGAGCTTGATGTTGTTAAACCACTATGTTATGTTTTATAATTATTAGATCGTGCTGATAATATTGCATTAATTTTTCCCAACTTGATTTGCAAAATCTTTGCCCCTAAATTGCAAACTTGTAGCCATCTGAATATGCACAGAGGTTGACGTGGGCCTAACTTGATGAGATACCAGGACATTAGGAGCCATGTGGTGGGCACAATAACCTATCAGAATAATGGTGTGAGGGCATGATGGTATCCTTGCCATTGGAGCTCAAGTACATTTGGTTTTTAAAGGTCTGGACATTAGTGCAAATTCTGCGTACCATCCCTGATATTCAAAGAACTGTTTACAGAGATAGATGAAGTCCTGCACTTTTGCCTCTCTGACTGAATAGCAGGTTTTGTCTGCACAGAATCATCCGGACAGAGAGTGTTAGAGTCTGCAGTGACACATTTCTTATGGTCTTTTCATTTTCCCTGAGGCTGGAGCTAACCCAGAAACTCTGCTGCTTTCAGGGAACCAGGTCAATGTCAGAACAGGAAGTTACAAAACATTAAGCGATTTTGATAAAGAGAAAACTTTAACAGCAGCCGTGGGGGGAAAAAGGGACTTTAAATAAACAAGAAGGGTTATGGTATAAGACGTTAATGGTTTAAAAATCATTTTAAGTAAACCAATGTTGGATTTAATAACAGCAGCATGTTTAAAAAAGTTAGGAACGCCCCTCCCTCTTTTTTTTTTTTTAACCACTGTGTTGCATTAGCTGCTCTTTTAACAACACTGTAAACATTAGGACTGCGGACAGGTCAGTTTCTCAGCAGGACTCTTCTCCTACAGAGTCATGCTGTTGTAATCCCTGTAGTCAGAATCATTGGTCATCATGGTCCTATTTCATTGAGATCATTGCGATGTTGGTATGGAGTATTTCTGTATCTTTCTGTGGCCAATTTGTCATGTGGTTCGACTCATGTGCCTTCAGCGTACACTTCTGTCATTGGCTGAGGTTGTTCACCTGGATGAACCGAGGACACCGACAGCCAATGAGAAGGCAGAGGTGGTGAAGCAGGCCAGTGGTGGACTCGATCAGGCTGTGGGGTGATGTCCTGGTACAGGAGTATACGTGTCTGTGTGTGTTTAATACTCCACACAACAGCTGTGAGTCCAAAGGGTCCGGCTTTTGTTTGGATAAGCCAGAGGGAAAGATAGATTTAGGAAACGTCAACAAATGGAACTGATATCAGTAAATAAAATGGAAACTCTGTTGATAGGTTGGAGAATGCTGATTGATTAAATACTGTGATAACAGAAATAATGAGTGTATCAGCTGACTCTGAGAAGACCTGTCTAAATATTCTCACTCTACTGTGACAGGGTTAACCAAAGTCAACAGCAGACAGGAAGTTTATCTGAAATTCAGCTGTTTTTCTGTGAAACACATTTCAGCAGTCTCAGAATTACCTGAATGAGCCCCCCTAAAATGCCCTCTGGGATGCTCCTGCAGTAAATATAACATTATAAAATGCTTGGTCTGGTCCCTATTCTGTGGGAAATAAATAAACATTCGCTCTAGTTGCCGTCCATATGTGAAGGAGACTTGCAAGTCGCAAGTCTGGTTGATCTTCCAGCATATAAAACATAGACAAAAGTGCCCTCTGGAAATCCCTCAGATATACAGAACATGGAAAAGGAACATGTTCTGTACATGGAAAAAGTGCCCCTGTGATGCCCTTCCTGTATATGACATGTAAAACAGTACCTCTCAGATATCCTGCTAATGCAGAACATGTGAAAAGTGCCCTTTTAAAACCCTTGTGTAACGCTGTGGCTAAAATCAGCCACTAGGGGCAAAATTTAGCCACTAATTTCCATGTAACTTTTTTTTTACTGCAGCAAATGGGATGATTTTTTGTGCAGATGCTTATATTGATGAACACTTTGAGAATATGACTTTTTTCATATATCTCTTAATAAACTTCTGCTTTGATCAAAACTGGTAAATGTTTCATCTAAAAAAACTTTTTTTTTGACCCTTTGAGGGTCCATTCAAAACATAATGTCACTGATATGGTAGAAAATAAATCAAATAGAAATCAGTCCTTTCCCTCCCATTTTTTCCCCCAATATTACTGACTTTATGTTTTAAATGGGTCCTTAAAGGGTTAAAATTTGGATACTTAATAAAACATTTACTAGTTTTGAACAGAGCAGAAGTTAATTAAGAGATATATGAAAAAAAATCTGGAAAAAAATCTGAATCCAAAATGTTTTTACAGCAGTCAAAAGGATGTAAATCTAAGGGTTACATGCTCTTTCACTGTACAGGTCAGAATGTGCCCTCTGGATACCCTACCAATTGATAAAATACATTTGTGTACTCAGGATTCCAGCATGCAAAATTATTAAAAAGTGACTTTTGGATGTCTTTTCAGCAGATAAAATATCATAAAGCACTCTCCAGTATACAGTATAAACATTAAAATTGTATCCTCTGGATGTCCTTCCACTAGATGAAACATGGAAAAAAGTGCCTGCTGGATTTCCTTCAAGAACGTAAGATGTGCAACAATATATCTCTCCAGTCTATTACACTGCAAAAATAAGCCCGTGGGTGTTTTTCTGTTTTTTAAAGAAAATGTATAAGGAAGCATGATATATCCATTTACAAGAATGGGTGTAAAAAGTGCAAATACAAAGGTCATTATTATGACAATTTTGAGTTACTGATCTTGGATTCATTTGATTTATTTACTGTCATGTAATCTATACTTCTTTGTTATTGTTCATTATTATTGTTTTTACTGCATTTTTTACAGCTAATCTGCTCTGCTGCCTAGATTAATTGTTGCTTTATCAGAGGGAGGTACTTTGACAAGCCTTTTTGGCTTCCAACCTCCCCTGCACAAAGCTATTTTTTAAATCTATATTTAATTATCTTTTCATGAAGTGCACATGAATAAACTAAATTTTAAAGAGTGTCCACTTTACTGTTAATATATATTTTTCAAAAAGTGCCCTATGGATGCTCTTACAATGCATAAAATGTTTAACGTGCACTCCCACCTCCGTACATCACTGCCAAAAACCACTGGATAAAGTCCTGAAAGACCCCATGACAGTCTCAGAATCCCTCATTTGACCCTTGTTTTTACTTCCAGGGATTTAAAGCGTGACTTTTATCAAACAAAACAAACAAACTTTGCTCTGAAACCTTCAGTGTTGTTAGTGGCAAGCTGGCAGCCCTCACCTCAGAGTCCGAGCTGTTCCTGATAAAGCCACTAATCTGATGTGTTTGGGCAGGATGATAGTTTCCAGGGGGTCAGAAAGGAATAGACTTTTACTGGGTGAAAGGCTGTGACAACAGAGGCTGACGTTGAAACCTTTACTCAGCACTTTCAGGATTCAAGCACATCAAGACAGCTGGACTGTGATCAAAGTTAAAAGAGACACTGATAGAGCTAAAAAGGACCTAGACCTGTCAAAGAGGGGAGCTCAGTGTAGTCTGGTGCTGCCACCTGCTGGGGGAACAGGACATTACAACCCCTATAGATTTCTGGATGTGGCTCATTTAAATCTGGGTTTGACAACTGAGCCCTGCAAAGCCTAAAACTTGAAGCTTTATGGACTTCTCATGTATGAAGCAAAAATTAATGAAGTGTTTCCCATCACAAGTTTATTATGTGACTTTGTACAATAAAAACCAGACATTAAACAGATGCAGTAACCAGCAGTGCTAAATGTGATGTGAAGAAATCTGGCTGTCTGACTGACGCTCCAGCCTTCCCATCCATCCACCATCCAGCACCAGCTCTCCACATCCTGCCCCGGGAAAGAGTGGACTCTGCAGGAGACGTTTTCAAAAAGAATCTGCACAAATGAATACTAAAGCAGCCGCTGCAGGAGCGGCATGTTTGCATTGTTACACTCAGCGTGAGTGAAGTCAGGGATACACGACTGGTTTCCAGGAGTATGGCTGGAGGATCACCAGCTGTGACACTGGAAACTAAACCAACACAGTCTCAAAGCCGGGACGATACAAAAAAAAAAAAAAAAAAAAATGTAAGAAAATGTTACACACGACTTGATTTTAAACACTGCAGTTCAATGGTATACAATTTACATGAGAAGAAATGGAAGAGAATAACATCATGGGAGGAAATTAAATGTGATGACTAAATAAAGGACCTGAAAGATACACGCTGTAAATATAAAAACAGTGCCTGAGGTGAGCTCCAGCCTGACGCTCTCTGCTGAAGTGAAAGGCTGACCTCGGTTTGTTTTTGGCATCAAAAAGACGCCGCACTAATCAGTGCAGCATCATCATTCCCAAAGAAGAAGAAGAAGTAGGGGGAGGGGCTTAGCTCTGAACTTTGACCTCTGCTTGGTCATTGTGATTTAACTTTAACTTGTGCGCAGTGACCCAGACCAGGGTCTGCACACGGACTCAGTCCAAAGACAGAACTGATGAAAGGGCGGTGATAATTCAAACTCAGAGTCCAGACAATACTGCCCCTTGGTGTTCTCTTGATTGTTATACAGTAATGTGGTTGACCGTTTTTACATTGTGTATTGACAGATGTTCTGACAATCGTGGCTGGCAGGTTGGCAAATAATACAACATCGACGAGGTGACAATGAGATGCTCCTCTGAAGATGTTAAAATATCTTCTTCTTTTTGTTTTTCTCCAGAGTCCTGCGAGTAAAAAGAGAAAAACAAAACGAGGATTTACACATGTGGTCGACATGTTACATTCAAAGAAGCAATGAGCCTCCTTCACCAACATGTGCTTCAGATTTTTCCTAAATTAGTTAGGTTTACAAGAAAAGTCTCCATTGGGTTAAGCATGTAGAGACTGCTTTGTCCACAGGGGGGCACCAAAAGTCCCTCACTGGACAGGTTTTCCGATTTTGCTCCAAAGGTTTTCAGAAATCAAAGCTCAGTCTCCAGACCTCATGTGTGATGGCGTTTGTACCTGGAGGCGTCTAATTTCTGTTGCTCCAGAATTCTCTGTTGCGCATCCCAGCTGGCCTTCTCCTCCTCGTGTTGGCGGCGTTTCTCCTCCAGCTCCTTGTGCTGGGCATCCAGGTTCTTTTTCATCTGCTCGTGACGCCTCTGGAGCTGCAGAAGTGAACAGGCACAGTCAGAGGTTAACCAAGCATTTCCAAAAGTCCACAAACAGACAAAAACAAACATCACTGAGTTTACCTCGGCCTCTGAGTCTCTGAGCTTCTGGAGCTTTTCTTTTACTTTCATTTCGAAGACTTGCTCCATCTCCTGTTCCATTTTCTTCATCTTGGACACGTGCTCCCGTCGCTCCTCCTCCATCTGAGCCAGAGGACTCCTGGAGACATGAGAGTGTTCATAGAGACAGTGCACAGAAGCAGGTGTGTGCATGGTCACACTGAAGTGATTCCACCACAACCAGAAAAGGCTCTTCTGGCTTAAGGGTGATGAAGAGGAGAAGAGGAAGAACCAGTAAAGGCTCAGATAGCTCTCCATCGCTGGAAGCTCTCTGTGACAGACGGCTCCCAGCGAGGGTTTGAGGAGGAGTTTGTCAGGAGAGGAGGTACTTTAAGAGAATTATTTATAAAGTTATGTTTTTTTTTCCCATTGGAAGCCTGAATTGCCAGTAACATGCTTTATCTGAAGCCCGGTTTATGCTGCTGCATCTACACCTAGATCTCTGTAGCCTACATGCACCTCCTAACAAATGTAATCATGAGTCAAAACAATGCAGAGATCAAGCCCTGTGCCCCCGCCCTCTTCCTCAGCAGCCCTGAGGTCCATCATGATCAACTGCTGCAAAACATCTCAGCTTCGACTTCAATATATTCTGATCATATTTAGCTGCGGTTGAATCTTGTGAACTAACAACAGGGGAAGGGGAGCAGAACTATTGCACCGCAAACTTGCATTTAGGTGGAGAATTGCAGAGTGACATGAACACTACATAGTTGAAGTGTGCAGCTCTCATGATGCAGAAACATAAACCAGGCTTGAGCTGTCGTGCAGGAAGTAGCTACTAGACGGGGCTATGCAATGTTCTAGTACCAGGATGTAAACAAGCACGGATAAGATGGCAACTTCTTCTGAATTTTGATCTAGAAAATGGAGATAAAGTTGTGTGTGGAAAGGATTGTCCGCAAAAGACTGAAAAACAAAGGTAATTGAATCTAGACAGGAAGGTATATTGTCAATAAACCAAAGTTATTGACAACTGGAGTCGACACAATATGCACATAAGTTTTACAGTATTCCCAATTAGCCAGAGCAGTGTTAAAGGTGATTAATAACTACTTTGTGATGAAACAGCAAAGCAGGAAGTAGAGCCAGAAAATAGAAGCAGGCCGTGAGAGGATGAATATTTTAGTTTCCCTGTCTCTAGTGTGATTACTCCATCAGGATCACTGAAACAAATCTGATTTATCAATCAAAGCTAAATCAAGTATGCAAACTTATCAGCTTTGCATTAGAATGAGTGAAGAAACAGGAGCTCTAAGTCTATGAGGGAGGGTAAATGAATGAAAAGTAGTGATAAGCAGTCTTTGTTGAGGTTTAAAAGAAGTGAAGTCACACTTACATGCCGTCAGCCGTGTCAGGTCTAAAAACAAACAAACACACAAACGCACAGACACTTAGCATGCAGCTGTGAACCATGCATTAGCTTGTGAGAGAGTGCTGCTTTTACTGACAGCTGCAGCCGCTGGGTTAGCCAGGGTCAGACGATTAGTACTGTCAGATTAGACACAACTGATACTGGGCACAGTTAGTACCTTGTTAGTGCTGGTTTGTTGGGCTTTAAAGGTTCAGACTGCGTGATGACTTTAATCTGTAGTTTCTAGCATCAAAAATCAACATCATTATCAAAGGTGTGAGAATTTGAGTAGGACAGGTGAACTCACTTAGTTAGCTGTCCCTTGTTCTTGTTGTTGTCGACGCCGTTGTATGTTACTGCGGCGAGTTTCCTGCTGCGGTAGTTCTCATAATGGACGTTGTTTGTTACGTCCTTGAGGTCTTGCATATGGGTCCTGAAAATCACAGGGAGCACATTTACTGACTTTATGACAGCTGTTTGGACACAGACTCAAACAAACAGGAGTAAGATGCTGATATAAGGTGCAGTCTTGTTAGCCGATCCTTACATGCAGCATTAAAATTTGAGAGTATTTTGCACTGATTTCTATTTAGTCTCACCTTATGAGCATGTTTCGGAGGATTGTGAAGTCACAGTGTTCGCTGTTCTCCACTGAAATAAGAGACACAACAGTTAAAACACTAAATCATGAAGGAATAACAGCATAGAAACCTGAACGATCACTAAAGAGAAAGAAGGAGACATAATCAGCAATGCTTTATACTGGTGAAACTAGCTTTTGTCATGTTTGTTTGTATCAGGTGGCTTCTGCCCCAAAAAGCTGGAGCAGATATCAATAGCATAGACCGAAGCAGAGTAGATCTGCCCTCCCAAACGCTTGATAGCATAGACTCTATGCTATCAAGTGTTTGCGACAGCCCGGGTCTTTGTATTTTGCTCTGCTGAGAGCTAGCATAGGAAGGAGGGAGCTTTCTATAGACACTCAGCAGGTTGGAGATATTTCAGGCTTTTTCACCGAGAACTCCAACAATCGTTTGCAGCATCTAAGGCGGAAAATAGCCAAAATAACTGGATTAACTGGTCAGCCTGCAGTTTATTGAAAGAGCAGTGTCTGCTGCTTGGTTGAGCACCTGAAACTCAGGCACAACACAAGTCAGACAAAAGTTACACGACAGTGATAGAAACTACAAAGCTACCATGGATTCTGTCAGAAAAAGCAGTTAAAAATGGAGTCAGTACAACACTCTAAGTGTAACCCTTAAGTCAAATTTTAAAAATCCTTGAACACCTTGAATTTTCCCCCAAGTGTCCTTAGTTTGAAGACTTTTGAAAGCCAGAATTTAACATGTTTTCTAATATATATACCAAGAGCTCCACAGCTGTTTGACTAACTTGATCATGCTTTTCAGACACTTTGGCTGCGCAGTAAGACTCCATCACCAGCAGGTGGCACTGTGTACTGTTGTCTGCCTCCTCTCCTTACTTTTGTGGTGGAATGACTCACATAGCTTCTCAGGAACCTTGCCCTCCACATATCTCTGCTGACATGGAGCCAGAAACATTTGTGGTATTCCAAAACTTGCTAAACACAGACACCAAACCAGTTCCAGGCTGTAGTAACACTCCTGCTCTCACCCACCAGGCTGCGCTGTGCTCATCGATGTTATTTATATCTTCATCACTGTAAATGTTTCCTTCAGGGCCTCCATTAGCTTCAGCTCTACCTCACACTGCTTCATACGTGTCACCGCAGTGTGACAGCAGCTTCCTGTGTCAGGTCAAACAGCACTCTCATATCCTGTGCTGAGAGGAAAATAACATCCACTTTCCCACTGACGGCTCGAGCCGAGTGCATCACTGCCCCAGTTTATATTTCAGTTTATTTCCTCTACGAGTCTTTTACACACTCTGTTAATAATCAGAGTTTTCATTGGGAGTTGAACAGATTAGAAACACTGGTGGTTAAAGGAACCCTGTGGAGTAATCCAATAATCTTCTTGTAATCACACCCAGTTTCTGTCAAGATCCTGACTGTATCCTGACATGAACTGACCACAGACTGCTCGGAGAGTCAGCATGAGGTATGACAGCAAACGGTGATGACACCACAGAGGGGGGAGTCAGCCATGAGGGAGGTGACAAGGACGGAGAAACAAAAACATCCACCTCCACTTACAAAAATCAAACAAACTTGTACGCCCAAAAATTGATATTTCGCATTCTATTTATTTGTGATCTAATTTGTGATGTTGGAAGTGTGTGCTTTCTTTCACTATTTATTACCACTGAAAGTCGACTTGCAGCAGAAAATTAAGCAGAACTGTAAATTTGCAAAGTGTCCCGCCTGGATTAACGTAAACTCTCAAATCTATGGGTGGAAACTTTCATTGGCTTTCACAGCTGAAGGTACCAGACCTTTATATGAAGCAGGTAAGTATTAGAGGCAGGCCTTCATTCCAACTCTCTCAGTCTTGAAGAATAATAGTTGTTCATATAACAGTTTTTATCGAAGGATTGACAGTTTTTGATGAAGTGCTCTTCATGCTGCTGTAGCTCTGTGCCAGCGTTACTCAATAACTCAGGCAGACTGTGTCCCATGTGTATGTGTGTATCGCAAAACAGGGACACATGGATCGTGTTACTGCTTTGCAAACTGTCTACACATGATGCTGCTCAATAATCCAATCAGACTGTGGAAATATGGCTGTATTTGCACGCTCCTCTGTTTGCATGTGTATGTGGGAGAGACTTAATTCAGCTGATCATTTTTAAGGGCTGGGATCGATGGAACTTTGACCTCTCACCTTCTGCAACACCCCAGGGGTACTGCCTGCCGCGCACTCGCTTCCCGTTGACTTCGATGATGGTGTTGCTGCCCACCACTGCCAGGGGTAAACGATCCTGCAGAGAGGAGGGAGGGGACACAACTGTTGCATAGCTCATGTACAATGGCTAAAAATACACAGAAGGCTGTGGCTCTCTCTCTCACACACACGCGTGCATGCACGCACGCACACACACAGCATTCCTACCAGCTTTAAAAACAAAAGCTTTTACTTTGAAGTTTCTATTTGAATATCAAACCTTGATCTTTCTGACCAACTTCATCTCCTCCTCATCGTCACTCTCCGGGAACTCGTAGGTCTTAATTTTATGTTCGTGGATTTCCTTCATGATCTGAACACAGGAGAGAGGAAACAGGACACATTGACTGAATGGACATGAGTCAATACACACAGAAAACAGACCTGCATGACCACATGGACGCAGACTGAACACACACACAGGATCTCTGATCAAACAGTTTGCTGTAATTTCACTCCCTTGTGATGTTTGTTATGATAAAAAAAAAATGGAGAAAAACAAAGATATGAAAAACCAAACTAATTCAGAGAGAAGAAAGACTAGAGTTTTGAACCAACACTTTACAGAAACCACACAAACAACAGAGAAGTGAGAGGTGAGACACACCTGAGTTTTAAACTGTTGACACTCTTCAGGAGTCATTGTGTCTGCTTTGGCGATCAGGGGGATGATGTTGACTTTTTCATGTAACCGCCTCATAAATTCTATGTCCAACGGTTTAAGTCTGGAGAAGGAGCAGAGGGAGGAGACAGTTGCATAACATAGTAATAACAACATTAAAATGCCAGTAAACAGCAGGTTAACAGATTGTTTTTCTTGCAATAACAAAAAAACAAACAAACAAACAAACAAGCAAACAAAAAAAACCCCATAAAAATCAAACAGTACTGTTCCATATTTCAATATTGGGCAATAAAAACAAAAAAATCCTGTTTGTTTTTTTGTTTTGTTGTATCCAATTTCCAAACTGATTTCTGACCAATATTTAACTTTGAAAGCTCTTCAAATATATTTTATATGCTATTTTCCCATTGACTTGTTTATCCTCCTTTCTGAGTATATATTTATGTATAGCATAAATCTGACTATATGAATTTACTCGTTTATTAGCACTGCAAAGAATATTTTCTTCCCAGCAGATGGTTGCGATGTGCTCTTAATATGTTAACAGTTTATTTAATGTGTTAAACTTTAAACATTTCAATCTCATCCATAGACAAAAAACCTAACGCCAAAACTCAACACAAATGTAACCGGCCGAAGACCAGATAATCTGTGCAGCCAAATCTGCTCGGGTTTAGTTCATACACCAAGTCTAAGTATCCTCCAGAAACACTTAAACACTCTTAAACACACTCCTCTCCATCTCCAGGGCAGGTGTTGAAAATGAATAGTTCCATGTGGTGTCCTTCTTTGCCAAGAGGGCCGGCAGGGCTGTGGTCAGGAACCCACACCGGGTCACTGTGGGCCAACAGGCTCAACAGCAGAAACCACTTTTTGTTGGAGGAAGCACAGTTTGGCTTTATGTGAGAGAACAGCCCGGCCAAGTGTGTGTGTGTGTCTGTGTGTGTGTGTGTTTGGCAGCAGTGAGAGTCAAGACACAGATGGGAGGAATGGTGTCTCCAGGTCAGCTAGCTCAGGATAGATTACACCAATGTGATTCCCGTTTGGTTAACCGGTGTGAGGCCACAGGAAGAGCGGGACAGGTGTGGACCGCTGACTGGTGGCCAGGGGATGAGGCATCAGGGGAATCCTAAAACAGCTGGAACCTGCAGCTCTGAGATTTATTACCACCTGCTCCCGTGAGTCTGCAGAGATAGGACTCTGAAACAGCCTCATGCTGAGTCGCTAACCCCTGAACTTGATGGCAGGTTCAAGTTTTAAGCTTTTAATTTAAGGGTTTTCTCTTCCTAACCTGATCTCTGAAGGGGTTCCTCAAGGATCCACCCTAGGCTCATGTTTCTTTAATGTGTGGAGGAGTGAATGTTACAAAGAAGGTGGTGCTAAAAATGGAGTGACCTCTGGGCTGTGCAAAGCATCTACAGTCAAACTGTTACAGCCTGTTTTTTGCAACATGTCACAGACAGTTATTCCAGATAAATCCAAAATAACATTTTTATTTACTGACAAAGTAGTCACAAATTTATCTGAGAGAAGCTGACAGTGAGTTTTTCATCATCTTCCTGGATCAAAACGGCGTTCAGATAATTCCCGATCCTGCAGGTACAACTGCACATACTGAGTGAAAAAGCATCCTTTCTTTACCGTAGAATAACTTTCCTTCCTTTAAAACATCTGAACTCAAATTAAGACTACTGTGAAGCCTTCGTTGTGAAATCCCACAGTGTTAATGATGACACTGCAATTTGTCCTGTAGCTCAAGTTGGAAGTCACATGCAATCCTCCATGCTTCACTAGTCGACTTCATTGACCTGACATTTGTATGAGGCAGGGGTCAAAGGTCATAAAAGTCACTGGCGTGTTTTTGGGCGCCGGGCCTCACTGATTAACGCACAGAAAAAACACCTCTGCTCTTAGTGTTTTTGTGTTGGAGCCTTTGAGTGATTCTGGTTGAACAAGAAGTCATTCGATTGAAGTTTTTCTCCGGCTCACGCTGCCAGCCCACCGAACAACCACAAAATGAGCGAATGAGGGAGTTAGTAAACCACACTCAGCCCACAGCAGGACTGGGACCTGTTTCATGGCAGGGAGCACCACACAGAGGTGATCTACTGTCAGAGATCTTTGCTGCTCTAACTTTACACTGGAGTTACAATCCGGTTAGATGGCGATGGACTGAGTCCGACTATCAACCACATGCCAAGTTTTCAGTTTTGGGAAAGCACCTCAACAGAGAAAAAAAGGATCCAGGAACTCTCTCAGAAACGTTGGCTTGACTCAGAGGACTGTCTTTATAATCTAAAATTGGTTGGCCGGTAAGTATCTCCAGCTGAAGAAGAGCTGGCTCTCAAGTCCAAATCCATCATAAAATCCAAAATCCTACAAAAAGCTGGCTGAATACATGGAAAGCAGCTCCAAACATCTGGGGCCATTTTTGATTCTTAATTCAGCTTTAAGACGTAAATCAATCCAGCGGTTTGTTCTGGATTCAAACTGTGAACAAGATCCAAAATCCGGTTTTCCTGCTGCTCCTTGTGTGCAAATGTTCTACATCTGTGTCCACGTCAACTATGTGAATTTTAACATGAACCTGAACTTGAACAGCTACCTTTTAAACTCACATGGTGTGTGTTAATACCACTTTTTAAAGCACACTTTAAAACTTCACCTTTCCATCGGTTGAATGGGCAGTGGGACTCGTGTGGTACGTACCCATGGCCTGAAGGTGCGATGAAATACAAACAACAATGAACACGACTGTCCGGCATCTGCCTCCTGTTGACTCGAGACTCGGAGTTTAAGTAATCTTCAAATTTGTTGTCGATGTAGTCGATAACTGGCTGCCAGCTGAGGACAGAAAATTAGTCATGTTAATGTCGGATTGATATACAAAGTGGCTTTGAACAAGCAGCATATCAATAACAGATGTCTGAGCTCACCAATTACTATTATCCACTGCATCACCGAAGCCGGGGGTGTCGACGATGGTGAGAAGAAGGTGGACTCCTCCCTCCTTTACAAGAACTTTTGATTGTTCCACCTGCAGCGGAAAATAAGGACTCAAATCAGTCACATAATCTGCAGAAATCTACAAAATTATTCTGAACTACTGTAAAGACAAGAACTTGGATGAGGTCTGAGCTGTCGAAAGAAATCTGACTGGAGTTACACGTTGGACACACGTTGGATTTGAGCCCCTTGTTGCCGGCAGATCCAGGTCTACAGACTGATTCCTGCTGAGATTTGGGCATAACTGTTTCAAAAGAATTCTGTCTGAGCATTTACAGTGGATTTCGCAAACGCCTCCTGAAGCAATTTGCTGGTTTGATTGCCAAACTCTGGATTTATTGGCCGTTTAATCCCACAAAATATGGGAAAATAAAGCCCAGGTTTAACAACACCAGGATTCTGTGGAGAAATATTACAGATCTGCACACAGTTCTTCCTCTTTTGTACATTGAACTGTCAATATCAAACATTTAATGACAATTTAAAGTGTCTTGCCAACTGTGTGACAGTAATTACTGTCTGTGTGGTCAGTTTAGCCTTGTAGCATTAGCTCAGAGGTCAGAGGTCAGTTTAAAGACAGCCAGACTGAGGTACACAGACGCTGGTAGGTGGGTGGTGGGTGGGTGGGGGTCAGGGGGTTAAGGGTCAACTATAAAAGCTCTGCAGGGACTCTTGTTATGCAACAGTCTGGTCTGAGAGATTTTAGAGGACAACAGCTGAGACATGCACTGAAGGACGGAAATCATTTTTGAAGAACTTAAGAAGATTCAAGCCTTCAGCCTCCAGGAAAATAACAAAAAACTATTCCATTAAGGCTGATAACATCCTCTGTATTTGCAGTGTTATTTGAAAAAGCATGGTAATATCAGCATTTGTTCACTGCTTCAGCTGGAGTGTTGCTCATCACTCACCCACAGCCTGATAAGAAACTGGCAGAAGAGGCAGGCGAGGTCTGGTTCAGGGCTGCAGATTAAATCAAAGTTCATCAGCCCGTCACGAGTTGTGTGTCAGCCTCAGACTGATCAAAGCCGCTCCTTAACTCTCTGATAGACTCAGGAGCAGCTTTGTTCGAAAAGTTCATCTCCTCACTGCTCAGCTCAGTTTGTAGATTACATGCTTGTTGGTTGCAAAGCGGTTTTTACTCCCTGTGGTGAATTTGTTTACAGAGCTGTTTAATTCTGGTCTGTGGTTTGAGCATTTGTGAGGAAAGAAGAAGCCAGATAAGATTTCTTGCACGAGGGACGCTGAAGAGAAAAAAATCTGAGCTGCAAAGACTTGATCTGTGTCCAGCAATGTGCAGTTTCCATGCAAATGTGTAGCTCTTTCTAGTAGGGGGGTTGTGCAGTTATAATATATAAAAAGAGTTATACGAGACTACTTGCTTGGTTATCAATGAATATGCAGAGATTATTAGCAGTTTCAAAATATGCATTTTTTTAACTTAATAACAAATTGCTGCTTTTTGAATGTTGAGAATAAAAAAGAAAGCTTGTACTGCAGTGTTTTCAAAATACCTCCTGTATTAAAACATCTGTATCCTCTGCTCATTTAAATATTATGGACTGCAATAAACCTCTTGCGGTTTTCATCTTCAGATCCTGTCATTAATAGCATGTGGAGCCATAGATCATGTATTCATAAGTTGTAGTTCCCTGTGATCATCTATTACAAAATGAGCTCCAGGTTTTAAGAAACCAGATTTGACTTCAGTGAACGAGTTATGCTTGTGATGTTCCAAGCGCACCTGCAGAACCTGACAGACTGACATCCTTAAAAACAAGTCAAGTCCGAAGGCGAAGGACATAACACTGACTCTGATGCAGACACAGATTTCTACAGTGACACAGTTCAAGTTAGACATGGAGGATTGCTGAGTAGACGACACCGAGGAATCCTGCTGTGTCTCCTTCTCTGTAGCGTAACAGGATGAGTCAAGCCACAGTCATGCCTATTAACCAGAGAGGCAGCCTACAGACGATGAGCTCATGGGAAAAGTAACAACACTGTTAGGCTTTACCACACTGCACAGGGACAGTCATGTTAAACGCCTGTATTTGATTGGATCAGCGGACTGCAAGCTCATTTACTGTTAACAAACAGCAGCAAAACAAATGTAATGGTGACTGTCCAGCTGTTCTTCTGGAGTTAATGTCTGTTTTTAAAATCACTCCCTATCCTGTTTCCATTAGCAGACTGAATTCAAGAAAATGTTTCTGCATCCTTTATTAAAATCAGTTTTGGCCACTTCATACTTTTTATGTTTTTGCGCTAATGTTTTTCAGTTCACAGCCAACAGTATGCAGGTCAAGACTGACCAACATTTAGTAAGGCTGAATAATATTGTTTGAACGTCTTACCTGCAATGTGTCACATCACATGATCAGTCATATGACCTGAAAGATGTCAGGCTGTCACCACTACCTTATTACCCGGGTTAATCGACTAAAAACCTCAATCTGAAATCATTCAAAGCAGCCTCTTACTTGAACACAGAAACTGGCCTCTGTGCTGGCAGAGTCAAACCTACAGAGATCTACTTTGAAAACGATCGATGAAGTGATGCAGATTTTCTGGGTCCTGCTAGTCTCAGTGCTCATAATTTTTTGGGCTAACTTGACAGGACCACAAAATGTTTTTTTTTTTTCCAATATCTACACCCACAGTGCACCTACAATACATTGTTTTTATCTGGTATAAATTCCTGATTTTTTTTCATATTGCAGAAACGGGAATAAGATCCCCTTTTTTTCTGAGCAGCCTCATATTTTAAGTGTTTATGTTACGTCTCTGAGTCAGACACTAATGTAACATGTTTATCCTGCTGACGTGAATGAGGACAGTCAGGTAGAAGTAAGAAACATTGAGAAAGTAGCATCATATTTCCTTTCACTTTTTGTTTTTTTCTAAACACGGTACTGAGAAGTACCAGAATAACAAATTTTGCTCTTTTTTTGCAGCAAAGAGGATCAGATTTGACCTTCACGTTTCTATCAACATAACAGGAAGGATTCTAACAGAGATAGATGTTTTTACTTCAGTAGATGATGTTTTCTTTTCAGCCGGACACAGCTGCTCATCAGCTCTTTCTGAAGCGATCAAACTCTAGTGATAAAAACTCTTAGTGCAACTACTGACTGACGTAGTGGCGGACTTCTGAGAAATCGTGTTTGTCGGTGAAGTCTTGGGGCTGTAAGAAGTGCAGCGTGACACCTATTTCTGGTCTATCTGTGTTGGGATCTTTTCTGTAATGTTGTCAGGCAGTAAAAAGTTCTGGTGAATTGGGAGTGTCTGACGAAGAAAGCGGGACATGTCTGTACATCAGCAGGACAAGACCGAGCCGAGTGCATGCAGTAGTTCGTTGGCTAATCACCAAGTCCCTGTCCCCGTATGCTCTCCTTCCTCAAAGACTTTATTTACCAAAAAACTACAGGGACATCTGCCCCGGTCTATTGGATCTGTAACAGTTAAAACTCTCAAACCATCTCCTCTCACTCATCTTTCTCCTGTTTTTAAATAATTAATTGTTTTATGACACACAACACTCATCTGGATTTCATCACATTCCTCGGCTTTGCCTGGGAAAAAAAAAAAAAAAAAAGCAGCCACAATTATTCGAAATGTGATTAGTTTGTGGTCCCTGCGGAGAGAAATGAGAGCTCTCTGTTTTCCATATTTAATGTCTTGTAAGGATAAACAGCACTGCAATACACACCAACTCATGCATACAGTACTTTTTGTTTTGAGCAAACACTTCGGCCCTCAGGTTATCCCATTGTGGCAAGAAAACTTGTGAAATCCACAAATGTGCAGCCAACAGAAGCTCACACAAACAAAGAGGCTGAATCTCCTTTGAACTCTTAATAAGAGCTGAGGAGGTGTAATAGGCAGGTAAGCAAATTGGACTCAGCAGCAGGGCGGTGGCAGACATAGCCCCTCAGTGTGTAGCCAGGGATTAGAGGAGCTTTAGAGCAAAGCAGGAGATCACAGGGAGCAGGTGAAGGGAAGATCCTCGCCATGCAGCTGATCTACTGTACACCAGCCAAACTCTTAATGCCCTACAACAGAGGGAGGGAGGCGGGCAGAGAGAAGCCTGCAGGAGCTCTCAAACACCAACAGTATCACCTTTCACTCTTCAAAAGGACGCTCGGGTAGAACTATGCAGCTGCGTGCTCTATTTGAGGAAGCTGCCAAACCCTGATCGTCTGCATCGTCACTGCAAACGGCATCAAAGATGGAGGAGTCGGGGCAGAAACCGTATGCCTCACACATTCATATCACTCTTGGACGCAGCCTCATTCCTGGCTCAGTCACATCTGCACTTTTGATGTCTCTTACATATTTATTTGACATGACAGTCATTCAGAAAGCTCATCAAAGTGTCAGCAGTGGATACTGTAAACTGATTCATGGTAAGGTGAAGAAACTGAGGTATGGTAGAAACATAATACCAGGGTAGGCTTTAAATTACTTGAGCTTTTGACAGTATTTTGGTAGAGAAATTCAACTGATGGTATGAAGCTGGTAAAAACAGATAAAATACCTGTTAGGATTCTTCAGCCTGTCGAAATAAACAAGAATTTGTTTAGCTCCTCTCCCTGCTCGCCTCTCTCCACTCATGGCTAAATTAAAGCTGCTTTACTTCTCTGCTGCTATTACCTGTTGTGACGCATTTGTTATGAAAGGTTTACTTAAGTTCAACACGACTTCATTTAGTCGATCATAGTGTTGTGTCTTACATGAATTAGTCTTAAATGGGCTAAAATTGGCCAATTTAATCGATAAATCGGTCGGACCCTAGTATAAACGTTCCTGCAAGAAGGCAATTTCAACTGATTTAAAGCAATATGCTATTTGATATCTTTAAAAGTAGCAGAATCTACGCTAAACCTGCAATGGTTATTTCTTTTTAAACTCTCCACTTTTCTGTGATATAAAAGAACGACGATTCGCACGTGTTTAGCGGGCGTGCTGCTTGCTGCTGTGTTGTTTTCGCCGACAGCGACACACAGAGAGGTGAGTTTTTCAGGGCAGGGGGAGTGATTCTTTCTTCAGGACTTGGCAGATGAATGACATGTCTCACCCAGTGAACGACGCTGTGACTTCAGCACAAGGGGAGGGGAGGGGCTCTTTCAATGAACAAACTCACCGCTGTGTCACTCACTGGTGCACCGGCAGGACGGGGCTCCAAAGCACCAACTGATTCAGTGAACGAATGTTTTGAACGAATTGTTTTAATTAACGGATACTAAGGATTCAGTAGAGTCAAAAGAACTGTTCTTCCCATCACTGGTCTATCATGACAGAAATAACAAGGGTGATTGGGGTAAAATATAACACCATATGAAAAAATCAGAACAAAAAAACCTGTTGCTCAATGCATCAGTTTAATACCTGACATCCCAGCTGGGTTAACGAGCCAGGTGACTTCAAATTAGCTCTCCTATAGTACAATGCATAAAGAGTTAGGTGTGGCTGAGGGTGCAACAGCCCTAAAACGACTCTGTAACCACACTAATTTCACCCAACACTTAAGGTCAAACTGAGTTTTCATTTTTCAATGAAAAGTCAGCTTTCTGCTCATAGGAATCAAGAACTGCTGGGTCCAGGACTCATCTGTAAATAATCAGGACATCAGGGTATTTGAAAATGTTTCATCAGTGCATCATAAAGTGATGACAAACCCCGCAGAGGAGGTGTGTGACACTCAGAGTCAAGCTGTCGTCATGTTAGAGGAAGCTTGCTGAGCTGGATCTGGGAGGGGTGCTGTTCTGTACACTGAGGCGCGTGCCTCATTTTATCTCTGCATCATCTCAGGAAGTTCTCTGTTTGTGTGGGCTTTTGCGCGGTACACACACACTTCTATAATTTAAGCTCTACTATCATTGAGAGTCAGGAAATACAGCGCCAGTCAGTCAACCAGCTCAGTCTTATCTGTTACATTAGAGCAACTGTAGCTCTCAACCTCACAAAGATGACGAGTCACAGAGGTTTTTCCTTGAAAAACTGCTAAAAACTGCATTCAGAATGTTTTTATACTCAGTGAAGTCAAGCTGCAGTTAAAGCTTGACTAGGGGATTTTAATTGGACAACAATGACTGAAAAGACTTTTGTATAATGAGAAAAAAGTCATAATAATGCAGTGAAAGTTGAACACCTCCTATCTCTACTTCTTAAATATGACAAATCGTCTCAGAGTCGCATTTTTTTTAACTCAAACTGAACCTCAATCTCATAATTTAAACATATTTTGAATATAATTGACTTTTTTCTCACATTTTATTCAACTTTTAAAATTTAAGATATATCTTTACAACTGAGTATTAGGGCCACATTAAGAAAAAAAAATTAAGACTTCATACTTACGAGAATTAAGTTGTAATAAAATTATTTACGAGAAAAAAGTCGTAATAAAATAATTTCTTGAATGAAGTCGTACTTAAATCATTACTTGCGAGAATAAAGCTGTAGCTAATAGCTATTCTAACCTGTTGTTAGTTGTTTAAATAAGTACTGATGAGCATTTAGATGAATTGTACTTCAGTAGCTAAGTTTCACAAACAAGGAGATACTAAATCCTTTGGCGTTTCAGCATCACATTGTCATAAGTATCAGGACATTTGCAGGAAATGCATCTTTTCTGCAGAAAGAACCAGGCGGACTTACAGGGAATCACTGTTTTTGAGGAGGGGGAAATGGCTGGATATGGCTGTGCAGAGGCTTAATCCCTCAATGCAGCCGTTTATAGCAATAGCATATGACTTTAGCTTATATATGAATCTATAGGTCATAAGGTGTTGGTGCCTCTGCAGGTGTAGGTTGCTACCAGTGTTGTGCGGGTATCACAGACAGATGCAGTGCTCGTCGGAGTTCGACTCCCTCTGAATCATAAATGTTGATCATCAGTCGGATTGTTTCTTGAGGAACCATGAAAGTCCTCTGAATGGCCCACTGATGCATCGATAGATAACTGCAGTTGACCAGTTCCAGCCATTTCCTCCTCCACAAAAGCAGCTTTAAGACTTCATTTATTTAACGACTTTATTCTCGTGAATAATCATTTTGTTACTTTCTCTCTCTGTCTCTCTTCTCTCTCTGTGTGGCTTTGTCTCATACGCTTCGTCCTCATTGGTGTTCGGCGGATATTTCTTCCGGTCGACGGACTCCGGCATGGACATTCGGAATCGAAATTTTAAAATTTGAATGATTTCGGGAGAATTGGAATGTCAGTCCCTGTCCCCATTGATGCTTGAGACTCGATACCCAACCCTAACGCTGTCTCACATGTTTATACCAAACATGTGTTGAACATCGTCCTCTGCATTCCCTTTGATGTTTCCACTTCTCCTTCAGTATATGAGAGTAATTTAGGTGGTAATGAAGATCTTTGTGATTATAATATTAAATCTCTTCCTGTATAAACAGTTGTGAGTGACGCTGACTCACACACGGACAGATAGACTGGTTCATACTTTGATTTTGCTGAGAACACAGGTAAATAGATTTTGTTTACAGAGATGTTCGTATTTAATCAAAGACTGCCTTTGGCAAATCTCAGATAGATTAAAGTCTATAATGTCATGACAGATTCAGACATGTCCTTCACCACTGTCTGTGGATGACATCTGAACTCCAGCTGTACACAACATCAATACCAGCCTTGAGACCAGCACAACAAATCAATAGTGCAGCTGTCTTTACACCATCCATAACTGCTGTCATTTATACTATTTGTTGGTGTCTGCTGTTTTTATACCATTGCTGCTTTGTCAACAGGAGGGGTGAGCAAGGGAGCATTTTGACTGAGAATCTGACAGAGACATTTTGCTCAACATTCACATTTCTTCAGACTTTTGAACCGGTTATATTTTGTCCAATGGCTAAACTCCTCGCCCTTTTCTTCTCCTCACTGGGTTTTTGGATCCTCTGTCAAAGGATTAGCTGCAGGGATGCCATTCAGGTGAACTCATCAGGTTTCAGGTTAGTTTGTTGAACATGATATAGTCTATAAAATCGCTGAGGTCCTATTGTGGAACAGATTCTGGGTAAAAGTGTTCGACTCTTCCTAACTGAGTTATGTTACTTATTTCTGTTCAAAGATGAAAAGTATGCCGCCTCTCAAAGTCAGCTTAATGTAATATGTTTCAACTCCAGAACACACAACAACCTAATGACATTACCTAATTTAATATTACAACACATCTCAGCCTTCAGCAAACAAACTATCTGTGTGTGAAAGCAGATGAACCGGTTTCACAGTCGAACACAAACACAGCGAGGAGGAGCAGCTTCACAAAACAAGATCTCACACTGAAACTATGTAGTCGGCGGCTGTGAGGCTCAGAAAAACAAAAGGTACAGGCACACCTGTGATACAGCAGCCTTGGGCTCTGGCAATGACTGGCCAGTGTCATGGTTGGGGGGTGGGGGGGTGGTGGTGGTGAAAATGGGAAGTGAAGGCTGCAAACGGAGGGGGTGACTCCTCAGTAAGCAGAAAGAAAAGGAGTGTGTCAGAGAGATGTAAATTACCTGAACAGTTTTCTTTATTCTGTGTGAAGGCCCCGGGTATTCAGAGGAGTACAAGTCTGTAAGGAAGAGTGAATTGATGAGGGTGGACTTCCCCAGTCCTGATTCTCCTGAAAGACAAAGAAAGAGCCAAAGTGAGTGGGTGGGTAGGTGGGAGGGAGCTGGAGAGATGCATTTCACGCTGTTCTTGTTTTCTAATCCTCTTCTTCATGCCAGACTGAGGAGCAACATGACACGATCTCCAGATGTTTATCGACCCCGTTCCTGATGAAGTCCTACAGTGTTTGACATTCTTTGCATTCAAACCTTTTCTCAGGACAGGAAACTGCCCCCCTTTAACCTCCATTAGAAAAAAAAAAAAACAGCCGAGTGTGAACACGAGACAGAGGAGGAGACAGACGGGGAGGAAGCTCTGTAGTTCTGTCCTCCCAAATTCTTTTCCTGTCTGCATTTCAGGAATCTAATCAGGGAATCATGGGAAGGGAGGAGAGGGGAAGGAAGATTTTCAACCACAACAGTCATGATGGATTTTCAATCTGACGAAGGAATGAAAACAGAAATCAAAAGCAGACTCCATTGTAGTGCAAGAAACTGGGAGCATGGGGAGAAATCAGACAACTCTCTCGCAAATTCAACCTTTAACTTTCCTGAAAAAACTCTTTACTAAGAGTTATGGACTGATTTAATCCTCATCTTCATGTTAAATTGTGCTACTTTTATGACAGGGCCTGAATGACAAATGAGTAAAGGACAAAGTTTATGAGCTGCAGAGTGAGTTATGCTGCTGGATTTCTCAGTGCAGACTGTAACAGCAGCAACACAATCCTTTGTTTCAAAAAGCCTCTTAGTCCTAAAACAAAAGGTCTACCTTCTTCACAGGATTTTTCTGTTATTTCAGACATAACAAAGGGGTTAGAAAAACAACACGGCCTGTGAGCGACAAAAACAAGCAGTTTTGCACATTTTTGACATCCATTCAGCATTAATTTAAGGAATCATTGAGAGCATGCCTTTGTTTTCAGTAATGTGGCGAGTACCAACAGAACAGGATAAACACACACCGAGTGAATGATTACAAATGCGGAAACAAGTCGGTATTTTGACCTATTAGTCATCTGAATCCAAATATAGGGCCCAAGTTTACAGACACCAGAGTGACCGTCTAGGAAACTGACCACAAACTTCACTGTTTCTGGTTACAACAACACAACACAACAACCTGGGCAATGGATAGGGTAGGAAACTAGAAGGGGGATTGGACACTAGTAGGGAGGTAGGGAACAATAAGCAGAAGAGAGCAGCAGGTTGGTATGAAAGCTACAGCCTCCATGCATGGGACTCCTAATGTAAACACTACTGGCCAAACTCGCACCTCAAATGTCTGTGTTGTTTTTGTCTACTTGGTACGCACAGCACTTTGTTTTGACTGTGGTTGTTCGAAAGTGCTTTAGAAATAAAGATGAGCTGAGTTGAGTAAACCCTAACCCCTTTGAGAACTACTGTTCTGACTCGAGTAGGTAACTGCTAGACTAAACTGTGCATGTAAACATACTGTCTGTTTACATTAACAACAGTACGACATGGCAACTTGCAGTAAAATCCACTCGCTTCTTGAGACCGGCAGCTTTCACCTTATGAACTCTGAGTTTTTCTGTAACATCCAGGAGCTTTTGTCTATCAGGGGTTCTATCAGAGACTGTCTGGGTCCAATATTTTGAAAAACTAATGTGTGATGGACTACACTTCATGGTATGACTTGTTGCAGCGGTCTATGCTCCACAGAGGCTGTTTCTCTATATCAAACTTGTCTTACCTGACTGTCTGTTGTTCGGTCCCCCGTATATAGACTGTGCTGTTACACACTACAGGTTATCTTTTATTTTTCCCAAAGTATGTGCTTTGTTACCTCACTCCAGGAGTTAAGCTGGTTTAAAACAGGAAACTCTGTCACGTCATGAATCCACTCCACAACAAACTGATGATGACTTTCCCTCTCCATCCAACGCATGTAGCCCATGAAGATAGACTTCAGAACCGATAGGATAAGAGCTCATGAACATTATCTAAGTTTTTATAAGAAATGTCCCTTATTGGGTCCCATAAGAACCAAAAAAGCATTTTTGCTACTGAATTCATATTTGTACCTAAAGACTTCCAGTAATTCGAAGAGTGATTTTCAGATTTCAACAGGCTGAGGACAGGGAACAGTTTCGTAAAAATCTCAGAGATTCTGCAAGAACCAGGAGGGAGTTACAGCTGTAATCCAAAACCAGCAGCAGTGTGTTCATGCAACGACCGGGCCGAGAGGAAGGCAACAAGAAACTGCTGAACAAAAGCTTCAGTGTGAGAGGAGAGGCAGTCATATGGCAGGCTGGCACCACAGCCAAAGAGCCACTCCTGACCTTTACAAGTGGTCAGGGCCAATATGGGCCACCGCTGCCAACAACTTGGACACCCAAAGCTGCAAGAGCAGAGGGGAGGATGAGGGAGGGGGTGAGGAAAACATCAGACAAAAGGATCCTTCACTCCACACACACTCAGAGTCATAAATATTTTCCTAAGAGGGTAGAGCCACATTTATTTTCACTGAAATGTTTCAGCCATTGTGGCTCTTCTGTGATGAAACATACAAGAAGGCTGCAGTGCAGACTGCTAAGCACTGAGGGCTTATGGGTAACGGGAGGAGGCTGTGGTTTTGTCCAAACAGTGGGTGAAATAGAAGTGTTAGAAATGTCAGACTTAATTTAAAAAGATGAGAGAAGGCCAGAACAGCAGGACCGAAAAGAAACGGTCTGATCCAGGACCGTGTCTCAGAGGGAGAGAAAGAGGAGCTCTGGTTACTGAAGAATTCCTCAAACTCAGAGTTATGATGAAGATGGCGGTGGCGGTGGGGCGGGTGGGTTTAGTCAAGATGCTGATCATAGCTGTGCAGAGATGTGGCTGCTGCTTTTGGATGGAAGACGGCTGTGAATACACCACATAACTCAGCCCTTAAAGTTCTCTTCCTGAAGCTTGTTGTGGGATAAATTTACCACTGCTGCTTTGACGAACCCCATATAGTCTGTTTGACCCTTTGTTTACATGGTTAACTGGTAGATTTAACATTGTCATCTTTGCTGATCGGCTCCAGAATCACTTGTTGATTAAACGTTTGTTCATATATTCATCAATGTAGGCCTACAGCGCTATCAGTGAAAACATTACCCTTCCAAAAACTACACTGGTGTTCTGCATTAACAAGTTATGAACACTGGAAACTGTCAGCTGAATGGGTTTGTTGTCATAGTTACCACAAAAATACAATGTGTGACCATCAAAATTAAACAAAAGAGCAAAACTATTAAAAAAAAGGTCTGGAACAATTTGTTTACAGTAATGAAGAATTAATGCAACAAAACAACAGACTCCTGCATATTTCGGGTGATAGCATGTGCACACTTGTTAATTAACTCTTAATAGGCTTGAGGGCTTCTGCCAGTAGCAGAGTCAGCAAAGCAGTGATCACAGTGCTGGACAGCAGCAGAGGAGGCTGTGCCAGAGTCAGCTCAGGTTCAGGAGCAGTGTCTTTGATCTCATTAGCATCCTGGAGTGGAGTAGAGAGTTTTCAGCGAGGGGAAACAAAGGTGTAGAAACGGGGCGTGCGACAGTCTGCCCCACCCTTCTTCCTCTCTCCGCTTTCTTCCCATTTCCATTACTGCTGGGTTTTCCAGTTAGCTCATTTTGAGACAAGGCTGCTTTTGAAAACTTTCCCTCGCTCTTTATCCACAGCTCTTTTTCTACAAATAGCATAAGAACAGAGAAAAGGAATTTGAAACAGCCTGCGGTTGTAATAAAAGTTGTTGAACGGATTGAACTTTCTTATGTACACTGTTCTCCTGAGGACTTGCTTGACAGCAGAGCAAACGCACAGCAGGCTGGATGGATGAGGACTCCTTTCTATTATTATAGTTCCCTTAAAATCCTCCACGCCGCTAATTGAATCAGTGTAAATAAAGAAGCCACTCAGTGTCATTCCAGCCGGGCATCGCTCTCGTTGGCTTGCTACTCGACCAGCTCAGTGGCCAACACGCTTCCTTTAAAGGAAATTTCCAGCAGCTGTGTAAACCGTGGGGGTTTATTCAAAGACATTTCCCTCTGCATTCAGGAGGCTGGTGGAGGGGAAGCAGGAAAATTTGGGCCTGGGAGAGGGAGCCAGTGTTGGGTTAATTCATTTGACAGCCCTTCTAAGACAGGAGGAGAATGATGAGCAGGTGAAATGAAAAGCACTCTGTGTGTTTGTGAAAGGGAAATTCAGTGTTATCCTTGAAAAGCAGTCATTTTCTCTGCAGCACTCTGTGTTTATGAATGGGACTTTCCCTCAAAAAGGGGGAAGCAGACAGTAAAAGTTTAACAAGTCTGGAGCATGACAACAGTGGTGAACATATATCTGTTGGCAAAGCCATCAATTTGGCTCCGGCTTGTGTCAGATTTCGTCTCCTTCTCTAAAAGCCCTCATGTTTATGTGAGGACATTCCTTCTAATGTACGCTGTGCAGCTCATTCAACCAGCAGCAAACACAAAGAGCCCTAACTGCAGTGGACAACATCAAGGTCAGTTCCTGTCGATGTGAAAATCACTGCCAAATATTGACTCTGACTAACACATGACTCTGGCCCACTTTTACTTTAACCACCAACAAGAGCTTTCCCCCATTACTTCAACCACAGGAACACTAATGGTAACCTGAACCCAAATAAACTTTAAAGTAGCAGCAATATACAGGTCAGAACAAGGTTTCCACTGAATTCAGATGAATCCAGCAACAGGAAAGTGGCTGTAAGAGACAATTGTTCATATTATTTTGGTCAAAAACGATCTTAAGTGAAAACTTAACACCTGGTGTAAAGATGTGGATGATTAGTTTTGACAAAGAAACCTGCCATTAATAGTAACGTCCTGCTCTGTTGCCTGGAGTTTATCCAGCAGTAGACCATCTAAAACATGGACATAGTCTTGTGAAGACACCTATCAGTTTCTAAGGCACCATCACCATAATGGAAATACTGACCCAGCCTAACTTTTGGTCCTCCTAGCTAAAAGCAAAGGGGCGGGGCTGATGAAGGCCTCTTGTCTTCCTGTTGCTTGTTCCTGCTGCCATCATATCCAGTCCTGCTCTTAAACTGAGTATTTTAAGATGGATGTTGATGAGATTTCCATGGCTTTTGAATCAGACTCAAGTGGACACACAAGAAGAAGAAGAAGCTTTCCGCATTTCTGCTTCGACCTTACGTTTTAACATGAAGGCTCTGGCTTACATCAAGCTCAGATGGCAGATGCAGCATAAAGCGGTTTGACAGTATTTTCACTCAGAAAACAGACACAATTGTACATACGTTGGGTCTGATTTAAAATGGCAATCAACCACTTGTATGGACCAAAACACGACCAGCTAAGACATTTTGACATTTCGTGCAAGGAGATCAGAGGGTTGTAGGGCTAACTCTGCTAATGGTAGCCACACTGAACAAACCCATTCTACATGGTCTAGCTTTGGATTTTCACTCTCCTCTTACACTGCAGTCAATTTTGAGTCCATTGCAGAACGTGTTTTAGTCCCAAAGATGCTGGACACAGGGTGTGTGGGTATGAGACTGGTTTAGGTCATTATTTTTAAACACTGGCAGGAATGTTTTTATTCATGCTGTGCTCAGATTTTCCTCTGGGTGTGAACTGCTTAGTTTTCATCTCATTAAAACGATGTTGTAGGGTCTGAGGGAATAGACTACAGTGAAAACAAATGTGAGTCTGTATTATGATTCTTCTTTTCAACCTCACAGCTGTCTCTCGCTTTCCAAAATATGCGAGTAGAAATTCCTTTAGATGCCATAAATTCCACAATTTACAACTCTACCACCAAGCCTTTGAGAAATGAAGGAAAAGTGCACCCTGTCTGACACTTCAGCTCCTCCAGCGTGACAAACACTTGACTTTACCAAAATCCCTGCTATCCTAATTATACGCTGCATGCTAAATTGCTACATAACAGCCTCTCTGCTGAGAGTGCACAGCGGGGGGAAACTCCCGGGCGTTACTACATGAACACAGCCAGCGGAGAGGAGGCGGGTGTTCTGATTGCCATGGTGACCGGCTCTTTAGCCTCAGTGGCTGGCTGGGTAGTGCCGTAAAATCCATGAATTCAGGGGGACAGGAAGTGACAGCATGCAAGCATTCAGAGCAGCTTCCTGCTTTCAGGTAGAGCTGGACATGGTGTAACGAGAGAGAGGAAGGGTCCTATGGGCGTGCCACTTTTCGAATCAGCTGCTCTGGCTTTGGCTGCATGAATGGAATGACAGGAAACCTCCTCCCACCACATAGTCTGAGAGCCAAACACACACATGCAGCAGCAGTGGTCCGCCTGTGCTGCCGGAGGGCTGACATTTGTTTTAAGTATGGCCTCTCAGAGTTGGGTTTTATGTGCAACTTTATCCCCCTCAAACTTAAACCATCTCGAATGTGCACGGACAGCCAGCTGCTAGCACTTCGGCTATGACGCGTCTGTGAAACTCAACACTACTCGACAGTAGTTTCTTCTGCACAAACACAGATTCACTGTTTGTAGCTGAACCAGCGTCTTTTTAGGAGCTGCACACAGGGAGCAGGAAAACAGATTGAGAAACAGTTATCCTCGGACAAAAGCTTGATTGTGCCAGAGACGCAGGAGAAGTGGGGATGGATAAAAATGTGCCAAAGGAGAATTACTCACCCACAACCATGAGGGTGAACTCAAACCCTCGCTTCACAGACTTCCGATAAACCTGGTTGGGTAGGTTTGCGAATCCCACATAACCCTCCAGGTTCTTCTGTTGCTGTGGACCAAAAATAAACAGAGCTGATACTACAACACCGCACTGGAACATGAGTATGATTGTAGCAGACTAATATACTGGCAAGTTCAGATGTTAGACAAAGTTTGAGCAAGACTTTAAAGCTTTAAAAAACTAAGTTCCCTGTTTCTGATTCAAAGAAGATTGCATTTGATTCATTTAGTTCATCTCTGATTTTTGTAATCATTTATTGGCCCTATTGTTACCTTTCTAGAAGGGTTTCATTAACAATCAGGCACAAAAACTTTTGGATTTGCACTAGTCTCCTACTTCAACCATCAGCCCAGGTACAGGCTGCAACACAATCTCACAGAGGAAATAGGCTCTAATACTTAAATGCTCTAAAATCATGAGAATCAGTCTGTAAATTCAAGTGCAGTGGTTGCCCTCCAACAAAATCAGATATGTAGATTTCCAGTCATTTGCTGTCCCTTTACAAGTGGTAAGTTAAGAGGGGCCAAAATGACGCAGAAAAGACATTGGTCTTGGTTTTAGACTGATGACATTATCGTTGTATGGACATCCACATAAAGCATGAATTAATTTCAGCTGCAACAGCCATGTTTGTTTTTAAAGCTTGACTGCACAATCTAAATTTACAAACTTCCTAATCCTGCAAGTGTCTGCGATGAAACGAATCATTTGTAATAGTAAAATAAAAAAAAACAAGATGTACATTTGTTAGCGTTTGGAAACCACCAATATAACGGCCCATTATTAACAACCATGAATGCCCACAGGCTCTGCAGGCTGAGCATACTTACAGCTGTGTGTGGAGCAGACAGGTTGTCAGATGACACGAGTCGACATAAGACGGGGGCAGGTCCATGAGGCAGGAGCATAAACAGAGAGGAGAAAACCAGAGACAGAGACGTTAGTGAAGTCACATAGAAGTTTGAATACAGCTGACAGATGTGCTGTGAATCTGGAGAACAGGCTTCAGGGTTTTCATAAGTCCCTGTTTGCCAGTTAACAGATATATAACATCAAATAACATAGCAAGGGTGTTTCCTAAACATCTTGGCAGTAAGAAAAATAAAAAGTCTCCTTTTCCTCCAAGACAGAGGTAAGTTATAAAACACTCAGCAATAAGCTGACCCCACTCTACCTCATATTTATCTATTAAAACATCAAATACTACAGTGACCTGCTCTGCCAGTATTAGCAGATAAAAAACCTGTCCGCCACTTATTTCACACATTAAAAGCAAAGATTTTAATCACTGACAATAAAAGCTACCAGAAAGTAGTAACCAAAACTACAATAACAGGAGCAATGAAGTAAGTCTTCAGCTTGGTATTCACATCAGGTTGGTAGACAAAGAAAAACGCTTGCTTGATGCCACCGTTTCCAAACTACTGTGAGGATTGTTTCCAGAATATATGTTCTCTTTCAAATGTTTTGACGGTGCATCTGTCACAAGCATCTGTAAAAGGAACCTACTGAATAATGTTGGCGAACAGACAAATCAGCTCGACACTGTTTAAACAGACTGTAGGCTCTTTACATTACTACAGATGTATGGATCAACACAGACAGACGTACAGTAGGGAGGCTGCACAGAATCAACAGCTATGTTTATAGGAGCTGTCATTGGTTAATCACAGCACTTAAGACGATGCATCCTGCAGCCGTCACACTGGTCTCACTGTTACTATACACACACATACGTGTCTGACACACCAGAGGTCTACTGAGCTTACATCCCTAGGCCGTCTCCCAACTGCTTCCTGTATCGGAGACAGATGACAAACAGCAGAGCAGTCAAACATTCAGCCTGAAAAAATGTGCGAGTGGCTGCTCAAGGAACCTCATCTGTAATATGCAGCGCTCTGTACTTTCACACAAAAGTGGTAGAGATGTTGTATTTCTGCTGCTATGTGGTTTAAGTTCTTTTATGTACCAGACAGGCGTCACGTACACCGAGCTAAGATGCAGCTTCTCACCCAAATTGTAACCACACACACAGGCGTCAATTCAGCATCTTGCTTGCTGAATTTCAGTCACTTAGTCATCAAACTTTCAGTCACAGGTAGACAAGCTGTTGCAATATTAAGCCTATGAGGACTTCATGAGAATTAAGGCACCTTGTTTGTAATGTTCACAGTTACTTCTTAGCAAAACAACAACCATTTACAGAGTTTTTTGCACTTATTCCAAACCCAAGCAGTTTAGTATTTTAAGCTCCCAGAGTCCGCGACACAACAACCCCTCAACATAGCACATTTGTCAATGGCTCTCAGTACCCCCAACTTTGGGAGCGCAGCTGGTAAATAAATGATGCACCTGACTGTCAAAAGTCAGCAAGATGATATTAATCTATGAAGACATGAATTAAGCATGAAGGGGACAAAATAAGAAAGTCTACTTTGTCCACAAGGGGCACCAAAATCAACATCAACCTAACGTTCCTCAGCAGAGCTTTAAATGACCATAAATATCAAGCATACAAAGTATTTTCTAAAAGATATAACAATCACAGCTAGGAGCAGGAATAGCATGAGAGAACTTTCTTAACCCAGCAACAGCTAACACGGGGCACAAAGAACTTAGGGGCACAATGAAAACGGATCAAATAATGTGTCTTATTGGTCAACATAAGTACTATTATTTGAATTCAATTTTTGGTGTTTTGGTCACATGACATGGAAGCTATTGAAGAAAATGTTAAATATTTGCCCTTAAATGTAACACGAAAAAATTCATATGAGGACAAATTCAGGAAATAAAGAGGTGTGTCTTATTGGTCGGCATAAGTACTATTATTTGAAATCAATTTTAGGTCAATTGGTCACATGACATGGAAGCTATTGAATGAAAACAGCCTTTTCTGAGAACATCAACCGGTAATTCATTGATGGTCACTTATTCAACACCCGACGTTAACAGCGAGGGTGCTGAGCAGATTTAACCGCACTGCTGTTGCTGTTCCCGGCTATGGAGAGTGAGAAGACACCGGTAGATCCGCAGTGAATGTCCTTTGGATATCCAACCTAAAACTAACTTCGCCGCGGTATTTATATGAAAAAACATTTGTTGCCTCGGCTATTTTTCATGCGCACATGTGCCCCTAAGTTCATTTTACAATTCGCACAGATCTATTTTCGAAAATGTGAGTGAAATGTTGGCAGTGTCAAGCCCTGTGAGAGCTGCTCTGAATTTGAGACTGTGGGCACTGGTAGTTCAAAATTCAGCATTGGTTAAAAAATATATGAATTGCAACCTAAGAGACTTCTACAGATGGACACCTGCAGATGCTATTGTATTGTTCACAAACCTAACATTTTCAACCAAATTCACAGAACACAAACAGCTTATCTTTACATCACCCAGGGATTTTTTTTCATCATGTTTTAAGACAATTTGAAAAATAGTCTCAGGCGTTCTTGTGGCAATAACAAGCAGCTTTGGTGGACGTACTTTGATCAGATGCGTGTGCCCTGAGGATTAGTGTTAGCGATTACAGACCAATTTGCAGATGCCAGATGAAGAAATCTACTGAAGCGATCCAAAAACTTTCATACCCATAAGTAATTTACAGCCCTGTGTTTAAATACCAAAGGTCCATTTTAACCAGAGACATGCAGGGTTTGATTAAAAGCAGCATTAAATAATTTAGTTCAATTCTCATGAAGAGAACCAACATCTGTGTCTTTGGCTGAAGCTCCAGGCCAGCCTTTCTGACAGCAGAAATCTGTGCAGGGAGCAAAGAGACAGAAACAGACAGACAGAAAAATGCATGCTGCACTTTGCTGTTTTGCTCAACTACCGGAAACAATGTGGTGAGCCTCCAGGAAGCCGAGGGTTACAAGAAGGTCCGACGAGCCCAGAGGCGGGGTGAGGAGCACCGAGTGTGAATTCTGCAGCAGACAGGACACAGTGCTTTCTGACGGACCCCTTCCCACGACCTTGGGAGAGCTCAGACATTTCATGCATCATCCAGCTCTGTTATTCTTCTAAACTTTTCTGTTGATACGACTTGGCTCTGTTCACCCTGTGTCTGTAAAAAGCCCCAAATTCTTCCGCTCACTTGGGAATCTAAAAGTTATAAAGAGGCGGAGAGTTCACAGAAAATTCCTCTGAAATGTCTGTGGGAAGTTCAGGCTCAGCTATTTACCCCTTTTTAATTAGAGCTAGACAAATAAATCAGGCAGCAGATATCAACTCATTCATGTCTATCATGGATATATCTGTGGTCATTAAGTTCACCAACATGCAACATGAGTTTTACAGATCAGATACTAGTGCAGAAAGCAATACTCTCTTCATGCAGCATGTTATGAACTAAACTGGTCCTTGGTTGGCTGAATAAATAAATTAGCAGCAAAATTCATCAATGATGACAATGGTAATTAGTTGTTGCTCTACTATAGTCACACATACAGCTAGTAACCTCTCAATCACCTGCACATATAAATGTCAGCATGCTCATTCATGCTACATGAAATATGCAGTCTTTCACCTCATCTGTAGTCAACTTTCATCACATATAAAGTATGTTTAATATGCAGGTGCTACTAATGTGATGAATGCTGCTTTTCTGGAAGCTGAACAAGTGGGACTAGCTGTGACTGATACTGGCCCCACACTCGAGCGGTACTACAGTGAACATAATAATCAATCAAACACGAGTTTACAAGACCTTTGGGTGATGCCTCAACAAAAGGGGTTCTATATGACACTCAGAGGCATATTCAAATCTTAAAGCATGTTCCAAATCAACGAAAACCCTGCTTGGCTAAGATCCTTTATCACGCAGATGTCTTTCTTAAGTGCAGAAAAGTTCACGTTTGCTTTGCAGCTTTGCATCCTGCAGAAAAACATGCAAGCCTCCCTTACATGTGCAGTTTCCTCGTCACCTGAATAGCATTTGGCCTGAACAGTGCATAACTCTGATTCCAAAAAAATTTAGGACACTGTGTGTGATGTTCATTAAAAAAAAAGATTATTGTGATTTGCACATATATTTTTTTTTCTCAAAAACAAGTTAAAAAAAAATCATCCACATAACATTTTGTCAACAGATTCAAAGAATCTGGAGAAATCTCTGTACACAAGGGACAAGAACCAAAACCAAGACTGGGTGGTCCTGATCTTTAGGCAGCAATGCATTAAAAACAGACAGGACTCTAGAGTGGAAATCACTGCATGTATCTCCTTGTTTCTGCATGTGCAGGTTAAAACTGCAAATGATCCAGATTCACAAACTCTTTTCACAGTGTCCAAAATGTTTTGGAGTTTGTGTTCCAGTAAAATTCACGAAAAGTTAACTAGACTGCAGACATGATGATTTGAAAATGTTCATATAAGCAAGAGCTGCAACTTTCTGTTTAAGCTTTCTCCAAAAGCCAAAGAGGTATCCTATCTAAGAGATTACAAAGAGGTTCTCGAGAGCTTCAGAGATGTCCTGGCCAACAACATATGCTAGTTCAGATGGAAGAACATTTTGTTGGGTGGAGACGCTAACAAATGTCACAATGATGTGTTTTTCAAAGTTTAAAACGCCAATAAAATTTTGTCATCAATAACAAAATTACATTATTTGCTGATATTAAAAAAGTCTGCAAAAACACAAATATACAACATGAACTAACTTTATGCTGCATTTAAAGAAAAGACAAGTATGCAATCCCTGCTGCCCTCAGACACTCTACTCCACACCTAGAGCTTACGCTCACAAACAGCTAGGCCATCACAGACTTCCCCTGGTATTTGGCTTGCAACACCATCTGACACACTTTGTCTGATCTGCAGCCCATCTGTGCTTTGTCACCTGCTACTAGCACTGACAACATGCTGCTTGAGTGCAACTGCAGGATGCTACCAGATTAGATTCTTGAGGTTGTAAAATTTTTATACTCATACAGCATAATATCTATACTTCTCTAGACTGCACGTTGTTTTTGTGCTGTGCTACTTAGTCACCGCCTCCAGGAGGATTTGAATTGTGCAAGTCAGACTGCAGTGAGCTCAGCTTTAATGACAAAGCGTGTTATACCAAAAGATGTCACAATGAACCACACACGGGATAAACAGGAACATGGATGAAATCAATGGGGTTATTGATCAATATGCAACTGCTAAATGGGAACTATTTATATAGCTGTGGATGGAAATGATCTATTTGTACCATGGACCAAGGTTGCCGTACTAATCAAAACTTAATCCTATTTGTGATTCTTGTCTTACTCCAGTCAAAGACGCAGTGATTATTTTAAGTGATGCTGTACTTATAGAGAGCTTTATATGGCTGCTGAAACTAACTTTTCAAGAACTGAAAACAAGCTCTGCTCCTCTGCTTTCTGTTCCTCTGCTTTACTAACACACACACCTGATGCTTTTACTCACTGCCTGCTTTGCTGCATATTTTCTGCAATCACAATTTTGAATCGAAATAAGCCTCATCAACACTCAAATTATCTTTTTACCTTAGAATTTCAAGAGAAACTTGAAGTGCCACTTATATTATTTGGATAAATCAACAATAATGAACTACTAGTAAATCAATAATCAAATTTTTGGGGGCTGGTGATGACTTGAGAGGAATTAGGACAATGTTGTGTCACAGTCCACAGTATATGCACTCACCTGCCATCACATGGGATGCCACCAACCCGCAATTCCTTACAGGAGCGTTAAGTTAATTATTGATAAAGTATAATAATAACCTGTATGATCATGCCAACTAAAATTAAAGTGTATAAGCTTCCTGGTGGTATAACTTGTGTTAAAGTGGTTTCTTTTTTGGATTGCAGTAGATTCTCCATGTGTTTATGGACACGTGTGTGGCAGGTGGCTTTCTATCTTACAACCACAGGAAAACAGCCCCCCCAAAATTGTCCCTTTCATTGAGAAACGACTCCGATCAATAACCGTGACCTCAATCTTGTCGAAAATAGTCACGATGAGCCTTTACCCAAAATAACACCGAGACTTGGCTAACAAGTTTTGGTCTGGTTTGCAGACTGTTGTACAACTACAAAACAAACCTATTTGACATATTTGTGGTGGTTGAAGCAGCAGAAGAGGCTGCACTCCGCTGGCAGTGTGCAGGCTCTGCTATGTACCTACTCACTCATGACTAAAACACAGGAAATGCCGGGCTAACGTCTGAACCGACCACGGAAACGTCGTTTAAGTACCTTAGACACTAACAGTTGAAGTCAATTACATCCGCTCTGGCCAAACCCCATTCATGAATCTAAGGATTTAGTGAAGAGCTAACGTGTAACGTCTTCGGGGCATCTTGTTGTTCTTAAATGCAAGTTTTAATAAGGCAACCCATCGGAAACGACACAGCTGGGGAGTTCACACTTTTTAATATTAACAAAACTCCTTCACGTAGAGAGAGTCCACGAAAAGCATGGTGGGGATAGCACAGTCGTGTGGTCAGGGTTTCTTTGAGTTTTACAACAGCCTCAGGTTAAACGCAACAGTTACAAAAGACCAGTCCTTCTGGAACTACGCTACACGAAATAGGAAATACACTTAGACTATTTTTAATGTGAGGTTTGGTATAAGTGGTTACAAGGGGCTAGGCGAATGTTTAACAGCCAATTACTTTCCTGAACTGTGATCCTAGTGCATTTCTTAACCTAAACCCCAAACTGTTCGGCCCAAGGTTCAAACTTTACTCAACGTTACACACGGAAGACAACAAAACATCGTTTGAAAGCAGTCAAAACTCACCCATTATGCCGCCGTTTCCGACTGCTTCACCTACAAAGGTTTCTCCGTCTGACATTCCCACTCCCAAACTCGGCACTCCACTCTGAAAAACTTGAGCTGCGTATTTTACTCTAGTAAGATTCGTCTGTGGGTGACGCGGGAACACCAACGTAAAATACTCCCGTCCTCGTTGGAGAAGCCTCACAGCGACTTATCGCGAGATTTGGAGGAAGCCAAAAGCCGCAGCTGCAACTTTAGCTTCAACTTACCTTGGGCTACGAATAATACCAGCTCTGAAACTAATACATGTATAAATGTTAGTATTATTGTGTGAAAAATTCAGTAACTTGGTAATTTTTGTCTTTAAAGACCCCCAAACATTTAGAAAGTACTCAATGAGTCATACAAACGCATAGTTACTGCGAAAAACGCTGAAATTAAACTAAACGCGCCCGCTGTCGCTTGGGAAAGTACTATCCAACAGCGCCATCTCGAGGAATTTTAGACAAGTTACAGGTTTGACTGGAAATAAACTTTTGAATTTGTACAAGTTGGAAAAAAAGTGTCAATACAAGAATGAACACAACAAATGATTGTACATTTGTTCCGAATTTCATTGCAAACTTAACAAAAAAAAAGGTAATCAATGAGGCACTTGAAGAAATAATTGAACGTAAATGATTTAAAATGGAAAATAAAAGGCTGAACAGGGCAGACAAAAATGGACAGCATTAGTCTACATCATGATGGAAATAATAATAATAAAAACGTTTAAAATGCAATAAAGTAAATATGTATTTAAACCAACAGTCACATTCTTATCTGAGGTCACCCCAGGAACAGCTGGAGAAGAAGCATCGAGACAGAGATGTCAGAGAGTGGGCTCAACTGGGGAGATCTCAAAAGAACTGCTGAAGACAGAGTGAAATGGAGGACATTTGTCAACGCCCTATGCACCCCTGAGGAGCAAAGGGCTTAAGTCAAGTCAAGTCACATTCTTATTCAGTTTATTTATGTACTTACAGCTTAATAGCTATTCAACTCATAAACTGTTGTTGTAAATTTATGTCAAGCTCCTGTGTCTCTTTTGTCATTTGTGAAATAGACTTATTTATGAAATATAAAAACAGTTGATTTTTATATTGCAGTTTCAAACCATTAGTCTGTGCAGGAGGGTAGGTGTCAGCTAAGCAGCTGAGAAACAGCCCTGTTTTTATATCTTTGACTTAAAATATTCATGATGAATAATTGAGTTCCCTGTAAAAAGTCAGATTGATAAAAAATACTACTCCAGCAGAGCAGACAAGATTAGCAAAGACTGCTTTATCTTCAGGGGGCACAAAAACTGGCAAAAAAAAGTTCCTCACTGGAGCTTCAGCATCTCAACTTCATTAATACAAATGCTATCACTACTGTTATTATAGACCTGTTGACTGCGATTTTCCATAAATCAAACTAAGATCAGTCTATTATCATTATGCTGGTCCTGTAAATGGTATATCCCCTTTAACTTACAGTCTTTGCTGACGGCAGCATCTCATCCCCTCAGCTGTCAGCCACACACAGCCTTTTAATTGCAGTCTTTAAGCCATTTGCATTTTCAGCCTCCACCTGCTGGTTGTTGCCTACATCTGTAGCCTGAACCTCAGTCACCACCTCTGTCAGTACTTCTTGAATATTCCTCTCTCTGTACATTGTTGATACTTGCTGCTCATATCTATCCCCCCTGGGCTCAGCCAGCGTTGTGTACAGTAAATATGACACCTTGCAACACAAGTTAGAGCTGAAGATGTGACAAACAGAGCCCGGGTCAAAATTTCAAGAACAAATAAATTTCTTTTAGGCTGGCTTCATGATAAAGACAGAAAGATGGAATCCATCCATGTGGAGGATTCTCTGTGCTTTTGGGGGGAAAAGTACGAGCAGAGAGAAGAGCAGACATGAGCCATCCTACACAGAAGCTTCAGAAAAATCAATGAGCAGCCTCTGTGAGCTGTGTCAGTACATGAAGCCTCTGGCTGTGGAATCAGATGAAATGGAATGAGGCAAAGAGGAGAATGAGTGTGTCACATCACATTATATGAGGCTGGCAGCTGATGTTCAGGGCTTTCCATAGGCCACCTGTGCCTCTGTTAGCACAATGTACTATTGATTGAGCTGTTGTGTTGATCCTGCAGAGGCTGCACAGAGACAGAAAATCATATAATCACCCTGAAAATTTGCTGAAACGCTTACTGATTTGTATCCTGGTTGTACAGTGAATGCAATTATTTTCCTCTGTTAAATTAGAAGAGCTCCATATCCTCTAACCACAATGTTCATAATGAAAACAGGATAATATATGTATATATATATTTGTGTGTGTGTTACATGATTTTACATGAAAGCTTTTTATTAATTTTGCATGCTTTGTATTGTTTCAACTTTTATAAATTGCTCTTTTTTAAGGGATGCTGTGATTTATTGATCTCCTAGTTTTATTTAGATGTTTTATTACTTTTTGGATGCTTTGTTTGTTTTCAAAGCTCTTGTATAAAATAGACTGAAACTCATTTCAATGTTTTTGTTATAATTTAAAAAAACAACAACAACACCATGAGAAGTGAGACTATTTTAACATTTTGATTTGCAATGCCTGAAAATTGTGCAAAGGGTTAGGGTTAGGGTTATTTTATTTATATAACTGATGACAGTTCAGACTGTCAAAAGTCAGCAAGATGAGATTGTTATTCCCAGAAGACTTTGCTAAAGCATATATTTTCTCTTAAGTTTTTATTTTACAAACTTCTTCCATGACTATTTATACATTTAGTGTCCAAGTAAGTCACTTTTTTAATGTGACTACTTTGGCTCCATGCACCACCAACTCTGCATGAATGAATGGATAATGTGCTGCATTTTCTCCTTCCCTGCTGCTTGTTTCTGCAGTTATTGCATAACCCATACACCAGGTGTCAGTGTGGGTAATGTAATATAGCAGGCATGATTTATTGTATGAATAATGATCTGTTACATAAGACAGTGTGAACACATGCTTGATTGTTTTGCAGAAAAGTCATATGAATTTAATGTCTAATGAATCGAAGTGTAATGTGCATGAAATAAGCAGCATGGAAACAACACCATCTGTGGTCCAATCAGCCGTCCATGAATCAAATTTAAATTGAGCAGATGCAATTATTATTCAGCTTCTATGCACATTTCTAATTTCATCACCAGATAAGTCATTTTCCTCCTCAGATGTGATTTCATTCACCTGCCTAATATATGGTTAAATGACTTTACTTATGCAAATGCTCTGTTTAATATTTCAGTTTTTTTCAAGCAGTCACTAGCAGTTGGAGCAAACTGCAGCTCCCATTTTCATTAACACTGTTTGTCTCCATTCAGCAACAAACAATCGCTCTTTCTCTACAATCTGTTGTGGGTCTGCTCAGTGTTCATTTTCTGCTCTGTATCTATTTACTGTCCCTTTGTAGCAGAGGGGGCTCCAGAGCGAGTATACATACACGCTCATGCATGGGCACGGTGTGCAGTCGATGTGTATGAGGAAAATAATGATTGGTGCTGGTGGAGGAGCTGCCTGTCATCTTCAGCAGCAGCTCATTAGGAAGCAGAAGAAAGTGGGTTCTTCCTCCTGGAGCACAGCCAGGAAACACTGGAGGCCTGGAGTGGTCCCACGGTCCTTACATCCAGTCCTTTCACTTTACAGAGCATTTTATTATCCCAAACCTCCAGGGACGTTCAGAAGAGTATTCATTTTCACAGGGGCCACACAGACCGGTATTTATATCAAAAGCTCAGGAGTTAATGCTGTCACTGTTAAGGGGAATTTTCTCTGACTAATTTAATAGAAAACACAAAAATCAAGGATGCCAAATAATGAAGAGGACAAATCAAGGAAATATTATAAAAGAGCTTTCGAAAATAAAACATAATCAGAGAGCTAATGAATCATTTAGTATCATTGTGCTGCAACATTATTCCTGCATGATGTGCACCCTGCCTCTTAAAATATTTATGTTAATACATAGAAATACTCTCTAATTTAATGCATAACAAAGTCAGATTTTTTAAAAATGCAGGGAATTGTTGTCTTATTTAAAGGTACAGTCAGAGTGTTTACGGGCCGCAAGAGAAATTGATGACAAAAGTAAAGTAAGGATATAACTATCCCTTTTTTGCCTGAGAAGATTCTGATCAATAGACATCTGTAGTAAGATGCTGCAGATGTTTTATCAGTCTGTGGTGTCTACAGTGTTCTGTTCTACACTGCAGTCTGATTGGCAGGAAGCATCAAACACAAAGATGCAAGACATCTGAACAAACTGGTGAAAAAAGATGGTTCTGTGGTTGGATTCAAGCTGGACTCAGTGGAGGATGTGAGGAAGGTGGAGACTATTCTAAAGAACATGGATCACCCACTTCACAACACCTTGATGGACCAAAGGGCCAGTGTTGGTGGACGGCTCCTCTCTCTTCGCTGCAGGACAGAAAGATTCAGAAGAGCTTTTGTACCAACAGCCATTAGACTTTATAACTCTTCTGTAAATAGTAGATAACTGTTAGATTGACATGACAAATGAGGCGACAGACAATTGAATTTAACTTTGGGGATAAAATAAAGTTATTATTCTTAATGATATTGTCAATTTTATAGTATCACATGATCAAAAGTGTAACTCATCATGGACCAGTAACAGTATGAGGTCTCCAGGGAAAAAGTGTAGTTTTGCTTGTTTTATCGGGAACTACAGTAACCATCATCAGCAACAAAGGCAGACACTGGTGTCTACCCTGTCCTGAACCACCGTTGTGTAGTTGGTCCTCAGCATGTTTTTAGTCTCTTAATTTTCCTTTTCTGTGTCAGTTACTGATTTTCTGTGATTCCTTGTGTTCATCTGTGTATTTTTTCATGGCTGCCAAGTGTTTTTCTTTTCTTTTTTAAAATCTAGATTAGATTAAGTAAGATTTTCTGTTTTTGGTCTTTTGGTCTTTTGAGTTCTATCACATCCTCATAGTTTTTTGTTGTTGTTGTTATCCCGTGTTCCATGTGTGTTTCCTGTCTTATTTTGATACTCACCTCTGTGTCTCATTTCAGATCCTCCACTTCCTGCCCTCCTGTGCCCAGTGTGTGATTACCTGCCCCTCCCTGAAGTGTTTCACTTGTGTCTGATTGTCTTCACTCACCTTGAGTATTTAGTCTTGGTGTTCCCCTGCTTCAGTGCCTGTTAGTCTCTTGCTATTGTGAGCTACATCTCAGCCTTTTTCCGCTTTGATAGAGATCTCTTGCGAATTACCTTTGCCTTCTTTTTGTACCTTTGTGAGCCTTCTGATTTTGTATCTTTGCCTGATTTTTGAGTAAAGCCTTTTGAACATTTTCCCTGGTGCCATAGTCGTGCATTTTTGTCTTTTGTTTGTGCCCAGTGTGATAAGTTCTTCATCTGGGTCCCCAACTTTGTTAATGTTCTTCATCTTGACATGTTAACTGGTTTGAATTCTTGGTGAAGTATTTATCTTATCAGCTTACTTGTGAGTCCAACTGACATAAAAGGAGACCTTTTTTCACTCTGAGTTAAACAGGTCTCCTGGTGTTTGTGAAAACCCTCATGAAACTTTTTGTTTTGGTTGCTTTTGTGCTGATATGAAGTTTGACACAGCGTCTGAATGTTACTTTTTATACAGCTTTGTAGTTTTGAAATGTCCCGAAAGTTTTGCTTTTTTTTCAAGAAAAAATCTGAGATTATGTCCTTTAAAAAAAGCTGCAGATTGATTTGATACATGTGGCATATGAGATCTCATAATTGATAACTATAGCTATTTCTAAATGGGGTTTTAACCAATCAGAATCAAGCATTTAGTACAGCCTGGTGATCAGAATGACATATAATGAGACCCCATAATGCACTGATATGCAATGCTGTCATAAAACCATTAAATATTCCATAAGCTCCATTTGAAACCTTCTCTCCTGCATTTATAGACACTCTGCAGCTCATCTCTGTATGCACATTCCTCCAGCATTCCTTTCTTTGAAGCTGCAGCGAGCTCAACATGAAAAAGACTCATTGTCGTCATTTATTTCCATCTGACAGTGTATTTCTGTTTCATCTTCCTACAAACATTACACGACTCCACGAGCTGTGCTGCCGCCATTGCAGATACAACCATTTGTATTTCCCATCATCAACACGTTCATATCAAACCATCCAAGGGAACAGAAATATGTTTTTTAGGGTTTTCCTTGAATATCTGTGAATCTATTTCAGGTTTCCTTAAAAAATAATAAGATACATCCCGTCTTTGGGGAGATTTTTCTCTATTCCTCTAACTCCAGGCTGATGCGCTTCAGTATGGGAAGTCCAATTACAGAAAAGTGAGATTTTCAGCCCTGAGGTTGAAATTATTCTCTTTTCTTTCTTTCTTTCTTTTTTCGACATCACTATCAAGATAAGTGAGCCAGAAACAAGAGAGCCTTCTCCTCTTTTTAGATCAGCCTCCACGAGAGCAGAAACATCACATATGAACAGAGAGTGGAACAGACGGGAGGCCTGCACGCGTTGAGTGTGTGTGTGTGTGTGTGTGTGTACAGCAGGCTTTCCTCCTCTTTGTTCATATGTGATATCCAGAGCTCAGAGTTTCTCCATCTGTTGCCACATGGTGCCGGATCCTGCAGCAATGTGAGCAACGCTCAAGTGAGAAAATGCAGGAGGAACCTGCACATATAGAGCATGTACTCTTCATCAGTTATGTAATAATTTAAAATAATACAAATGAGGCAAAAATTAGGCACCTTTAGGATGAAATGCAATAATTTCTAACATGATTTCAACTTTTTTTAATCATGCTTGAGAAACAGAAAGTTCAAATTTTGTTTCTAGGTTTGCATTTTGGAGTCTTGAGGCTATTAATTGTGGACAGAACAAAAAGTAAATGTAATGTGTGTGAAAGGATGTGTGAGCACCCGAATGGTACATACAGAGCACACAGGATGGTTATTGATCTCCACGTGCACTGATGAATAGACACTGTGCTCTGTTTACAGATTAGACGATTAGTAGGAGCTAAAGAGGATGAGAGAAGAAAGAAGAGCCGACATGAGGAGCAGGAGAGATCAAAGTGGGAGGAAGTTGTACAAATAAACAGAGATTAACTTTTTGTTAACGCCTTTTTGGGCCTTACTGCACACCATAGCTGAGCTGTAGCTGTGTTTTCATACTTCCTGCTGTCACTGTGACAGAGGTTAACACCACTGTGCTTTTACACGGCACATTACACTATAAAAAGTGAAGGAGTCAAAGTAAAAGTTGTGTCAAACAGAATTAAACTATCACTGTAGTCCTTCAAGTTTTGCTACCACCTATAAACCAAACATGCAGCAGCAGCTAAACAGGCTGCATTACCATACACTGTTAATTTGAGCTACAGTTATTGCTCACTTAGACACTATAATTGGATGTACTGTCTTTGTTGGCAGCAAGTGAAAATGGATTTACTGATAAAGTATGTTTACCTCCACCATATTAGGTCTATAGTGGAGGTATGTGCCTCCCATCAGCTAAGTACCATTAGACCGTCTCCCTCCTGACCTATTACGCCACACACTAAGACAATGAATCAACAATTCAGCATTAGGGCTAATGAGTTGTTTGTGAAATGGTGAAAACATGGATGACTTAACAGCTCTGTGCCTTTGGTGCATGCTCTATATGCTTTACTTTTGGTGCAAATGATGTGACCTCTCAGCTTTCTGGGTAAAAACCTGACGTGCAAAGGGTTGAGCATGCACCAGCCTCCCAGGATAGTTTTGAGAAGACTGAGTTGTATAAATGCAAGAGAATATCCCTAATCGCATTATCTAGAATTAGTGTCACTGAGAAATATGACTTAGTGGATCATGTTTATATCTGGTTTTTCTCTTTAGTCAGAATTTGAGGATGCAGCAACAAACTGTTCACAGAAAGTGGTTTTATGAAGCGATTTTGAGCCCAGGCAGTGACTTTCATTGCAGAGACCTGTCTGTTTTTAATGTAATGCTACCATAGGACCATCCAGTAGCTTATCTTCTGCAGGAATATTAATGTTGACAGTTATGTCCTCTTTAGCTCTCATTCCTCTTTGAGATTTGCAGTCGAAGAAAATATCTGAACTTCGAAGAGATCAGCAAGTTCAAGGTGCTCTCAGAAGCTCTGCTTATGGTGTATGGATTGCAGGACAGGATGTTATTTTTCCCTATCATAAACACTACCAAATAACCGTCATTATTTTAACAGAGCTGAAGAACAGCCTAAGACTGAAGCTGTTTTACCATGGTGTTAACAGGCAGAGGGGAGAAATGCAAGGCACTCTCCGCCCCCCTTCTGGATTCTCATTTAATTACCTATCTGTTCATTATCCTTTACTAAAATTAAGGTTGTGCATATCAGTATTCCCAACCTTCCTTGTACAGACATAAAGGATGCAGCAAGCTCACTGTCAGACTTACTGTTTCCACTGGGCGACAATAAAAGCTCTA